CCACACAAGAACACAAAGCCCGAAGTTGATTTTCGACCATCTAGATCTCCACCAAAGTCAGCATCCGTGAAGCCATAGAGAGAGACCTTGGCATTGTACTTGTACATTAGACCCATGCCAAGAGTTGTCTTCACATACTTCAAGATCTTCTTTGCCGCTTCTAGATGTGGCTTCCTTGGTGACTGCATAAACCGACTTACAAGACCAACCGCGAAGGAAATGTCAGGTCTTGTAATGGTTAAGTATAGAAGACTTCCCACAAGAGAACGATAAGGCCGAGGATCGGGTAGCAAGGATCCTTCATCGCGCTTCAGCTTGATGTTCGCATCCATCGGAGTAGTACGTGTCTTTCCTTCGTGTACCCCGAACTTCTCTACAATCCTTCTTGCGTAGCTATGTTGGCCGATGAATATTCCATCCTTCATCCTTTCAACCTCCAAACCAAGAAAGTTGTTCAGCTCACCCAACATCTTCATCTCAAACCTTATCGACATATCCTCTTGCAGACGAGCAATTTCCGCTTCATCATTCCCGGTAATTATCAAGTCATCCACATAAAGAAGGACTACCACGTGGACTCCTCCATTCTTCTTGAAGAACAGACTCGGATCAGAGTTCGACGGAGAGTAACCGCAAAACTGAAGAAACTGAGCAAGCTTTCCATACCAGGCCCTTGGAGCTTGTTTTAACCCATACAAAGCCTTCTTTAGCTTGCAAACATAATCGGGATGCTCTTGTGATATGTAACCAAGTGGTTGCTCCATATAGATTTCTTTATCAAGTTCTCCGTATAGAAAAGCGTTCTTCACATCTAACTGCCATAACTTCCAGCCAAAGCTTGCAGCTAAAGATAAGAGTGTACGTACCGTAGTCATCTTCGCCACTGGACTGAAAGTCTCATCATAGTCTTCTCCATACTTCTGAGAAAATCCCCGAGCAACCAATCTTGCTTTGTGTCTATCAATGTTTCCATCCCTCTTACGCTTGATCCGGTACACCCATTTGCATGAGACGGGTTGGACATCCTTGGGTTTTGGAACCAAATCCCAAGTTTCATTTTTCTTTAGAGCATCCATCTCCTCCTTCATTGCGGTCTCCCACTCTTTAACTCCTTTTGCTTCATCATAAGATGATGGTTCTTCTTCATCAAAAGGAGATGCAAAGTAGCATGAGTAAGTAGTAACAAACCTTTCATCTCTGTACCGAGCAGGTTTAACGATGTCCCGTTTTGGTCGTTGATTAGCCAAGGAACCATGATCTTCCTCCTCCTCTTCCTCTTGGTTAGTGCTCCCCCTTTCACCTTGCATCTCTGGTTCAGAAATTCCACCATCACTTGGTATCTGAGCAGCTGGTTCATCGTCTTTAAGTGAGCCCGCACCATCTTGCTCAACCAAGACTTGAGGAGATCCGTAATATGAAGACACTTCATCAAAGACAACATCACGAGATACAGTGTATCTGTGTGTCTCTGGATCCATACACCTCCACCCCTTCCTTTGTTCATCATAGCCGACAAAGATGCACTTTTTCGCCTTTGCCTCCAGCTTGGTTCTTTGAGAGTCGAACACATGGACATAGCAGATAGATCCAAATATCCTGAGATGTTTCACTGTTGGCTTCTTCCCATGAACCATCTCATAAGGAGACTTCATATTATTTGGACTAAGCGGCATCCGATTGATGACATAGGCTGCACATCTCATCCCTTCTGCCCATAGAGCCTTAGGCAAATTCTTCGCATGTAGCCAGCTTCTACACGTCTCACTTAGATGCCTTATCTTCCTTTCTGCTACTCCATTTTGTTGAGGTGTGTATGGACATGAAAATTCTCTCTTGATACCATGCTTTCGGCAGAAAGAGAGAAACTCGTTTGACATAAACTCCCCTCCATTATCCGTCCTTAAGGTCTTGATTTTCCGACCCAACTCTCCTTCCACGGTAACCTTGAATTCTTGAAACTTGGAGAATACTTCTGACTTTTCCTTCACAAAGTATACCCAGGTGTACCGTGAGTAATCATCAACGAACAACAGCATGTAGCGGAACCCGGAATAGGAGGATGTTCTCGTCGGACCCATCAAATCACTATGGATCCTCTCCAACGGAGCATTGCATCGTGAAGTAGAATTGTCAAATGGAAGTCTATGTGATTTTCCATATTGACAACCTTCACAAAGCTTTCCTTCATCTTGAATCTTCAACTTTGGGAGCCCATTAACCAGATCTTTATTCACCATAGCCTTCAGCTTAGTCATATTTATATGGCCAAGCCTAGCATGCCAAATAAAAGCATTATCATTCGTACTCATCTTCTCAATGTACGAATTTGAGGCCGATAAGACATAAAGATCTTTAACCCGTGCTCCGGTGTGAACTACGTCCGCCTTTAACTCTTGAATATTCTTCAAGAATTTAACGTCTTTTGGTCCAAATAAAACGTAGTTACCTGAGTCCACCGCATTCACCACGGAAAGAAGATTCTTCTTAACTCCAGGGACATGGTATACGTTCTTGAGAGTGATTGGGCCTCCTTCTTCTCCTTCAATAACAATAGTCCCTTCCTTCTCAACCCGGTGGATTGAATTATCCGCAGTGATAATAGCTTCTTTCCCGTCATGACGTTGAAGACTAGAAAATAACTTCTCGTTTCCGGTAATATGATGGCTACAACCCGAATCCACAATCCAATCATTTCCAAGATTTTTAGTTGTGGATGTACCTGAAGATGCAGCCTCCACCGTGAAACATTTCCCCCAATCTTCGTCTTCAGTATGACTTTTTGATTCCGCCATATTGGTTTCCTTCAGCTTGACCCGACAGTCCTTTTTGAAATGCCCAAGCTTTCCACACCGGTAACACTTGAACTGCTTCTTGTCTCCCGTAGAAGATCTTTCCCGTCCATCATTATTCTTTACACCATCATTCTTGGTTTTTCCTTTGTAGCTCTGTTGCCTCCGAGCTACAAAAGCGCTCCCCGAGTCATCATGGATTTTGACTCCCGCCATTTGCGTGGCTAAGGATTCTTGCGAAGCTAGCAGATTTTCAAACTCCTCCAAGGAAGGTTGTGTAGCCCATCCTTGAACGGAAGTCACAAACGGTGTATATTCGGGTCGTAAACCACGAATAATAGACCGCTTTAACCGAGCTTCCGAAATAGACTCCTCCGGATTAAGAGTGTTAATCTCAGAGCAAAGGTTCTTTACCTTGATGAAGAACTCTGAGATTGAAGACTCCCCCTGCTTCGCATTCGCCAACTCGTTCTCTAACAGTTGTAGACGAGCCTCATTCTTCTTGTTGAACAGTTGGTCCAACGCTTGCCAAATGGAACTAGCGGATGTGCACCTTGAGACATGCTCAAATACTCCCGAGGATATTGACCTCTTCAATGCAAACTCCGCCTTGGCATTCTTCCGTGTCCATTCCTTTGTCGCTTCCGCTGTCGCAGCAGCTCCCATTGGTGGTGTGGTGCTACTGCCGCCGACGACATCCCATAAGTCCTCACTCACCAAGTATGACTCCATACATGACTTCCATAACCGGTAGTTAGATTGGTTTAAGATCTCCATTCCCAATCCAACAACACGACCCATTGATTCCATACTTAGAGTAAACCCGAGTTCTCCTAAATCCCGATCTTGATGAGCACAAGATTAGAATGGCTCTGATACCATGTAGAGAAACCAGCACCGATAGTGCTTAGCACTAGCCCAAGACCGTAATACCCGAGAAACCCGAAAGAAACAATAAACCCTCTAAGTATGAAGAGAAATATGGAAGAACACAAGAGAATACTTGAAAGACTTTTAAGAAGAACAAGAGAGAACTTAGCTTTAGAACACTCTTTATTAACTTGTTCAATTTCTTGTGCATTTACAAATGAGGGGGTGAGGAGGTATTTATAGCCTCCCAAATCTACTTACAAAGTTTCTACACTCTTCTATAACCTCCTTAGGTCCTAGATATTTCTTCTTCTTCTTCTACAACTTTCTACAAATTATCTTACAAGTTTATCCTAATCTCTAGAACTCTCTAACATAATATCTAGATTTCTTGTCTTACAAGAACTAGAAAGTTCTACATAAATATCTAGAGAGTTATCTAGTAGAATTCTCTAGAAAATTTGAGGAAGTGATGACCTCTTATGATGTTTCTAGAGAGTTCTAGAACTTGGGCCTAATTTTGGGTTTAATAATAATTTGTTTATGGACCCAAAATTAAACCTTGATCAAAATCAAGTTTAATTTCAATACGCTGCAATAAGAAGAGAAAGATGGAGAGTAAACCGGAGAGAAGAAAGAAGAAGAGGAAGAAATAGAAGAGGAAAAGGTGGTGCCAAAAGAGAGGACCATCAACATTCACAAGCCCATTCACATGCCATACCTTCAAGAGGAAGGCTCCAAAAGAGAAGGAAGAGATAAGAGATCTTCTCAAAAGTCAATGGAGATAATGGATGTGGAGATGGAGTTGTGGGAGGAAAATTATGAAACTTGATCGACAACGTCTTGGTGAAGCACAAGGATGCGGAAAAGGCATCACTCAATGGAGGTATCACTGAAAGAAGACGAACGGGAACAATACGGGAACCGGTGACACAGTCAACCGAAGAAGACGTGGAGAAGAAGATTCACGCAAGGCACAATACCGAAGAACCGGTTACACAGATAACCGAAGAAGACGTGGAGGAGATCTACGCATGAGAACGGTTACACAGATAACCGAAGAAGACGTGGAGGAGATCTACGCATGAGAACGGTTACACAGATAGCCGGAGACGTGAGGAGATTCACGTTTATAACGTCAAGGAGACATTGAAACAACAAAGAGGATGCTTACCTCTATGATTAAAAAAAATGGAGCAACAGGGGATGCTTACCTCAGAAAAAATGGAGCACAGGCGGTTAGAGTTAACCGGAGACGTGAAGAGAGTCACGTTTATGACGTCATGGAGACGTTGATGGTGTTTAAAGAAAGACACCAAGCAAAAAGAAGATTGCTCATCTATGAGAAGAGGGAGCAGAAAACGGTTAGAGTTAACCGTGGAAGACGTGGAGAGGATTCACGTTGACGTGATGGTGATCAAGGGAGTTCAGCGAGTGAAGCATCTGATCAAGAGGGAGACAGATAAGGCAGTGAACTATGTCATCATCGTAAAAGGGATTCGACCAGAGAAGAGGTGAATCACTCGAGGCGAAGAAGAAGATGGTTTTGGAAAGCCTACATTGAAATCGGGGATTTAATAAAAGTTCAAGGAAGTAAGAAAAAAGCTTGGATAAGACCTAAACTCAATTAATAGGGAGTGTTGGATTTAATTGAGTTTGATCGTATGATACACTTAAGTGATTATTGTATGTTGCATCAAAGGGTGCTTGTAGGAGAAGTAACTGTTGTGACAGTTAGGGTTGGATAGGTTTAATGAAGAGACACAACTCTTGTTGTGTTTTATCTTACTATATAACCGATGTAACACGATGTAACAAATATCAAGTTTCAGAGAAATAAAACAAATTTCCTGGTTTCTTATCTTCTTCACAAGAGAAGAGATATTCAATCTCTTACTCTGTTTTGTCTCATCTTTTCTCTTCTCTGTTTCAAATCAACATTTCAACACAATTGAGTAGTCAATGGAAGAAAGCATCAATGAAGGAGTTAACTACAATCTGGGTAACAGAGTTGATAGGAACCCTTCAAGCATATGAAGATCTTGGTTTTTCACAGAATAAAACACGCATGAAGTTGTACCTGATGTTTGTTCAAAAGATGGAATTTTGGTTTTAAACCAGAAATCAAAAAGAAAAAATGGGTTGTGTTGGAGAAGGCGTCTGTTGGAAGAAACAGAGCAAAGCGACTCAGAAAAAACGCAAAAAGTGGTGTGGAGTTTTTAGAGAAAGACTTTCACATGGAGAAGCCGCTTGTTGGAAGAGACATAGTAAGGCTACTCAGCAAAAGGGTTCAAGAAATCAAACAAACTACGGTTAGAGAAAACTGAGGTGATGGTTAGAGTCAAACAGACCAAGGTTAAAGCGAAGACACCAATCAATAAAGAGGCTGCTTACGTAGGAGAAAAGGGAGCAGAAGAAGGTTATAGAGAGATAACCGAAGAGACGTGGATAAGATTCACGCACAGCCGGAGGCGGAAACCGGTTTTACAGAGATAACCGAAGAAGACGTGGAGAAGATTCATGCAATAGACATCACAGAGACGTGATCATCGACGTGATGATGATCAAAGGAAACGTAGAAGCTACAAAGGAGAAGCAAAACAGAGAAAAAAAAGAGAAGAGATGAGCTCGATTAAGGAGAATCGAAAAAGGGGAAATCGAGTAAATGTCCGATTAAGAGAGAGACAAGGAAGGCAAGTTTACCACTGAACTATGCCATCGTCGTGAAAAGGGATTCAACCAGATAAGATGCAAATCACCAGAGACTAAGAACAAGCGATGGTATTGAAATCCCTAAATTGATATTGTGGATTTAATCAAAGAACTCAAGAGGGAGTGTTAGAAAATTGGGGAATCCTGTTTATCCCTCTAAGCGTAACTTTGTTTGTTTGTTTGTCAGGCCATGATTAAATCTTGTAATATCATAATGTAATAGGCGTAACTTTAGTTTGGGTAGTTATTCACTTATGAATAGCTCTACCATTACAAAGGTTACGTTTTTTGTTTTTTTTTTTTTTTTTTTGATAACCGTGGGGATCCTAAAGGTTTTAGTCAAAGGTTACGTTTGGTCATGTAAAATCACAATATAAGTTAGTGACATGTCATTGTAAATAATTGTCGTGATAAATTGAAGTTTTCCTGATTATATAGTGTGTTTTCTTCTCTTCCACTTCTATTTTACTTTTCTTTATCACATGTTTATGCTTGGCTTCTCATGATACAGAGCCTAAAAACCAATAAGTTACCTCATGTTCTTCTCAATTTTAATACATAATGCCATTTGCTTTCATGTCATTGTAAATAATTGTCGTGATAAATTGAAGTTTTCCTGATTATTGATAGTCTAAAAATAGATTATTTTCTCTATTGCAGTGAATCGATCGAGTTGCACATCGTACAATGGGATCGATCAATTTGCTTCTGGTGTATATGCTCGATCGATCCTTATTTAATGAAATGTGCGAATATCATTTTATAAATTTTGAATGAGTTCATGTATACATATAACATTAGTGAACATATATAGTTTTATAAAATAAATTCTAATTAAAATTAATCCAATATAGTTTTAGGTAAAAAGCCAGCGGATATTTTGAATTATCATATGAAATTCGAGATTCACTTGTGTATATTTTAATTTGTGATTTTTTTTCTACATAAAGTTTTTTCACCCATGAATTAATTATAAAAGACAGCTTTATAGTTTAAAAGCCAATTGCAATGTTTTTATTGTTTTATGTAGGTGAAATAATTCTATATAAATGTTTCTTTGTTTCTTAGTTGAATAAAAAACAAATATTCATATATGTTAAATTTATTTTGAAAAATAAATTTAAATGCTCTCAGATTTTAAAATAAAAATAAAAGCATGTAATTTTTTTTCTTCTTTTTTTTCAGGTTTACTTGTAAGATATAATATTATATTTTTCAAAAAATAATTTTTAAGAAAGATTCGAAATAAATATTTTTAGTATATAATAATTTATTAACAACAAACAAACAAAAAGAAATCTCTTTTTTTCACTTAAAACTCAAAAAGACGGTTTTTGGGTGATTGCAAAGGCGATCGTTGATTGCCACTCTACCTCCGATCAATGGTTTCCGGTGATGGTTCTATGAGTAGACGATCGACATGATGATCATGCGGATGACTTTGGCTATGGATTTCGTCCCCTTGATACGACGATGTGTACATTGTAATCTTCTTCTTCTCTTTCTAGTGGGGGAGGCTGTGAAGGGGTTCGTCTCGACGGTGGTGATTCATGGAAATCCGAGTCCCAACCAAACATCTCCAAGGGCGGATCAAATACACACCCAATTGGTAAGAGACGTTTTCTCTCACGATAGGAAATTCTTTTGTTCCCATCATTCCCGACTACGTCTCCATTGTGAGACGGTCTGTTTATGGTTCATTGGTGTGTATCGGTTATCTGGCATCACCCAACTCGAACCAGATATCTCCGTGAAGATCTTTAAGTTTCTTCATGATGGCCACTATTCTGGATCCAGTTTTGGTGAAGGAAATAGATATAAAATCCAGAAAATATTCTGGAGACTTGGTCGGAGGATATGGGATCCAGGAAAGATGGTCTTATGGAGACGCTTTGAATCGGAGCAAGAGACAATATACTGGTATAATTTGTACTGGTATAATTTGTCGCTAATAAGAAGACAATCAAAGTCATGGACAAGGAGTACAATCAAGATACATGTCATCTCTTGGAGCGAGAGATATTGGGTTAGATTGCGATGTAACAGATGGATCGCAATCAGTCATCTTCTAAGAAATTACTGGCTTTTAATCACAATGATGATAGCCAAGCAAGATGTTCATATGAGACCGAGAACGATGATGGATGAAGCACATAACAGATATGTTTATCTGTTCGCGTGGAAGTCTTCTCTAAGAAAGAAAGCAACGTGTAATTGTTCTTATTCCATTTTAAAGTTCTTCTTAAGCAATGTATCGATTGTATTTGTATTTGTGTCTTTGATTCATAACATTGTAATCTTCGGTTCAATTTGATTAATAAATAGATGTTACAATAAAAAAAAATTTATTAGAGACATTTATTCCTAAGTATATAATAATTTAGATTTCGTTAAAAATCCAAGTCCAAATTTAGTATATGAACTCTTGGCTAATCACAAGACTATATGAGTTTTTTTCCCATTTCATTTGTTTACTTTCACATAATATTTGATAGTTATGACATTTTGTTAAATTCTTTACATCTTATATATATATATAAACTTTGAGTGTTTTTCCTTCAAACATACTAAATGTCAACATAAACTTATAAACTATATCTAAATCAAAATAACAAATTCATGTACCATGAAAATTTAATCTAAATTTTGTTTTTCATAAGTGAATTTACTACTCAAACTATATATAAACATTATAATAGTGACTGTAAAAATCAAAATCCATTTTGTGTATTCCATCTTTTTTAAATAATTCAAAAGCATCTAAATATAAATTAATTGCATTATCATGTATGACATCTTTCCGAGAAACAATTACTATTTACGGTTAATATAGTATTGTTATAATAAGTTAAATGATATATATTTAAAACAAAATTTAAAAATATACTGATATAAAATGAGTTACTGTGCGATTTCGCGCGGGTTCAATTCCTAGTTACTTTAATAATGAAATTAAAAAATTCTATAAAAAATACCTCAATACATATAAAAAGGGAAGAAAGTCAAAAAGGATAATAAGTAAAGAGCAAATTTGGAAAAATATCTTAAAAAGAGATTTATTTTTCAATATTACTCTGTTTTTAATTTTTTTTTTAAACTTCACTTTTTGGGATTTTTTCCAATTTGAAATGAATGAAAATAAAATACAAGTACATATATGAAATTAATTGTTTTAGTTTCTTTGATCAAATATCAATTATATTTATAATTTATTTTTGTTCTTGTGATTTGGATGGCTTGACGACAATGTTCACGCTCGGTAAAGAAGTGAAAGAAACACATAAAGGTTTTTGTCTGCTTCGTGGATGGTTGTTTAGTATTCAATCCAAAATGTATTACAACTAATTTTCTTAATGAAAAACTTTAATATTTAACATAATACTAGTTTCTTTTCTATCTGGAAATTTTAAAAGTAAAAAAAGAAAAAAAGAAAAAAAGAAAGTGAAATCTATGGTCACAACCATAGGTAAAATGTAAAGTCTAATGAATTACACAGTTTTTCTATAAGAAGATATGTAATTTTTCTTAATAAACGAGAAAAAGAATTGTATATGTTGACAAAAATGTTTAAAATATTTGTAGTAAGTTGACAAAAAAAATATTCTTAAAAGGAAAAGTACTATATTGTAACAATAGCAAAAAAAGGGAAATCTTATTTGATTGAAAGCTATATAAATATAAATGAATGAGCTTAATTTCTCAATCAAAATATTCATATTAGCTATCATCTTCTTTCACACTTTAAAAAAGATGAATCAAGGGGTGAATTTAGATTTGAGTTTAGCTCAATATGATCCATGGGTTATAAAAAAGAAGTTAACCGCGACTGATACTTCGAATTATGGTAAACTTTCTCTATCACAAAGAGGAATGGGTTCTATAACTCCGCAGATGAGGCAGTCTATGCGCGAGGAGATGGAAACGATACAGGGTGTTAAAGTGAAGGTCCATGTTATAGAAGAAGGTAATCAAGCTGAAGACTACACATGGAGATTAGTTAGAGAAGGTGACGGCAAATACTATATGAAGGGAGGATGGATCGTTTTTGCTAGAAACAATGGTTACCAAGAAGGCGATATAATTGGACTCATGTGGGATCAAAGCTATGAAAGATTCTTACTCCACAAGATAGTCCAATTCCAAAAGTAGTTAAAGAGTTTTTCTATTATTTATTTAGAGGGTTTTATTTTACTAATGTTTTTTTTTTTTACTTTAATGTGGGTTTTATGAGTTTTATAATAGATATTTTTATTTTTTAATTTTAAGTTTTGGTCTTTTATTCATTAGAAACACCATCTGGCTAAAATCTCTTACACTGTTTTAACGAAATCAGAGGCTTGAAAGCAAGCAAGCAAAAGTAAAAAAAAAATTGTATATATATATATATATATATATATCTTTCAAGCCATAAAGACGAGGAAGAAAAAAAACAAAAACATAAACCTTTAAAAAACTCTTACTTGGCCTTGATGTGTGTCCCTTTGAAGCAACAGTCTCCTCTAGCTGTCTCCACGTTTCTCCATTCTTCTTCTTACTATCCTCAGCTTCCGGATTCGTATCAGACAAAACCTTGAGCACATTCTTCTTACTATCAAACTCAAGAAATCACTCAGCCTCTTCATCGCCACATATCCAACCATAATTGGACTCAGAGTCTCAAAACCTGGTTCCACCTCTTCCTCCATTGCAATCTGGAAGAGCTTGTATGCTTTATCAACCTGCTTCACACTACACAGCCCTTTAACAAGAGCATTGTATATCCCTAGATCAGCTATATACCGAGAATCCACCAGATCATTGCACAGATCACAAGCAGATCTAACATTATCGTCCCTTGGATCAAAACCTGCTTCTCCTTCATCTCCATAAACAACTCATACCGTCTCTCAACTCTACCATCTCTACACAGACCCATAACAAGTGTCCCACACGCCATCACATCTCAAACAGAGCCGAGTCAATGAATCAAGTTTGCTTGATTTTCGAGTTGTGCATATGAAGTAGAAACAAATCGTAAAGCTTTTATACGATGTTGGCTTGATTGAATTTTTTATTTTTATATTGTCATTTTTGTCTTTTTTTGGTGATGTGTGATACTTACAAACCGGCCTAAGATCCATTCCGTCAGACAAGAGGCACAACGCCGCCAAGATCTTCAGCAACCCCAACGTTGTTGATGAGGAGCCTCGCTAAGCTCTTCTTCCTCTTTTGATATTTCTGCAGATCAATCATACACGCACTCTCACTCACTCTCTCTCTGTGATTCATATGGTATGGGACTGAGCAAGAATACGCATTGATGCAAAAGGATGTCAACCTGGCCAATTGGTTTGCCTGTTGGTGGTTTCCTTGGCTCCCAGGTAATCCAATTATCATCATCTGATCCTAATGTTATCACAACATTTTCACATATCACCTTAAAATCATGTTTTTTTGGGCTTGAAACAGGGACCATACTAACTCTGGTGTGGGTGCCGACAAAGCCATTGGTCGTGACATAGTGGATACACACTACAAGGCCTGCCTTTACGCCGGTATTGGCATCTCCGGTATCAACTGACAAGTCATGCCTGGCCAGTGGGAGTTCCAAGTCGGACCTGTTGGGGCCTTCAAGCATGGGTTGCTTGATACCTTCTCGAGGTCAATCTGCTGAACCAGTTCTATTGCTAATACATGCTTGATGCTTCAAATTTGCTAATGCCATGTCTCTTTTGACAGAGGATCACTGAGATCTCCAGGAACCACGTCAACCTCGGCGTAAATGCTTCTTATGTGGTGATCACAAAGTACCATCTCAACATGGACATGAAGTTTCTGTTGGAGCGTAAGGCTGATGGACGCGGCATCGCGGATAAAGAGAAGGGGACCAAGTTTACGGCGGAGGTTGTAATGTAGAGCGTAGATTACGAAAAGCGACGTCCATGTTTAGGCTTTGTAGACTTCCATCAATATGGTCAACCATATTCACACCTTTTAAATCTTTAACCTTGGTCTCTGCTGCAGATTCTCCACATTGATTCTATAGGATCATTAAGCTTGAATGCTTGATATGCCGCCATTACGCCCATTGTAGATGACGTATAACCTAAGCTTTTCTTATTTTCGGCTGTGATCTTCCCGAAGCATTTAATATATAAAATGAGCAGGTAGAAGAAAATGTAATGATGAATGTCTCCTGCCCTATTCAAGATTTCTTTGGTTCATGGTTGTTGGAGTCTTGGAGAATGGAGATGGTATGGTGGTGCACTTTCTTAACTTAAGTTACGTTTTTTCTGTTCATGTCAAAGTAGTGGCAGCCTAATAGCGTCTCCACACAAACCAAGCTAGCCTTAATAGTACTGTCAATTGTATGTTATTGAAGATTGTTACTCAAAGATTTTCTAATTTTACGAAAAAATATAACACGCATCAACGGGTAGTTGGTTTTCAGATAATTCTATAATATACAAAGTTGTGTATAAAGACAAGTCGAAAGCGGGAGACTAGCTTCCAAACGTGTGTAATACAAGAAGTCTTTACGACATTTGTGTGGTAATGTGTTTACAACAACCGTGTAGTAATAATAACAGTATATATAACATATATATTGGATCTGTTATTATTTAAAAATTGTGAAATTTCCACAAGAATCGTGTACATAACATTTTTTGGACAAGAAAAAATAAATAAATAACTGAAAAAAGGTAAAAGAATTGTAAAAGAAAAAGCCAAAAAGGTTAGAAATTTTAAAAGTAAAAAAAAAAAAAAAAAATAGAAAGGGAAATCTATGGTCACAACCATAGGTAAAATGTAAAGTCTAATTAATTACACAATTTTCCTATAAGAAGAGATGTAATTTTTCTTAATAAACGAGAAAAAGAATTGTATATGTTGACAAAAATGTCATATTGAAGAAACCGGGTTCGCCCTAATTTCGTTTTTCTCTCTCAAGTCTAGCGCCGTTTCCCTTTTTTCAGATCTGGAGATTGGTGGCCGGTGGCTTCCAAAGCACAGTCGCCGGTCTCTCCTTTCTTTCTTCCTTCTTTCTCCCTCTCTTCTCCTCCGTCGCTCTGCTCGTGGAGGTTGTTTATTTGGCTTTTGCTTTGGCTTCGCCTCTGGGCTCTATCGTTTGTTTTGTGCAGTCGCGGCGGACCGGTCGGCCGATCTCTCGTGGTCCGGCTCAATAGAGCGACGGAGCGGTTCTGCCGATTCACCACAGAGCTCTGTTTGGCTGGTCGCTCCCTCCGGTGTTCTAGTTCACGAGTTTGGGTTTTAGCTTTCGAGGGTTTTGGTGCTTCTACTGCTCTCCGATCCATCTGCAGTTCTTTGGCCTTGATTTCGGGACGCTATTGTGAAAAGTTATTGCTGTGGAGATATCTGCTAGGCTTTCTCTCCTTTTGGGATTGGGTTCTTTGACGATGCAGCGGTTTCGATCTTCAAGTCTTCTCTTGCGAGGAGGTGGGAGTCTCTGTTCTGTAGGTCGCAGAGGCTGGTATTCACAGTGTCCGTGTGTAAGAGTTGTTGATCTTCTTGGCGTTTTTCCCAGGTGGCTTTCTTTTCCTGCGGGTTTTGGAGCCTTTGTTGTTGTGCTGGTCTTTTTCTGCTTTTCTTCAGTTGGCAGTAGTTTCTAGTCTTGCGGTTGGTGAGATCCTCTGTTCTTTGTTTGCGCTTGTGGTGCGCTTGTTTCGGCAGTTTGTTTACTGCTTTGGGCTTGGAGTATTGGTTTGGGTGTACTCAAGCTTCCTTGGTCAGTTTTGGGGATCATTAATCTTCAGGTCCAGATTTAGCACCTCTCTCACTTCTCGTTTAATTATCGTCTTGCCTCCCTTGTTTGGGCTTGTATCTCCTAATTTATTTAGGCTAATGTTTCCCTTTGTGGGATTTGCTCCGGGGATTTCTCTTTGTTCCGCCGGCCTTGTAACTCTTGTTTGGTTTCTTCCTTCGTTGTAAGGTTAATAAATCTTTTAGATGATAAAAAAAAAATGTTGACAAAAATGTTTAAAATATTTGTAGTAAGTTGACAAAAAAAATATTCTTAAAAGGAAAAGTACTATATTGTAACAATAGCAAAAAAAGGGAAATCTTATTTGATTGAAAGCTATATAAACATAAGTGAATGAGCTTAATTTCTCAATCAAAATATTCATATTAGCTATCATCTTCTTTCAGACTTTAAAAAAGATGAATCAAGGGGTGAATTTAGATTTGAGCTTAGCTCAATATGATCCATGGGTTATAAAAAAGAAGTTAACCGCGACTGATACTTCGAATTATGGTAAACTTTCTCTATCACAAAGAGGAATGGGTTCTATAACTCCGCAGATGAGGCAGTCTATGCGCGAGGAGATGGAAACGATACAGGGTGTTGAAGTGAAGGTCCATGTTATAGAAGAGGGTAATCAAGCTGAAGACTACACATGGAGATTAGTTAGAGAAAGTGACGGCAAATACTATATGAAGGGAGGATGGATCGTTAACAATGGTTACCAAGAAGGCGATGTAATTGGACTCATGTGAGATCAAAGCTATGAAAGATTCTTGCTCCACAAGATAGTCCAATTCCAAAAGTAGTTAAAGAGTTTTTCTATTATTTATTTAGAGGGTTTTATTTTACTAATGTTTTTTTTTTTTACTTTAATGTGGGTTTTATGAGTTTTATAATAGATATTTTTATTTTTTAATTTTAAGTTTTGGTCTTTTATTCATTAGAAACACCATCTGGCTAAAATCTCTTACACTGTTTTAACGAAATCAGAGGCTTGAAAGCAAGCAAGCAAAAGTAAAAAAAAAATTGTATATATATATATATATATCTTTCAAGCCATAAAGACGAGGAAGAAAAAAAACAAAAACATAAACCTTTAAAAAACTCTTACTTGGCCTTGATGTGTGTCCCTTTGAAGCAACAGTCTCCTCTAGCTGTCTCCACGTTTCTCCATTCTTCTTCTTACTATCCTCAGCTTCCGGATTCGTATCAGACAAAACCTTGAGCACATTCTTCTTACTATCAAACTCAAGAAATCACTCAGCCTCTTCATCGCCACATATCCAACCATAATTGGACTCAGAGTCTCAAAACCTGGTTCCACCTCTTCCTCCATTGCAATCTGGAAGAGCTTGTATGCTTTATCAACCTGCTTCACACTACACAGCCCTTTAACAAGAGCATTGTATATCCCTAGATCAGCTATATACCGAGAATCCACCAGATCATTGCACAGATCACAAGCAGATCTAACATTATCGTCCCTTGGATCAAAACCTGCTTCTCCTTCATCTCCATAAACAACTCATACCGTCTCTCAACTCTACCATCTCTACACAGACCCATAACAAGTGTCCCACACGCCATCACATCTCAAACAGAGCCGAGTCAATGAATCAAGTTTGCTTGATTTTCGAGTTGTGCATATGAAGTAGAAACAAATCGTAAAGCTTTTATACGATGTTGGCTTGATTGAATTTTTTATTTTTATATTGTCATTTTTGTCTTTTTTTGGTGATGTGTGATACTTACAAACCGGCCTAAGATCCATTCCGTCAGACAAGAGGCACAACGCCGCCAAGATCTTCAGCAACCCCAACGTTGTTGATGAGGAGCCTCGCTAAGCTCTTCTTCCTCTTTTGATATTTCTGCAGATCAATCATACACGCACTCTCACTCACTCTCTCTCTGTGATTCATATGGTATGGGACTGAGCAAGAATACGCATTGATGCAAAAGGATGTCAACCTGGCCAATTGGTTTGCCTGTTGGTGGTTTCCTTGGCTCCCAGGTAATCCAATTATCATCATCTGATCCTAATGTTATCACAACATTTTCACATATCACCTTAAAATCATGTTTTTTTGGGCTTGAAACAGGGACCATACTAACTCTGGTGTGGGTGCCGACAAAGCCATTGGTCGTGACATAGTGGATACACACTACAAGGCCTGCCTTTACGCCGGTATTGGCATCTCCGGTATCAACTGACAAGTCATGCCTGGCCAGTGGGAGTTCCAAGTCGGACCTGTTGGGGCCTTCAAGCATGGGTTGCTTGATACCTTCTCGAGGTCAATCTGCTGAACCAGTTCTATTGCTAATACATGCTTGATGCTTCAAATTTGCTAATGCCATGTCTCTTTTGACAGAGGATCACTGAGATCTCCAGGAACCACGTCAACCTCGGCGTAAATGCTTCTTATGTGGTGATCACAAAGTACCATCTCAACATGGACATGAAGTTTCTGTTGGAGCGTAAGGCTGATGGACGCGGCATCGCGGATAAAGAGAAGGGGACCAAGTTTACGGCGGAGGTTGTAATGTAGAGCGTAGATTACGAAAAGCGACGTCCATGTTTAGGCTTTGTAGACTTCCATCAATATGGTCAACCATATTCACACCTTTTAAATCTTTAACCTTGGTCTCTGCTGCAGATTCTCCACATTGATTCTATAGGATCATTAAGCTTGAATGCTTGATATGCCGCCATTACGCCCATTGTAGATGACGTATAACCTAAGCTTTTCTTATTTTCGGCTGTGATCTTCCCGAAGCATTTAATATATAAAATGAGCAGGTAGAAGAAAATGTAATGATGAATGTCTCCTGCCCTATTCAAGATTTCTTTGGTTCATGGTTGTTGGAGTCTTGGAGAATGGAGATGGTATGGTGGTGCACTTTCTTAACTTAAGTTACGTTTTTTCTGTTCATGTCAAAGTAGTGGCAGCCTAATAGCGTCTCCACACAAACCAAGCTAGCCTTAATAGTACTGTCAATTGTATGTTATTGAAGATTGTTACTCAAAGATTTTCTAATTTTACGAAAAAATATAACACGCATCAACGGGTAGTTGGTTTTCAGATAATTCTATAATATACAAAGTTGTGTATAAAGACAAGTCGAAAGCGGGAGACTAGCTTCCAAACGTGTGTAATACAAGAAGTCTTTACGACATTTGTGTGGTAATGTGTTTACAACAACCGTGTAGTAATAATAACAGTATATATAACATATATATTGGATCTGTTATTATTTAAAAATTGTGAAATTTCCACAAGAATCGTGTACATAACATTTTTTGGACAAGAAAAAATAAATAAATAACTGAAAAAAGGTAAAAGAATTGTAAAAGAAAAAGCCAAAAAGGTTAGAAATTTTAAAAGTAAAAAAAAAAAAAAAAAATAGAAAGGGAAATCTATGGTCACAACCATAGGTAAAATGTAAAGTCTAATTAATTACACAGTTTTCCTATAAGAAGAGATGTAATTTTTCTTAATAAACGAGAAAAAGAATTGTATATGTTGACAAAAATGTCATATTGAAGAAACCGGGTTCGCCCTAATTTCGTTTTTCTCTCTCAAGTCTAGCGCCGTTTCCCTTTTTTCAGATCTGGAGATTGGTGGCCGGTGGCTTCCAAAGCACAGTCGCCGGTCTCTCCTTTCTTTCTTCCTTCTTTCTCCCTCTCTTCTCCTCCGTCGCTCTGCTCGTGGAGGTTGTTTATTTGGCTTTTGCTTTGGCTTCGCCTCTGGGCTCTATCGTTTGTTTTGTGCAGTCGCGGCGGACCGGTCGGCCGATCTCTCGTGGTCCGGCTCAATAGAGCGACGGAGCGGTTCTGCCGATTCACCACAGAGCTCTGTTTGGCTGGTCGCTCCCTCCGGTGTTCTAGTTCACGAGTTTGGGTTTTAGCTTTCGAGGGTTTTGGTGCTTCTACTGCTCTCCGATCCATCTGCAGTTCTTTGGCCTTGATTTCGGGACGCTATTGTGAAAAGTTATTGCTGTGGAGATATCTGCTAGGCTTTCTCTCCTTTTGGGATTGGGTTCTTTGACGATGCAGCGGTTTCGATCTTCAAGTCTTCTCTTGCGAGGAGGTGGGAGTCTCTGTTCTGTAGGTCGCAGAGGCTGGTATTCACAGTGTCCGTGTGTAAGAGTTGTTGATCTTCTTGGCGTTTTTCCCAGGTGGCTTTCTTTTCCTGCGGGTTTTGGAGCCTTTGTTGTTGTGCTGGTCTTTTTCTGCTTTTCTTCAGTTGGCAGTAGTTTCTAGTCTTGCGGTTGGTGAGATCCTCTGTTCTTTGTTTGCGCTTGTGGTGCGCTTGTTTCGGCAGTTTGTTTACTGCTTTGGGCTTGGAGTATTGGTTTGGGTGTACTCAAGCTTCCTTGGTCAGTTTTGGGGATCATTAATCTTCAGGTCCAGATTTAGCACCTCTCTCACTTCTCGTTTAATTATCGTCTTGCCTCCCTTGTTTGGGCTTGTATCTCCTAATTTATTTAGGCTAATGTTTCCCTTTGTGGGATTTGCTCCGGGGATTTCTCTTTGTTCCGCCGGCCTTGTAACTCTTGTTTGGTTTCTTCCTTCGTTGTAAGGTTAATAAATCTTTTAGATGATAAAAAAAAAATGTTGACAAAAATGTTTAAAATATTTGTAGTAAGTTGACAAAAAAAATATTCTTAAAAGGAAAAGTACTATATTGTAACAATAGCAAAAAAAGGGAAATCTTATTTGATTGAAAGCTATATAAACATAAGTGAATGAGCTTAATTTCTCAATCAAAATATTCATATTAGCTATCATCTTCTTTCAGACTTTAAAAAAGATGAATCAAGGGGTGAATTTAGATTTGAGCTTAGCTCAATATGATCCATGGGTTATAAAAAAGAAGTTAACCGCGACTGATACTTCGAATTATGGTAAACTTTCTCTATCACAAAGAGGAATGGGTTCTATAACTCCGCAGATGAGGCAGTCTATGCGCGAGGAGATGGAAACGATACAGGGTGTTGAAGTGAAGGTCCATGTTATAGAAGAGGGTAATCAAGCTGAAGACTACACATGGAGATTAGTTAGAGAAAGTGACGGCAAATACTATATGAAGGGAGGATGGATCGTTAACAATGGTTACCAAGAAGGCGATGTAATTGGACTCATGTGAGATCAAAGCTATGAAAGATTCTTGCTCCACAAGATAGTCCAATTCCAAAAGTAGTTAAAGAGTTTTTCTATTATTTATTTAGAGGGTTTTATTTTACTAATGTTTTTTTTTTTTACTTTAATGTGGGTTTTATGAGTTTTATAATAGATATTTTTATTTTTTAATTTTAAGTTTTGGTCTTTTATTCATTAGAAACACCATCTGGCTAAAATCTCTTACACTGTTTTAACGAAATCAGAGGCTTGAAAGCAAGCAAGCAAAAGTAAAAAAAAAATTGTATATATATATATATATATCTTTCAAGCCATAAAGACGAGGAAGAAAAAAAACAAAAACATAAACCTTTAAAAAACTCTTACTTGGCCTTGATGTGTGTCCCTTTGAAGCAACAGTCTCCTCTAGCTGTCTCCACGTTTCTCCATTCTTCTTCTTACTATCCTCAGCTTCCGGATTCGTATCAGACAAAACCTTGAGCACATTCTTCTTACTATCAAACTCAAGAAATCACTCAGCCTCTTCATCGCCACATATCCAACCATAATTGGACTCAGAGTCTCAAAACCTGGTTCCACCTCTTCCTCCATTGCAATCTGGAAGAGCTTGTATGCTTTATCAACCTGCTTCACACTACACAGCCCTTTAACAAGAGCATTGTATATCCCTAGATCAGCTATATACCGAGAATCCACCAGATCATTGCACAGATCACAAGCAGATCTAACATTATCGTCCCTTGGATCAAAACCTGCTTCTCCTTCATCTCCATAAACAACTCATACCGTCTCTCAACTCTACCATCTCTACACAGACCCATAACAAGTGTCCCACACGCCATCACATCGGAGGACCACGGAGGGACCCCAATGGTTCCGGGTCTTGCGGAGGCGGCGGAAATCACCGTGGAAGAAGGAGACGACGAAGGAGCTTTTCCCGGAGGGGGCGGGTTTCTGGGTCCCATTTGGCGACGGAGTTGGATTGTGGTTGGAGAGATTGGCGGTTGGAGAAGAGACCACCGTAGACGACGGGACGGTTACGCGACCGGGTTTACGGTGGCCGTAGAAGAAATTGGGTTTAAGAGATTTCTCAGGGAGACTCGGAGGTTTATAGGTGATTTCATTTTCATGGCGACTCTTCTTCTCTTCTCTTCTCTTCTCTTCTCTTCTACTTCTCTGATTATCTCGAATGCTCAATACGACGGCGTTTATTTGTTCACTTCCATTCCTTCTAACAGGCCAGTGCAGTAGTTTGGGAAAAGCACATTCCTTTTAGCCACATGTGCAGCTGAATGATTTGTCAGAGTCGTTTGCAACCTCTTTCTCTGAAAAACTTGATCCCTGAAAGCACCAAATCAGCTGTCTTCTTCTTTGTCTGCTCAACTAACATCTCATCATAGACTACCAATTGAGCCTCTGTCATGACAATTACGCCTTTGTAGCTCTGCAAATACTTCTCTTGCTGCTTTTATCGTTCCATGTTTACACATACCAGAGAGTATCGCAAGAGTACACAACTTCACTGATGGAGACACCTTCTTGCTTCATCTCATCTACTACTTCTATAACCTTCTCTGCGTTCCCTTTGCATCCATGATGGAGCGTACTTAAACTCCATCGGACCACTTTCTACGTTTCCTGGACATTCACGAACTAATATCATCACCGCATCAATCTCTCCGATTTAGCTGAGTCCTTTAGTACGAGACAGATACGCAGCTATGGAAGGAACACACGACATCTCAGTGATTTTTTCATGGCATGAGAGCAAGCCTCTTTCACTTCCCCTTTCTCAACAAAACAGCAAATGGCACTACTGTAGGATGACGAATCTGGCTCAAACCCCTCATTTCAGAGAAAAGTGACAAAGACTTTTGAATATCTCCCATCTTGTAAAGAGCTTCCATAAGAACGTTGTACACAGAGACACTTTCCATGACCTTTACTCTTTAACAAATCAAAGACCTCTAAAGCCATTATTCTCTTCTCATCAACAAGCATGGATTTAACTGGGATACTAGAGAGGCCCCCTTAAGACCACACTATTGGGGTCTTCCGGAATCTGGAGAAGGACACAGAGTCTTTTTCCATTCGGAGGGAGACATTTCCATGTTCCATTTTAGAATTTTTGATGGAGGGAGGACGAAAAGGATGGGCGGAATTCCAAAACAAAAATAAAAGTATTAACAAATCCTACGACACCAATAATTAATAAAATGAAATAAAAGTAATTTTCTCTTATAAATACTGGGAAATTGAGATCAAATTTGGCCTTTATAGCTATTGAATTGAATTGAATTGAATTGATTAATACTACCACTTTTTACTTTTTATATCTCTTACTTTTTCTATTTATTTTTTTCTTTCCTCTAAATAAACATTAAAGGAACTATTTCTCTGAATAAACATTAATTAGATTAGGTATTGAATCCGCGCAAAATCGCACGGGAGCTCATTTTTATTTATTTTATTTTATTGAAAATTTGGTTGTAATTTTTTTTATTCTAAAGTTATCTTTTAATGAAAAAAAAAATATTTTCTATTTTGTAAATAGTTTTATAAAATTGTTTACAGTAATTACAATAACTTAACATACTGAAAACAATTAGATATACATACAATAAAATTTAACATCTCGTATAGATTTTCCATTTGAGAGTGATTATCATGATAACTTATGTAGCATAATACTGTTAACTTGATCAATCCAATCCTGGTTGTATCACTGTTAATGATTCTTACAAATTTCTATAAGTGATTTAATCATCATTAATGATCATCATGTTAATGTTTTCTGCTATTAACATTGGAGTAACAATGGTTCTACCAACTGTTCAATCCACAAGGGGTGAACCCTAAGATAGAGACAAGAGTTCTTTAAGATAGAGACCGGCGAACTAAGAGTATACATCGATATTTGTTTTAGATTTAAAAATGATATGCTGTATTAAGTATGTGTTTCTATAATTTTAGTTTTGTTTCTTTATCTTCTTCGGTTAAATTAATCGCGGGTGTTACACACAGCCCTGATAATATATCATATAACCAAGAGACAACAATATCTAATGAGATTATTAAGTACAATCATCATCATTAGCATCATAATCCTCACCAGTCACATAACGTATACTGGTGGTGAATCGAACCGGCACCGGTTCACAAACTGGTTTGTGGATCGCCAATTTAATACCGGCGGAATTCATTCACCTCATTAATCTCAGTAGTCCGCACAGAAAATATCAAAATCTCCAAGGACCGACCAATATCATAACAAACAAAAAAAAAAGGGAAAAAGGGTAATAACTCAATTTCCTTTTCCTAATTTAGGAATTGTTGTGTCTTTTTATTCTTGGTAATAGTTCTTTCTGCTCATAATCTCGAATCTCTCGATTGCAGTCTCTTTTTTTATTCCTGTGAAGGTCTCTTCGTTTTGAATCCGATCACTAATCACACTAGTGTATACAGGGTCATTTTTGTATGATTTTTATCTATATAGAGACAATCAAGCCACTTCCATTCACAGTTTCAAGCCTCTACCCCTCTGTCTATACTGATTTTGTTAGTCAACTGAAAGGAACCCAACTGATCAAAACAAGAAAAAGGCTCTTTGACATGGAAATGAATATCAGCAAGGCCTAATTTCTTACAACTATATATATGTATCCATCTCTCTCAAATCATTAAAAAGAAAAAACAAAAATCACTGAATAACCAAAATCTTCAGCTACATAAAAAAAAAGGCACAATCTAGAACTTGGAATCTTTTGCATTGCTTCCTCATAGCCATGATTGGAGATAGGAGGGTAAAAAATTCTTTCTGGCTCTAAAACGTTTATGGCCTGAATTTGGAGGCAATCTCTTTGATGGATGTAAATATGTAATGAACTCAACCCCCTTTCCATCCCTCTTAAATCGTTCTTGTCGCTGATTCGTTCAGTGGTAAAGAAAAATAAACGGCTCTATGTTGCGTTGATCTCAAGCTTAACCTGTGTATATCTTAACTAAGACGACTCTATGTTGCGTTGATCTTGAGCTTAACCTGTGTATAAGCTGTGACGACACCAACAAGCCGAGTAGGGACAGCCGCGGGAGCCGTGTCAGCTCCATCTTCTCCTGGTAATGGATTGGAAGCATAGGTGGTGGTTCTTCGGGACACATTAGCCCCGGGGGCTGGTTTCTTGACGGTCCCGCCTTCTCGGCCTAGACGACTATTAACGTCTGCGGAAAATCATGAGGCAACAAATGAGGGTTGCGGAACAGAATGACACTTGGCTTCGGAAAACCCTAACGAGGACGCTTGTTGGCCAAGTAAGTTCCTCTGTTTTCTCGTTTCGAAACTGGCATAATTATGATGTTGTTTTTGATAACAGGTAGTTTTGATGTGTTTTGTTTTAATAAACAAACTTTTGTCAAAAATTATATTTTACTCGGTTTGAGTATGAATAAACAGTATGTATAATTGCGGTTTAGATTGTTGTACCGTCTTTGAAGCTTCAATGGTGGAAAGGTATAAACAATCATGTATTAATTATCAAAAAAAAAAAAAAATCATGTATTAATTCCAAGTATTTCAAATGAATGATATATGTCTTTAAAAAATAACTTGTTGAATTTCTGTCAAAAATTCACCATAACAATTTGTTTGGTTGATCAGTGACATAGGTCACCAACCAATCTCAATGTATTTTGAAATACTGAGAAGTAAGGATATGTTCGTTTTAGACTTTTAGTACCTAAATGCTGTATCGTTTTTTGTAGTACGCTAACAATTCATAGATATACAACACCAACACCGTATCTTATTGCTACATCTCAGATCATCAAGAGTCAAGAGTATTGATCAAACTATAAAGGAACAAAAGCATCTTCTTTAATAAGTTAGGGGCTAGAATATGCGTCACTATAACTGTTCTACGGTTTTTGTTTCATCAATAGAATCAGGGGTTTTTGGATGATATTTTCGATGAAGAGGATGAAAAGATAATTGCCTAGAGAAAATTGAGATTCGATCTAATCTTATTATAAAGCATATCAAATCATATCCAAGAAACAAAACCCAACAAATAACAAAAACCACAAGGTCACTTGCATCCCAAGAAACAAATAAGAAAGCACGATCGAGTTTTTTAAAAGGGGAAAAACAAAGACGATCATAACTGTTTCATTACCTACGCCAGGTACCTAAACATGTTAGGATTTTCAGTGTCCCTCTCCAAATAATCTCTGGTTATTAAATCTTCGATACGTTTCTTGATCGCTTTAGTATCAGGCTTGAACATTTGGCTAAGTTGCTCGACACACTCAGAACCGAGTTGTTGATGTCCCAACACTTTACTTCCCTTCATGATCCTGACAATGGCAGCATCAATTGCATAGCGCCTGTCTTTCTCTACTACATCTTCAACGACTTTCTTCCTTTCATCAACACGAGGGAGAGGGATCTTTACTCTGCGCATTCCAACGGTAAATTTGGAGTTGAATTGGAAAACATCAGCCTTTGAAACAGTCTTTGTGTTTGGATCCTTGATAAGAATCTTGTACTTAGCACATGACAAGGAAAGAAGTAACCGCACTAGATCTTCATCGGTTACGTTCAGTTGAGTTTGGATGTCAGTGTAACTCATTGCGTCTCTTGTGTTGAAAAGCAGAAGCAGAGCAGCTTGGTGAGTAGACACAATCAACTCAATGGTCTTTTGACCAAACTTTCCATTGATGTGACAAGTTCCAAGTGAATGGATCCAAGTAAGTTTCCTAGCTTTCGTTTTCGCTTCATAAAACCCTTTGTAAACTTCAACACACTTGACCATATCACTTGGTATATTAATGCCAAACGTTTTGTAACTTGGCCAACAACCACTGGTGAGAAGAGTGACGGTGAAATCAATCCCTGGTTTTGCATTAGGGTTACTGGCGACATACTCACTGAAACCGTTTTGGTTTTCTCTTGACAAAATCAAATCCGTCACCATTTTCTCCATCTTGAAAGTAATCTGCTTACCAAATTTTTGCTTGAGCTTTGTTAAGATACTTCTCTCATGATCATGATCATTAGCACCCCGATTCAGTAAGAGCCTAAGGGCCAGCTTCTTTCTGTAAAACTCAGAAAAAAGATACTTGTCATCACTTATATAAGCAAGAAGTATGACCACCTTCTAAATATCTTCATCAATCAGCTCCTCCTCACTTCCCCATTTCTTGAGGATGATTCTGTCGCAAAATGTTGCGAGTAACTCAGCATTTAAAGAGCTTCCATCGACTGTTTGTCTACAAAAACTCTCAAATTCTTCTTTCAAAGTCTTGTAAGAGAGTGTGCGGTTTTGGGAATACTTAGTGACAGAGACCATGTATTTAGCCTGTAGCTCAATCAAAACATGTTGGCTCGGGGTCGCGAGAGAGCAGGTCGGTACGCTCTGCATCTGTGACATATTTCTTGAATATGTTTTCAATATGTTCCAAGCCTCGCGCCATTTCACAAAACTCTGATTGCTGTAGAAGCTGAAGCTGATTTGCATACTTCACTAACAGATCATGTTCAACTTTCTTAACCAACTTTGGAACACTGCTTGAGGGAAGGTAATGAGTCACTCTCTCCTTCTCCTTCTTTAGACATTCTTCAGACTTGAGAACATAATCATTGTAAGAATCTTCTTCAATCCAGCTTGATGCCTTGCGAGAACCTCTCAGTAAGACGATGCACCTTCAAGCAAGAACCTCTCGAAATCTTGTTCGTATCTTTCCATCTTTCCCATTCCAATCTCCACGTAAAACTCAACTACGCTTTTCACCAGCTCCCTATCAATATCCTCTCCGTCTCGCTCTCTATCAACTAGTGTTATCACAGCTTCTTTGACCTTGCGTTGCAGATTGTTATAGACCAGGTCACTAAAGCATGTAAGGCCAACTTCTTCCACTGTTGGGAGTGATCTCCGACAAATGAAGTTCCTGTCAATAGTATGGAAGATAAAGGATAGGAATTTAACCATGTTTTTATGGTTAGACCATCTTTTAACAAGTTCTTGCAGAAGCATATATTCATCGTCATCCTTGTCCGTTAACGCAGCCAACACTGTTGAGTTAACATATTCCTCAGCTGCTTCACTATACTTGTCATAAATCTGCCGTGCGTAATCATGAGGAGGTTTCTGGGTGACATGTTGTAGACAGTCGTGTAAAGCTCCATATATTCCTCAGGGCCAGGTGCCGGCCCAAGTCCTTCCAAATAGCGATTCTTCTTAGTGATACCACTATGTATATATTCCCATCCTTGGTCAAAGTCAATGGTCTTGCGCTCCATGTTGAGATTTGACTCTTGAATCTCTCTTTTAACACCCTTAAACAACCTTGACGATTATAATCCTGTAAATCTGAACATTGGAAAAAAAAATCTGTTCATCCTACTTGTCCAACTAAGTCTGATCCCGCAAACCGTAATAAGAAAATTAGTGTGTGTTCGCAAATAACATTGGCATGCAAAAAATCTTTTATTCTAAAAAAAAAAAGAACAAGAAGCGAGAGTTTTTAAGGTCGAGAGATTTGCAAGAGAGAATTAAAACCCTGAAAATCGTTCAGGAAAGGAATATACATACAGAGTATAAGTAAAGAAGTGTGGAAAACCTTTGAAAAGAATGGTGACGGAAATTGATATCTCTATAAACAGAACTCTTGTATACAAAACCATATCTCAGTTTATAGAAAGAAAAAAACAAGAAGGTCATAAAGGAATAAATAAAGGAAAGTTTGGAAACATATCTTCAAAGAACTGAAAATTACACTGTTTTTCATTTTATTTTTCGGAAACAATTTTTTTTTTGGGAGTCTATTATTACTTTAATAATTAAATTAAAAATATTTTCTATGTATTTGTATCATACGCATTACTGAATTCAGTTGAATGTATTTCACAGTTCAAATTAACCGAGAAGAAACAAGGCGTCTAGCTTTAAAGAACATATGTTATAATCCTGTAAATCTGAACATTGGAAAAAAAAGTTGTTCATCCTATTTGTCCAACTACGATTTAGTCTAATCCCGCAAACTAATAAAAAAATTAGTGTGCATTCGCAAATAACATTGACATGCAAAAAGACTAATAACTTAACAACTACGACTGAATCAAATTAGCTAGATCCCTAAAATCAATGAACTACAATGTGCTATAATCACACAGAAATTGGATTTTAATCCGCTACCATCACGAAAGGAAAACAATTTTAGAGAAACGAAAAAACTAAAACAGAGTTAGAAATACATGCCTTCGGTTGGAGCTCAATGTCGACGGAGAAGAAGTCGGAATATTGCTGCAGAGCTACAGTTCCGACTATCTTCAACGGTGACGGCGATTCTAGACGAAATCAATCCATTGGTTTGTGTGAGATTTTTTTTTTTTTGACAGCGCTGTTGGGTATTCTTTTTCTGAGGGTTTTTCTAGGGATGTAAAAATGGATAACCCAACCCGACCCAAACCCATACAGGTTTGAAGGTTATAGGGTCGGGTCATAATCCGACCCATTTATTTTATGGGTTGTAATTTATAACCCAAACCCAATTATTTTAATACCCATGGGTTAAATGGATTATATGGATACCCATATATATATATAAAATGAGTAATAATTTTTTTTTTGACAACAAATGAGTAATAATTTTTTTAAAAACATAACATATTATTAAAAATTCAACTAAAACTTCCAAATAACTAATTCATATTAATATTTGTCTAAAAAAACAAAATAAAATATTCATAATTATATAAAACATAAAATAAAACCATATGTTTATATTTTTAATGATAAATTTATGGATGTTTTATATTTTTAAGTGATAAATTTATGAATAATTTATATATTTATAATTTTTCTTATTTTTCTATAAACATGTGGGTAACCCATAACCCTAAACCCATTAGACCCATAGACTATTAGCATCAACCCATTTATTTATATGGGTAAACATATTCAACCCAAACTCATTTAAATTTTTGTCCATTGCCCATTTTGAGACCCCTAGGTTTTTCGATAACTCAATGAGAGAGGAGGGAAATTGAGAAGTCTTTAGCGCTTAATCGACTTAATTTTACTAAGTGTTGGCGAAATAAGAGTAATTAGCTTCCCCCTTATTAAAACTCTATCACAGCATTCATGCAATGCTGTAATATGATAGCCGGAATTAAAAATTCATCTTCAGTAGCAGTTTAACAAACCGTGCTATGCGATGTGCTATGAATGTAGACTTTTTTTTTTGTAGTGAGTCAAAAAGGATGCTAAGTAAAGAGAAAAATTTGAAAAATATCTTTTGAAAAAAAAAATATATTTTTAAATATTACTCTGTTTTATTTCTTAAAGTATTTTCTTTTAAAAAGTTAATTTTTGGGATCTTTTCAATTTTAAATGAATGAATAGAAAATACAAGTAAACATATGAAAAATAATTGTTTTAATTTCTTTGAACAATTGTCATTTTTTTTTAAATGATAAGATCTTTATGTTTTACGTAAAGATAATATTCTGTAAAAATATGCTTATCCTTCATTTAAAAAAAAATCAGAAATAGAATAATACTCGATAAATAATACCTCGATAAATGAATAGAGTTTTTGAGTCCTAAATTAAGTTATTGGTCTAATTATCTCTCGATAAAATAATAATCTCGCTAAAATAATAAAATATTGTGGTCCCAACATTATTACTTTATACAGGTTTGACTGTAATTAAGTTTTCTTATTAATTCTACTGTAGGGTCCAAAACTTCGTGATAAGCTCTTTTCCTAATGATTTCTCATATGTTTCGGAAATGTGACATGCATGCTTCAAGAAAACAAAAGAGAAGTTTAAGGCATCATGCATAAGCATGTATGATGAATGTCAACTGTTCAAGTCTCTCGATGGAGCACTTACAGAATTTGTTCGCCATGGAAGGTTGAAGCAAAAATCTGATCAGATAAGTGAATATGGCAAAGAAGAGTTGCTAAGCCACTTCTCCCACTGCTAATCAAAGAAGGTGGCAATGTGGTTGCGCTTGAAGATTGGTCCTTGGAAAGATTAAAAAGCTTAACCACATCTTCGCCCGCACTTTTGTAGAGCTAGATGGACATAACGAGATCAATAAAATAGCAAAAACACACAAGCTTATAGCAATAAACCTGATTGCACTGAATGGTGACCAAATGAATGAAGATGAACACTACATATTCCTTTTCGTTCTTTCAAAGTTACATCATTTACAAATAAGATTTTGTACATATGTGATTCCTTATTTTACAAAAATAATTCTCATCAAATATAAGAATGAATAATAATTCTTATTCTTAATTTAAGTCCTGTTTATCATTTTCCTACTCATTCCTATTACTATTGATTTATCACAAACATATAATTCGTTATGTGATTCAAAATCTCTATGATCCTGGTTTCAGACAGATAAGAAGTTTATGGACAAATTGTGAGTCAAGCGTATTGATCTAACTATAAGGAGAAAAAGCTTCCTAACTCTTTCATTAATTAAAGGCTAAAATATGCGTCTCTACTTTATTTCAAACCGTGACATGCTCTGTTTGTGATGGTTGTTACTATCAGAATCCGCCTTGAGAAATGAGGGGCTCCAAACGCACAAAAAGAAAAATTGTACAATTGTTCCAAGTTTTTGGTTTCATCAATAAAAACAAGGCTATTGAATGATATTTTTGATGAAGAGAATGAAAACATTATTACGTAGAGAAATTGAGGTTCGATCCAACCTTATTAGCCAGCTAAGCCATCTTGAATCAAAACCCCAGAAATAACAAAACCCCACATGGTCACTTGCATCCCAAGAAACAAATAAAAAAAAAGCACGACCGAGTTTTTAAAAGGGGAAGAACAAAGGCGATAATATTTTTTAGGATACTACAAGCAGAGATCTTATTATATAAAGCTGATGCGCATGCGACACGTAGGATTTTTATAAAATTCAGGATCGCGACATGTGTCACTTTTAAGTTTATGTCCGTTAAGATCGTGACACGTGTCTTAGGAAAAAAGGAGAATTAAAAAAAAAAATTCCAGAAAAATGTTAATTAAAAAAACGAAATTTAATTTATATATTATATCAAAAAGGAAAAAATAATATTTGTCATATCCAAACAGAAAAAGGTTTCCCATTCATCAAATTTTTTTATATAAAGTTGGATGCACGACGTGGTTGCGACACATAGGATTTTTATAATTTATAAGATCGCGACATGTGTCACTTTTAATGTTACGTCCGTTAAGATCGTGACACATGTCTTAGAGAAAAAAAAAAAATAATAAAATAAAAATTTAGATAAAGGAAATGTTTAAAAAAAATAATCCATTACAGTTAAAAGAAATAAAAATATATTTGTCATATCCTAATAGAGAAAGGTTTCCCATTCATCAAATTAATATTATCCAAACAAATAATAAAATCAAAATAATGTAATAAATAAAATCCTATTTGTACATGGAATATGTTATGTAAACTAAATTTCCTATAACTGCATGTAATAGGTTACTTGAACCCCTATAAAAGAGAGTCAAGGTTTCTCAATCATAAATTCATCAAAGCAAATTCATCAAATCCCTTTGATTCTATTTCTCCAATTTAAAAATCATGTTTTTGAAAGTTTTGCGATACATAGGATTTTTATAACTGACAAAATTGCGACATGTGTTTTAGAAAAAAAAATTCTGAAGTATGAAGATCGTAACATGTGTCATGGAATAAAAATAATAAAAAATTTAATATGTATAAGACTAACTAAAAATTAGAAAAACAGATAACAAATAATTTTAAATTCTATTGTTACATCTATTAAGAAAAGGAAAAAAAATCCATTTTGAAAAGGAAAAATACCAATATATAGTATTTATAATGGTCCGAGGCAAAAACAAAATTGAGAAAGAAAAAATATAAATAGAAAACTAACAAAATAATTATCAAGCAATTAACTAATATTAAAAAATTATAATTGATATTCTAATTTTAAATAGTTTGATTTTCAATTTTTGTTAGGTAAAAAAATTGAAATAAAGATTTCATCAATTAAAATCTCTTGAATGGAATAATAAAAGTTTGATTAATTAATCAGTTGATCAGATTTAGACATGTGTAAGTCTTTCTGTATTGGATAAAAATAATAGTAAAACAAATTAATTCATTTTGTCATATCATAAATTCAAAAGAAAAATCAATTACAATAAAAATGTAAAAGTATTACCAATCTTATTTTATTTAAATATTTTTTATCGGGTTTTCAATATTATTTTGTTTACGTTTAAAAATGATCAAATTTTGTTTAATATTTTCCATGTTTTATTATAAAATCTTAAAATATACCCGCGTATACGCGGGCCTTAATCTAGTATATATATATATATATATGCTTTGTTTCATTACCTAAGCCAAGTACCTAAACATGTTAGGATTTTCCTTGTCCCTCTCCAAATAATCTCTGTTTATTAAATCTTCGATACGTTTCTTGATCGCTTTAATATCAGGCTTGAACATCCGGCTAAGTTTCTCGACACACTCAGAAACAAGTTGTTGATATCCCAATACTTTACTTCCCTTCATGATCCTGACAATGGCAGCATCAATTGCATAGCGCCTGTCTTTCTCTACTACATCTTCAACGACTTTCTTCCTTTCATCAGCACGAGGGAGAGGGGTCTTTACTCTGCGCATTCCAACGTTGAATTTGGAGTTGAATTCAAAAACATCATTCTTGGAAAAAGTCTTTGTGTTTGGATCCTTGATAAGAATCTTGTACTTAGCACAAGACAAGGAAAGAAGTAACCGCACTAGATCTTCATCGGTTACGTTCAGTATAGTTTGGATGTCAGTGTAACTCATCAAGTCTCTTGTGTTGAAAAGCAGAAGCAGACCAGCTAGGTGAGTAGACACAATCAACTCAATGGTCCTTTGACCAAACTTTCCATTGATGTGACAAGTTCCTAGTTTGAACAGTACTATGTAGAAATTATAAAGAAAATAGTATTCCCTCTATCCCATATTATAAGCAGTTTAGAAAAATGTTTATCCTCCCAAGCAGTTTAGAAAAATGTTTATCCTCCCAAGCAGTTTAGAAAAATATTATTTGCACTATAATCGCCCTAAAGAATATCCTCCCAGGCACGCTTACCAAGGCCACTTCCTTCCTCTCCCACCCTTGCTCTGCTCCAATTTCGGAATGGATCTCCTTCACCAGGGTTCCTCTCCGGAAATTGGAGCGTGGCTTCCTTTTTCCCGGACTCCCATTTGGTGTCCGACGACTTTGGCTCTCCTCCTGGCCGTGTTGTTATCATCGGCGAAGCTTTTTTGCCTTTTTTTCTTCTTTTTGCTTTTTGGCCGTGCTCCTCCTCCGGTGACAGAATCGACGACGGGATTTGCAGAGTTCTCGAAGATGGATCTCTCGCCTCTCTTCTTCAACTCACCGGATGAGCTAGTTTGTTTTCGCCGAGTCCTTCTCATTCAGAGTGAGCAGCTTTACGGCGATGCCGAAACCTCCACCAAAATCTCCACCGAAACCTCCACCAAAATCTCCACCAAAACCTACAGATCTACAGCCTTGCCCTCATCTACAGAGTCTGAGGTAGCCGCCTACCATAGCTTCAAATCTCATCTCTCCGGCCACAATCCTCCTCTGACTACTCGACGTATCTCGGCGGGAAGAACCGTTTCTTCTTCTCCGTCGGGCTTTGATGGCGACAAAACCCCTTCCGCTGTGGTGTCTGTGTTTCATTCTATTCTTTGCGCCTCCACCACACACGGCAAGCCCTTGTACTACTCTGTTTCAACCTTCAGCAGCTTGGAGTTTCAGTCAACGACAAATCTAATCTCGCTACAAAAGCTTGCTCACCGGAATCGATTAAACCATTCAGCAGCCTTCAGCAGCAATACAACGTCATCTTTCAACGCTATATTTCATACCGTGTGTTGCCTCCAACCTTCCTCCGCCACAGAGAGATCAATTCCATTTGCTTCCTCTTTCATGGAGAGATCACTTCCATCACCTTCCTGCAAACGAAGAAGAAGCCCAATGTGGAAATATTCACCAGAAGAAGCCCTCTTCAACATCATACCAGCTCTTGTCAACGTTTTATCTTTAGGCGTATATTGTGTTGATCCTTCCTTTGTCATCACAGAGACATCAGTCCATAATTGTGAAATTATCATCCGATTATGTTGACTTGGATTATGGAGTATTGCCAACTTACGTGCGTATCTCCGAATCTACATCCGCGGCTCTAGAGTAGTGCCAATCTTCCGGGATATCTCTTAACTCGCCCCTCTCCTGTTTGGAGAATGTCTTTAAACGCTCCTCACGAGCTATCATCGTTCAATTGTCTTTATTGACAGAAGAACTTGCCCTTTTTAAAGGGATCTCGGTTATTTTCTTTGAATCTAACCTTCTATCTATCTTTAGCATGCTTTGTACTTTACTTTTTGCATCTTGTTCGGACTCTTTGGCATCGAGCTTCCGACTTCTTTGGTTTGTAACCGGGTTCTAAGTTTAATATAAAATCAGTTGTTCAAAAAAAAAAGTTTATACAATTATTATTAATATTAATATTATTTATTATAATATGTATATGACAAAATCATTATATGACTACTATTCATTATTGTACAGTAAAACTAAAGTATATTATGTTATTTAGAAATTTCTTATTGGGTTTTTCAATATTAATTTACTTATTATAAGAATAAGTATATTTTACTTAATATTTTTTCTTAAATGCTTTTCAAAAATCTTAAAATAAACTCCTCTTATAGGCGAGCCTTTATCTAATTATTATATATTTGGCGATAATCACACATAGGATAATTCAAGAGAGGGACAAATAAGACCACCACTAGTCCATTATATATAACATATATGCATGAACGTCTCCCTCGCATCAGAAAATACCATCGAGGAATGGGCCGGCGAGAAAAACAGCGATATTTGTTGTATTCGTCAGGAGGATTTTTAACAGTGTAAATGTGGCAGAGAGGATAAATGTGGCAGAGAGGACACCGTCCGGTACGGGAAGAATACAATTTCCCGCTGGAAGATTGAGTGAGAAAAGGCACAGACTCTCGCTAAACAAAAGTGTTTCTAAGACGTTGAGCACTATGGTAAATGTACCGTTGGGATTGGTCACTGCTTGAGCGAGACTTGTGGTTGAGCCGCAACATTGTAAGAGAATAGTGGCATTCGAGACAGGAGCGCCTTGAGAATTTCCGTCAAGGTTACAGTACACGACACCTTCAATTACGATTCGGCCTATCTTGAGGCCAGCAAATGAAAAACCGTGGGAAGGGGGAGAGAGTGAAGCCATGATGAGAAGAATATAGATGAGATAAACATTTGATCTCGCCATTTCTCGTTTTTTTCTTGTCTATTTTGATTTCTTTTATAGAATTGGTTTTGGCTGTGTGGCAAAGAAGCATATGTGAAGGGGTATCTATGGGTAGAAATGAATCACTTAGCCACTTAGGTATGTGTTTTGTAGATAAATGTTGTAGGATTTTCTAGGTCACATATGAAACGGATACTATAATTAATGTAATTCTTTTTTACGTGCACGAGATAATCTAAGTTACTAAAATGTGTTGATTGCATAGAAAGAACTCAAGGAAAAAGAACTGGAAATGTGTGTTATTTTTAGAGAAGTTCCTATCATATTAACAAATTCGTAGTTAATGTGATTTTGTTTGAGTGAAACAAGAAATAATGTGTGTCGTTGATATCTATATCTTTCAAGTTTTTACCAAGGTTTTTATTATACTAGGAGGTGATCCGCACTTCGCGCGGGAATTTATATTATTGTGTTAATTTTATTATTTTTCTGCAAATTTAGTTTATTTCTATTGTTTATTATTGTTTCAAAAATATTACACATGTTAATTAAAAATAATTATAATTAGGCAAAATTAACGTACTGTCTTGTCCCATTGTATCCCATTTCGTTCATTTTCATCATGTCTATTCTTTCTCGTCTCATCCATCATGTTTGTCCCGTCCCGTCCTATCCCATTATGTTCCTTTCCATTTTGTTATGTTCCTTCCGTTTCATCTCGTCCCGTTCCCTAAATATAACTAAGGATAGACAAAATTCCCGTATAGTCCCATCTCGTCTCATTTCATTCCTTTTCATCTTGTCCCGTTCTTTCCCTGTCCTGTTCCGTCCTGTCTGCCCTATCGAGTCCCATCATATCCTGTTATATTTTTTTTTTCCGGTTTTGTCTTGTCTCTGTCCGGTCCCTAAATATAATTAGGGGTAGGTGAAATTACTGTCCTATCCCTTCTCGTCCCATTATGTCTCTTTCATCCCGTCCCGTCGCATTCTGTTTTTTCATCTCGTCATGTCTAATTTGTTTGTCTCATCTCGTCCAGTCTTATCTCATTTCTCTTGTTATTTTTTTTCGTCTCATCTTGTCCGGTCTCGTCTCATTTCATCCTGAAAACTAGATTTTTGATAGATCCAAACCCTCAAATCTCTGCTCATATCATTGCAGTATAGTTTAAGGTATCAATCCAAATCTCAGGGAAGATTGGGTTCTAAAGATTGAACAAGAAAACTTCAAGCCAAGAACAAGATTTGGTTTTTATGAAATCCGAACGTTAAACAGTAAAATACAAACTTAGAACAGTGAAATAACGGTCCAAATCAAGATTCAAAGAGGAAAGAAATCGACTTTGAGCTAAAAGACTTGAACTTTGATGAAAATGAAGAAAGGCGATGGCTTTAGGTGATTTCGGATGGAAATCGAGCTAAAGGAAGAAGCTTTAAGACTTAGAAGATAAAACCGAGTTTCTAGGCTAAGGAAAACGAAAGCAAGAGCTTATCACTATCGTGAATGAGCTCGAATGCAAGGTCCAAACTCAAGACTCACTATCGTGAGTGAGCTTGTACACCAAGCAAGCTTTAAACGCAGATCCCATCACCAAAAAGCTCTAAACAAATCGCTATCGCGAGCTAGAAAAGCGGATCCCTTGTCTTAGATTATCTAGCTCTCAAACACACTTTTGATGTGTTGAGAGCTTGAGATCTGAGCCAAGATGATCAGAAATGACTCAGCCTTAAGGGCACTAAGCAAGGAGAAACTCTAAAGGTCTAGCTTTAAGCTCAAACTCTCCTTTAAAGCTCTCAAAACCGAATCACCTAAAACGATCTAAAGACTACTCACTCATCCTGTTTGACAACCCGATTCTCATAAGAGGAAGGTTGTTTACAAGTAAATGAGATGGAAACAAAATGCAAATGACAAGTACGTGATTTGATTAAGAGAAAGAGACCAAAGCTTACAAAGTCTTAGATCTCAACTAGAGTATTTCTTGGTGGCAAAATGAAAGACAAATTACAAGATGCCTAAAAACTTAGGACTTTTTAGTTTATATAGTGGAGACTCTAAAACCCTTCTTCTTTCCTTCCCCAAGATTTAAGCTCCAAACGCCGCGTTTCACTTAAGGCATGGTCAACTCTCTTCTTGGTCAAGAAAGCTTGTAAGGCGACAAACGGGTTCTGATCCTGGTTCGCATCCTGGTTGCTCTTTGTCTTGACGTCTCCGACACTCCTTCTCCCAAATGGCTCCAAAGCTCCATTAAGCACCTGATTCAGACTCAAAATGCAATGTATATGCAATGCAAGTCCTAATGAAGATGCATGTATAGATAGAGATATGTGGATATAAATGTATGAGAATGATGCCAATAGGTGGAAATATGCATGTAAATGTATGCTAATGTATGTTAATATATGTGTATATCAACACCCCCAAACTTGAATCTTGCTTGCCCTCAAGCGAGAAGACCAAATCTGAGATGCTGATATCGAGGACTCAAAACTCAAGAGTGCAATGAGAGGAAATGAAGTCAATGATCAGGTTGAGAATCATAAAATGCAAGGCGAATGAGCTCTACTTCCAAAATTTTAGCCACACCCATCAAAGCAACAGAAAAACACTAGACTCAACTTCCACAATGCATTCAAATAGCTCTCATCCTTTAACATTCAATTATAACAGAACCGTGAATCAACCACTCATGCATTTCAAAGTACTCGCTTGGCTTAAAGGGATAAGCTTCAAAGGACAAAGATGGTCCTGTTTTCTGGTTTCAAAATCAGCACAAGGGATCTCTCAAAGAAGGTTGAGCTTTAGTAGAATGCTAAGGGTGAAAACCAAGGATGATACAAGGCTAGACTTCCATCTACCCAAGAAAGCATAACTCCCCTTTTAACCTTTAGGTTGGAACCTTTTTCTTTTCTTTTGCTTTCAAGTCCTTAGGAGAGGTTTCTAAACTTCATCTAGCGGTTTGGGATTTCTTTTGTTTGGCTTTTTAGGCTCTTTTCTAAATTGGCTTTTGCCTTTCTTTTTTTTTTTCTAGCTAGAGCTTTTTCTTATTTCTTTCCCAAACCTTCACTAGAGCACAACACTTTCACTACTCTCTCCTAAGGGACTCGGCTTAACTTTTTCTTCCCTTTTTAGGACTTTCCTTGGAACTCTTTCCCTTTTCCTTTCTTTTCAGAACTTCCCCAAGCCCAAATGGTGTTTCCCCCAAACTTAGTCCTAACTAGCTCAAAGGACCGAGCTAGAATCTACATGGAAGCCTAGACCTTGTCGGTAAAAACCCAACACTTTCTACCAAGCTCAACCAAAAAGGCCTTACACACTCAGAAATAACAACTTGGTTTCAAAGAAAGGTTGGTTCAAGGTGGGGAAATCTACTTGGATTAACAAGAGTGGTGAAAAGGGTGAAAGATAATCCAAGTATGTATATGTATCCGCGAGTTCTTAGCAAATGCACAAGGATGATAATTAACAATCAAATTCAGGTTTCGATAAGCAGGATGAGAGATCAAATCACAACAATGCTTCAGCCGATCTAGATGTCAAAGAGTGCATTCAAGGTGTGGTTCTTTCTTAACTTCAAGCTCACTCTATATGCACCAAATGATTCAAAACCGGACCATTGAAACCATTTCGAAAAATCACAAACTTTTATTCCTCATTGTCCTCTATGCAAATGGGATGATATGCATCTAGACTCAATCCTAAAATGCAAATGCTCATGATGCTTTTCTTTTTGAAGAATGCAATTTTCGAAATTTTTCAATTTTTTTGGTTTTTCTATGCCATATATGCAAATGCAAACTACATGAGACTCAAGGATGAAAATTGAAAATAAGAAAACAGAAAACATGATCAAATGCTATGGACCTCTCCCCCAAACTTAAAGTGCACAGTCTCTTGTGCACAAAAGAGTATGAAGAAGAGATCCATCAAAGAGATGCAAAACAAAGAAAAATAAAAATGAGTGGTATTTACAATGGATTTGAGTCTTACCTTATTCATTGTCAGGGTAGGGTGGTGTGGGACAATCGTCAAGGTCGATTGGCTCCGTTGAAGACGTTGGAGGTGGTGATGCGCCGGTTTTTCTCTTCCGCTTGCTTCTCCTTAACGTTGGCTCCACGGTTTTGCTTGGTGATGCGGCCTTTGTTGCTTTTGGTGATGCAAGAGAGCTTCTCCTTGAGAACGTTGACTGTCTCGGTGAGCTTCTTGATCACCTCATCTTGTTTCTTGCACCACCTTTGAAGCATGCCTATATGCTCGTGTGCCTTGATGATCGCGGACGCTTCCACTCGCGTTGTACGGGATGAAGTCGAACTCACCAAGCTCACTTGCTTGTCCTTGAGGAAGGCTCTCCTCGTTCGCGCCCTTGCCCCTCACCGACCGTTGCATCGCCTCCATCCATAAACAACTGATCAGCCGAGGGGAGAAACAGGATTCCATCCCGGCTGTTGGTGTTTGTAAGATCGGTGTTCGGAAGAAGGATCTTGAGATGCCAAACGAGGGATGCTCGAAGCGATAGATGTGCTTCCCTCATGCATTCCACGCAAGAACCAGTCTTGTTCAGGTGGGCAATGTCGATGAACTTGGGTGGATGAGAAGGGGCCGGGAGCTTGACTTTGTAGCAAGAAGGATCGGAGTGATCAAGCTACCTATTGCCAAGTGAGACTCCTTGATCTTGCCTTGCTCGTACAGCAGCTCTGCGTTCCTCATTACATGTAGGAAGGAGTTCACCAACACGACTGCCTTGCTCGTCTCTCGCAAGTCTCCTTTCATCTCGTTCCATCATCCAGAGTTTGAGCTTCTGGATTATCCCTTCATCAAGCAGCTCGAGCTCTTGCGTCGTGACGTTTGAGCAGTCATGTCTAGCAAAAGGGTATTGGCGATCACCTTGTGGGCATAGCGTATGCCGGGTTCTTGATGCAGCCGCTCTTGTTGCTGGAATCTGATAAGATCCGAAGCTTATCATCCTCCAAGCGCATGGAGCTCAGTTGCGGCTACACACACTCGGTGTCAAGACCTCGATCCTCCTCAAGGTTGTAGATGGTCTCAAGCTCCTTCATGCTGAGCAGATATCTTGTCCCAGTAGGTGAAGGTGATGTAGCCGATCCCATCTCTCTTGAGCTCAGCAGCTGCTCCCTGAGGATGCTTTTGAGTTTCAGGGAGGCGAGGAACTCTATCGCCGGTTCCCTATATGCCGGGAGAGCCTGCTTCGTGAAGTCTCCGAGCTCGATGTAGTAGAGGATGTCGTTGACGTCCTCCTCAATTCCCAGCTCCTTGATGGTCTCCTGGTGTGGGTAGCGCATCGACATGAACTGCATCCTCCTCAAGATACGGATGCGCTCTTGGACCCCATAAGGTCTGGGATCATCGAGTCATCCATGTCCTGGCCAGCAGTCTCCGGCCATTTCGGACCGACACCTTTGGGCCTCCCTTTCTCTTCCACTATAGTCCATCTTCTTCTTCCCTCACGCTTCTCTTCTCTGCTTCCACATCTCCACTCTGATCCTCACTTTGAACCGGCTTCTTTGTGAACTTTGTTTTCGCCATTGTACCTGAGAAACAACAATTCTCAAGGTACGATTAGGCTCTGTTTTAGAATAATCACAAACAATCAAATTCAAAGCTTCGGCTTAAACCAAATTCGATTTTCGATTAAGAACGAGCTCAAAACTTTCAAATCCAACCACTCAAGATCATTTAACAGGAAATTTTAAAAACATGCTGTGAACCTCGAGATTTAGCTAGAAAACTCAAGAACACTTTGAAAAACCTAGCTTCGAGATTCACTTCAAGCACGAAATTTCCTACATGCAAACTCGAATTCGATCTAACCTAGTCGCAATCAACCGGATCTACTCAAGAATAGCAACAAACAGGTTTCTCTTTTGAATCCCAAAAAGAAGAAAACCGGAAGTGAAAGAGTAAAAACGAAGATCGGATACCTTGATTGGACTGTCGGATTAAGATGAATCGAGTTAAGTTTGATCGAGCGGCGGATTTAAAGAGATTTGAGCTTTGAAATTCGAATTTTGGTTGAGAAACGAAGAAATCCGAGATTTTCGTGTAGAGAGAATCGGGGAAAAAGCTTTTTGAAGAAGAAGAAACCCCAAGTTTTAAAATAAAGGAGAAAAGAAAAGGGTTTCTTCTGATTTTAAAAATTCAAAAAGAAACGGGTCACTTACTGACGCGGGTTGTCAGAGAACCTGGCTGACAACCCGTCTGCTTTAGAATTCACCCGGTTAAGCTGAGATTAGAGTCAAAGGAGTGTTGGATTGGGCAGTTGAATCACTTAAGCTCTTGGACAAGAAATGTCTTTATAGAACTGCCCATTTCCAATTCCTTAACTCTCTCTCAGCTTCTTCTTGAATCATCCCTACAAAACACATTAGATAAAAACAAAGCTAGATAAAAACATAAAACTATTTACAAAAGGATAACCATGGGACTTCCTCCCAAGTGAGCTTGTTTTGAGTCCCATAGCTTGACTTTCATTGCCTTTTTAGGCTTGGGGTGGATCATGGAGACGGATTGAACTTCCCTCTCCAATGCTTTGACTCCCCATGTACTTCTTCAACCGATGACCGTTAACCGTGAACTCAGCTCCATTGTTGTTCACTAGGGTGATGGCTCCATAAGGCAACACTTCCTTGACCTTGAATGGTCCTGACCAGCGACACTTAAGCTTCCCAGGGAATAGCTTGAGCCTTGAGTTGTAGAGGAGCACATCATCTCCCTCCTTGAAAACCTTGGGAGTGATTCTCTTGTCATGGAAGGCCTTAGTTCTCTCCTTGTATATTCGAGAACTCTCATAAGCATCCAAGCGAATCTCCTCTAGCTCGTGGAGGTCCATTTCCCTCTTCTCCTGAGCTGTACTTAGCTCCATGTTTAGGAACTTAATTGCCCATCTAGCTCTATATTCCAGCTCAAGAGGTAAATGGACAAGACTTCCCATAGATCAAAGAGTATGGAGATCTCCCAATTGGCGTTTTGTAAGCAGTTCTGTAAGCCCACAAAGCATCATCCAACTTCTCTGACCAGTCCTTCCTTGATGAGTTCACTGTCTTGTGGAGTATGGCTTTGATTTGCTTGTTAGATACCTCCACTTGACCACTAGTTTGAGGGTGGTATGGTGTGGCTATCTTGTGCTTCACACCATATTTCTTCAAAAGGTTCTCAAACACCTTGTTCACAAAGTGAGATCCTCCATCACTGATCACACATCTTGGAACCCAAACCTTGGGAAAGATTATAGTCTTGAACAGCTTGAGGACACTTTGGCATCGTTGGTTGGTGCGGCTATGCTTCACCCATTTTGAGACATAGTCAACGGCGACTAGATGTAAGTTGCCGTGAGAGGCAGGGTTGAATGGACCAACAAAATCTATTCCCCATACGTCAAACACTTCAACTTCCAAGATAGGATTCTGAGGCATCTCGTTCCTGCCGTGATGTTCCCTGCCTTTTGACAAGCCTCACACTTAGAGATGAAGGCATGAGCATCCTTTGAACATACTTGGCCACCAAAAACCTGCTTGCAACACCTTCTGGACCGTTTTAAAAACCGCAAAATGGCCTCCATAGCTTGACCCGTGGCAATGGAACAAGATTCCCTCAACTTCCTTCCTTAGCCACACATCTTCTGAACAAGTTATCATTCCCTTTTCTGAACAAATAGGGTTCATCCCAGTAGTAGTGAACCACATCTTTGAAGAACTTCTTTCTCTGATAACCACTCCATCCACTTGGAACTTCCCTGCACACCAAGTAGTTCACAAAGTCTGCGTACCAGGAACCTCTTCTCCTCTTGCTTCCAGCCGGCACTTGGTCAAATAGCCTCTATCCACGATCTTAGCAGCCATGAGTTGCTCCTCTGGCAAAGAGTCATCGATGGGAACATCTCCCTCAATCCTCAATCTCGATAGATGATCGGCCACGCTATTCTCGGTGCCTTTCTTGTCACGATCTCGATATCGAACTCTTGAAGCAAGAGAACCCATCTATCAGCCTCGGTTTAGCATCTTTCTTGGTGTAGAGATACTTGAGAGCTGCGTGATCGGTGTGAACTATGACCTTTGATCCCACAATGTAGCTCCTGAACTTATCAAAAGCAAACACTACGGCAAGCAATTCTTTCTCGGTCGTCGCATAACGGGTTTGAGCATCATCTAGCGTTCTACTTGCGTAGTAGATGACGTTCATCTTCTTATCACCTTCTGACCAAGCACTGCTCCAACCGCGAAGTCTGAGGCATCACACATTATCTCAAAGGGGAGATCCCAATTTGGAGCTTGGACAATTGGTGCGCTAACAAGGGCTTCCTTGATCTTCAAGAAAGCTTGGCTACACTCTTCATCAAAGATGAACTCTGTTTCTTTGCATAAGAGTCTTGTGAGTGGCCTGCTATCTTAGAAAAATCTTTGATAAAGCGCCTGTAGAAACCCGCATGTCCCAAGAAGCTTCTCACATCCTTAACTGATTTTGGCTCCCCAAGTTGCACCATTACTTCTATCTTTGCCTTGTCCACTTCAATGCCTTTCTCTGAGATCTTGTGGCCAAGGACTATCCCCTCTTTCACCATAAAATGGCACTTCTCCCAATTCAAACCAAGCCTGTTTCCTCACATCTTTTCAGCACCCTACATAGATTAGACAAACAAGAGGAAAAGGAAGAGCCATAGACCGAGAAATCGTCCATGAAGACCTCAACCATTTCCTCTATTAGATCCGAAAAGATTGAAAGCATGGCTCTTTGAAATGTTGCTGGGGCATTACATAGTCCAAATGGCATTCTTCGATATGCGAAGGTGCCATATGGACATGTAAATGTGGTCTTTTCCTGGTCATTTGGATGGATTGGAACCTGGAAAAAACCACTGTAGCCATCCAAGAAACAGTAAAATGGATGACATGCCAACCTTTCAAGCATTTGGTCAATGAATGGCAAAGGAAAATGATCTTTCCTTGATGCAGAATTTAACTTACGATAATCAATGCACATTCTATGTCCAACTATTGTCCTACTTGGGATCAATTCATTCTTTTCGTTCTTGATGACAGTAATCCCACCCTTTTTTGGGACGCAATGTACTGGAGAAACCCAAGTACTGTCCGAAATAGGGTAAATGATTCCTGCATCAAGAAGCTTCAAGATTTCTTTCTTTACTACTTCTTTAAGATTGGGGTTTAACCTACGCTGATGCTCAATAGATCCCTTTGATTCATTTTCGAGATGGATCCTGTGAGTGCATAGAGTAGGGGAGAGACCCTTGATATCGTCCAGCGAGTATCCAAGAGCTCTCCTGTACTTTCGCAGCTCGACAAGGAGGGTTTCAAGCTCATGGGGGTCTAATGCATCATTGACAATGACAGGGTATGTGGAGTTAGAGCCTAAGAACGCATACCTGAGCCCCTTTGGGAGTGGTTTGAGATCGACTTTGGGAGCCTTAAGCTCAGACCAGTCATCGTCCGTGCCTTGCTCTTGAGAGCTTTCCTCCTTTGGTTTGGACTCTAGAGCAAACAGGTTCTCAACCTGTTTTCCATCCCGGATGCTCTTCGTTTCTGACTGACCAACTCTCAAAGCCTGTCCCTCTTTTGCTGCTCTGTGTGAGTCCATAAGCCAAGCATAACCCATACTCTCTGCTTGTAGACATCCAAACTCCTCATTATCCTTAGTCAAAGCCAGCTGCAGCTTATCCTCAACTCCCAATTCCTCCAAGTAGTCTTCGGCTAGCTGCTCAAGTGTTTCAATGTAAAACGACTCACCATTTATAGTTGGTTGCTTCATAACATCTTTTACATTGAACACCATCTTGCAGTCTTTACCCAAATTCAGCTCAATCTTGCCTCTTCTCACATCAATTATAGCTCCAGCAGTGGCAAGGAAAGGTCTTCCCAAAATCAGAGGATCTTTGGGTTCTTCATCCATCTCACTACCACAAAGTCAGTTGGAACTATCACACTTCCCACCTTGAGTGGCATATCTCAAGCATACCTACTGGAAGCTTAACTGATCTATCAGCAAGGATCAGAGAGAAATGACACTCCTTGTATTTCTCAAAACCCAAACGCCTTGCCACAGTCAAAGGCATTATGCTTACACTCGCCCCAAATCACACAAACTTTTCTTGAATGCTAAAGGTCCCAAGAACAGGGAGAGTGAAGCTTCCAGGATCACCAAGCTTCTTTGTTACTGTCTTGCTTTGAATTATAGCACTACACTCTTGAGACAATACCACCATGCCTTGCACTTCCTTGGTTCTCTCCAAATGGCATCTTTCAAAAATTTCTGATAAGGCTTGATCATCATGAGAGCATCCACAAAAGGGATCTTCATCTCTGACAGATTGCTGATCAAAAACTTTCTGCATTTCTCTGCCATTTGTTTCTTGAAACGTGTTGGAAAAGGTAGCATTGGCTTGAATGGTGGAGGAACAAAAAGAGTTTCCCTCCTCTTCTTGTTTCCTTTTGACGGCTCGGTGCGCTGTCCTCTGCTTCTCAGGCTCTGGCTACTGATTCTTTCTCAACTCTCCTCAGCTTCAATGTCGACTGACTCCTCCTCCTCTTGAATCGCAACGTCCTCGTTGCGTCTTGATGGTACCACTCTCTCCGGAAGAACTCTCCCACTCTTAAGAGTAATTGCTTGCACATACTCCTTTGGGTTTGCGATTGCTTTTCCAGGAAGCATTCCCTTTGAAGAAGAAGGTATGTTGTGGCTCTTAGCTTCCAAGTGTTGAACCTTTGAGTTTAAAGATTCCAACTTCTTGTTGAGGTCATTGTAAGAGCAATCCACCTTGTTGTTGATCTCGGCTAGCTTGGTGTTAGCTCAGTAGCACCACTTGTTTGGCCCTTTGATTAATTGTTGAAGCATGGTCTTCATATCTGAGTCTTGACTTGAGTTGCTCCCTGCTTGAGCTTGAGTTGAGCCTTGGTTCTGATTCCAAAAACCTTTGGTGGGTAACCACGCTTGAAGTAAACAGTTTGTTGGCCCCCTTGATTTTGGTTTTGTTGAGGTGGGTAGACTTGGTCTTGTGGATTCTCCACATTGGTGCTGCGGTAAGAGAGGTTCGTGTTGTTGTTTGTGTTGTAACCCTTGTAGTAACCTCCCTGATTACTCATATAGCACACTTCCTCAGTTTGTTGGTCCTCCCCCTCTTGGTTCACATCATCCTCACAAACAAAGTGAACTTGCTTTTGTTGGCCAGTCAAGATCTTGTCAAGCTTGTCATTCAATGTTTTGATCTCCTTCTTGTGCTTCTCATCATTGACTGAGCTATCTCCTCTATCACTTCGATCATACTCCTCTGGATAGTTTCCATCACTAAGAGCAACATTCTCCACCAAAGCGAGCCCATCTCTACATCCATTCCCATAAAATGACCCTTACTAGCTGAATCCAAATGCATCTTGTACTTAGGGGAGACTCCTCTGTACAACGTGCTTAGTAAGTTCTCTTTGGAGAAGCCGTGATGAGGACACTTCATTTGATATCCCTTGAATCGCTCATATGCCTCTGAGAATGTTTCACCGGTTTGTTGAGTGAAACTCGCAATGTTGTTCCTTAGCTGAGCAGTTCTTGACGTGGGAAAGAACTTCGCAAGAAAGGCATGCTTGCATTGTTCCCAAGTTGTCACGGTTCCAGGTTGGATTGAAGACTCCCAAGCTAGTGCGTGTCCACTCAAAGAGAAGGGAACAATCGGAGCTTAAGAGCATCCTCAGTGACATTGTTGATCTTTTGCAAAGCACAAATTCTATCAAACTTTTCCAAGTGCTTCAAAGGATCTTCATCTTTCATTCCGTGAAAGATGGAATTCTCCACCAAGTTTATCAAGCTTGTCTTGATGTCGAAGTTGAAATTTGGGACTGGTGGTGGGGTAATGCCGGGACGATTCGCTGGAATCGTCGGAATATCGCCAGCTCCGATTTGTCTTGCCGGACGTTGAGCTTGAGCTGGATTCCCGGCTTGTGGTGGAAAAGCTCCCGGTGGAGGAGCTCCTCCGTGGTTATCTGCCATCGTCTCAGTACCAGAGTCGTCGTCACTGAGTGTAACTCGGAGCCTGTCTGAAATCCTGAACTCGACTCTGCTTCTACTCTGTTCTGCCGTTGACGCTCGCGTTTAGCTCGTTCAGCTCGTTGAAGTTCGTCGGAGCTTAACAAGTTTGATTTGCCGCGAGAGCGTGTTTGCATACACCTGAGAGTAAGACAAAGCAAAGCCCAGGCAGATTAGGTGTAAGTTGCAGAAATTTAAAAACTTGAACTTGAATTTTTCCAAAATCGAAAATCCCAATCAAATCCCCAAGATTGGCAACGGCGCCAGTTTGAAAACAAGATTTTTAGTAGATCCAAACCCTCAAATCTCTGCTCATATCATTGCAGTATAGTTTAAGGTATCAATCCAAATCTCAGGAAAGATTGGGTTCTAAAGATTGAACAAGAAAACTTCAAGCCAAGAACAAGATTTGGTTTTTATGAAATCCGAACGTTAAACAGTAAAATACAAACTTAGAACAGTGAAATAACGGTCCAAATCAAGATTCAAAGAGGAAAGAAATCGACTTTGAGCTAAAAGACTTGAACTTTGATAAGAAAATGAAGAAAGGCGATGGCTTTAGGTGATTTCGGATGGAAATCGAGCTAAAGGAAGAAGCTTTAAGACTTAAAGATAAAACCGAGTTTCTAGGCTAAGGAAAACGAAAGCAAGAGCTTATCACTATCGTGAATGAGCTCGAATGCAAGGTCCAAACTCAAGAGCTCACTATCGTGAGTGAGCTTGTACACACAGCAAGCTTTAAACGCAGATCCCATCACCAAAAAGCTCTAAACAAATCGCTATCGCGAGCTAGAAAAGCGGATCCCTTGTCTTAGATTATCTAGCTCTCAAACACACTTTTGATGTGTTGAGAGCTTGAGATCTGAGCCAAGATGATCAGAAATGACTCAGCCTTAAGGGCACTAAGCAAGGAGAAACTCTAAAGGTTCTAGCTTTAAGCTCAAACTCTCCTTTAAAGCTCTCAAAACCGAATCACCTAAAACAATCTAAAGACTACTCACTCATCCTGTTTGACAACCCGATTCTCATAAGAGGAAGGTTGTTTACAAGTAAATGAGATGGAAACTAATGCAAATAACAAGTACGTGATTTGATTAAGAGAAAGAGACCAAAGCTTACAAAGTTTAGATCTCAACTAGAGTATTTCTTGGTGGCAAAATGAAAGACAAATTACAAGGTGCCTAAAAACTTAGGACTTTTTAGTTTATATAGTGGAGACTCTCTAAAACCCTTCTTCTTTCCTTCCCCAAGATTTAAGCTCCAAAACGCCGCGTTTCACTTAAGGCATGGTCAACTCTCTTCTTGGTCAAGGAAGGTGACAAACGGGTTCTGATCCTGGTTCGCATCCTGGTTGCTCTTTGTCTTGACGTCTCCGACACTCCTTCTCCCAAATGGCTCCAAAGCTCCATTAAGTACCTGATTCAGACTCAAAATGCAATGTATATGCAATGCAAGTCCTAATGAAGATGCAAGTGTATAGATAGAGATATGAGGATAAAATGTATGAGAATGATGCCAATAGGTGGAAATATGCATGTAAATGTATGCTAATGTATGTTAATATATGTGTATATCAGTACGGGGGAACTAAAGCAATATGGTCGTATTCTAGCTGGTTTAGCTCTTTGAGAACGAAGGTATTTTCATTTTTCGTCTCCATGAGGAATAAAATATCTGGAAAATCATGCTTCTTCTTGATTTCCTGTAATCTGCGAACTGTTTCAGGATTCCCCAGCCCTCGACAGTTCCAACTTATAATTTTTAAGGGAGCGGAAGCGATGGATCCTGAAAATCCACCCTTCTTCTTGATATCGCTGGTATGATATTCACCCTTGGCGGCTCTCCTGATTGAACCCCTTCCGCTGTTTGCACTCTTGTTCCTTGAGATGCAGGGGAGTTTGACTGAGTTCTTTTCCTTGAGGAGCTTCCCACGGTAAGCCTTCTTTTTGGGGAGATTCTGATCTGAGCCACTTTTCTTATTTTTCCCCTAGGTCCCATACTCGCTAGTGGTTTCAGTCCTGCTTTCTTCTTGTTAGGTGGCCTTCCTAGTCTCTTCTTAGCTGGAATTCTCTCAGGTTCCTCCGTTATTGGTATATCCGTTAGATTAGCAAAGCTTAATCTTTGTACTGCTGGGAGACGTTCATGCATTAGCGGCTCTAGGGTTTCTTCTGTTGCCTGCTGTGATTGGGTTTGGATAGAGTGTATAACCATTTGGACTGCAGTTTGTTCCACTTCTCCTCTCTCTTCCGCTAACCTCAACCTTTCCTTCCTTGCAGCGCTTTCAACCGGATCAGCACAGTTGGAGTATTGCGCCATGACTTCCCTTACTTCTCCTCTTGCTTCCGTTAGCGCCTCTTCCGGCAGTTCCCTTTCTGGGGTTCTTGGCGGATTGTTTTGATTTGATCTTCTAGAGTGAGAAGATTCCACTGGTGTTCTTTGGCCGTTGGAGGTTTGAGCATTAAATCTTTCTCCACTTCTTCTATCTCGGCTTGAACCATATGACTTCTCAATTTCTTTTTCTCTATTTCTGCTCCAGGTTCCTGAATGGATAGTATTATCCAGTCTACGTCCCGTTTCCACCCATCTGGAGCCTGACATTCTTTGTGAGTAGCTTTGTCTGGGGGAGTAGTTTGGATAGTTCGCTTGATGGGCTATCTTTCTGGCGCGGTATCCCTGAGTCTCGTATGGTCTTATTTTCCTCGGATCCTTATCCCTACGCGTGCTTTGGGAGCTGTAGGGATGTCCGTAGCTTCTCGGTACTTCCCTTCTAGAGTCTCGGGTATGCACCTCCCTTTGCCTCTGGTTTAGACTTCTGCGCCCTAAATCCCGATTCTCTTCTCTAGGCATGTCTTTCTTAACCTGGGGTTTAGGAGGGGATGCTGGTTCCTCAGGGTTGGGAAGTTCCGGACACTCCTCGATTTCGTGATCTAGCATCTGGCAGTTGTTGCAGTGTTTTTCAAGTTTCTCATACACTAGAGTGGCTGTTACAACATCACCATTGGGAAATTCCAGAGTGTAGGTCTTGAGGAGGGGAAGGAGCCCATTAACATGGACTCGCATTTTGGCATGAGCCTTAGTAATCTCCCAACTTTCAAAGGTTCCCAAGTCCTCTCCGATACTTCTGAGCATGGCTTCGCTCCATAAATGAACTGGGACTCCCTGGACTTTTATCGAGAAAGGGATCTGAGATGGGAATGAGGCATCCACTGTTGGCTCCCATTGTTGGAGAATGTGCATCCAGTGGGCAAAGTGATAGGGTCTTTCATCCAGTACCAGTTGCATGTCTTCTCTTGAAGCAAAACTGAATTGAAACAGCCCTTGTCCCAGATCTGCACCCACTGCCGGTGTCTTTGTCTTCCAGCGTTCCACAAAGAAGGGTATAAGCGACCAGAGTCGCTGGATCTTAGGGTTTGTGACTCGACCGCTCAGAGTAAGGGAGTGTTGTTTGACCAGCTCAGAGTTGTCAAAGTCTGGGACTTTCACTCTACCCGTTCGTGGCGGTTCTGCTAGGTGCACCTCTTGTTTCCCTTTTTCCATTGCCGTGTATCTTCTTCCCATTCTTATAACAACGGTTTGTACTTTCATTGTGTGTAGAGATATAAGGTTTCAACACCACAAGGGTGAGAGTTTCTTCGAATGGTTTACCCACCGAGAATGTTCACTGCTAAAACAGGAAAGGTAATAGAGAAAAAACCTTGTGAGCTTAACAAGTTTCTAAATTTTGGTACAAGGATTCATACCCGAGTTGAGTTGTAGGCATTGGGATGCTTGTCAAAATTTCCGGTGTGAGGAAGGGTATGAGAAAGCATATGGAGCGGCGAGGAAATCGCTGACCCTCCGACCACCGTCGGGGGCTGAACCACGGTATTGAGAAACCAGAGGTGGTAAAATTTCAAAAAACTTCCTCTTTTGGCAAAAACCGGGTGGTTGAGATTTGGAACAGATGAAGGACCGGCGGTTAAAAACTTTCTGGGGAAGAGTGCCTGGGAGCGTTTGTCAACTTGATCTCCCTATCTTTATCATCTTCGTCTTCTGAGACATCATATTATTCTAGTTTTTATTTATCTCTTCTTTGTCTTTTTTTTTTCTCTTTACATTCCATTTTTTCTTTTTTGATGTATTTTTCCTCATATTTGAGTTTTCTTCTTTTTCCTCTCCATATTTCTCATCTTCTTTTTCATTGACTTCTTTTCTTTTACTCGTATTTTTATTAGTTCTTGTGTACGTCTTGTATTCCACCTATCAATTCATCTGATAGTTTAGATTTTCAAGGATTTATGAAATAGTTTTTTTTTATATTTATATAGTTGAGATCTTTTAAAAATATTTGTTATCTTTCGATTCTAGATTTGCTTTAATTGGTATAGTCTTTTTTCTATTTGTGAATGTAATTTAGAAAGGTAGATATAAAGTTATAATCAATGATTTATAATTCTCATTCTGATTTCTATAATAATTCAAAATTTTAAAAATGCACCAAAAACTAAACCCTACCCCCACCAATATAAGCCCTACACCCTAAAACCCAAACCCCACATTGTAACACCACCTCCCCCCCCCAAACGACCCTACACCCTAAACCCAAACCCCACGTTATAACTCTCCCCCTCCCCCAAAACGACCCTACATCCTAGACCGAAACCCCACGTTATAACTCTCCCCTAAACCGCACACCTGAACCCCACATTTTACAAACTGGTTCTGGATTTGCTTTTATTTTTATTTTTCCTTAATTTTTTTTTGTTTTTAATCGGTAATGTAGTGCATTCAAATTTTTTAAAATGCAACAAAAATTAAACTTTGCGCCAATCAGTATAAACCGTATATCGTGTACCCCAACCATTTTTTTATTTTTTTTTACTTCTTTCATATCTTTTTCCTTCATTTTCTACCGTTTTTCCTTATTCTTATCAAAATTTATAATCTCTTTTTCTTTTCCTCTCTCTTCATCGATATCTTTTTATTTCCTGGTTTTTATTCGTTTTCTTCCTTTTATTTACAGTTTGTTTTTCAACTGGCTTTGTGTTCTTATTCTTCATTTTTTATCTTTTTATTTTTCCACTTCTTTATTATTCACATATTCTTCAATTCTTTTCTTCTTTTGTTTTGTTTTTTTGTTCGTTTTTTCTGTCTTCGTCTTCCAACTTTTGTCTTTCCTTATTTTTATTCAAGTTTTCCTTCTTATTTCAACTTGTACTTCATCATTTTCTAGTATCACTCTTTTTCTTTTTTGGAACATCTTATTTATCAGTTTCGTCTTCCTGTTTATTTTACTTTTTATTTTTTTCTCGTCTTCGCATATTTCTTTTTCTTCATCTCCTCATATATTTTTGCTATTTTTTTTTCAGTTGTAGTTCTTTCATCTTCTTTATTTTATTTGTGTAACATCTTAATTTTCTGGTTTTCTTTGTCTTTATCTTCTCGTACTTTACTTTCGTCTTATTTATCCTCCGATTTTCTTCTTTCAAATTTTCCTTATTATGTTCTTCTTCTTCATTATATGTGTTTTTTTTATCTAAATCCATCTTTTCGGGTATTATACTTTGCTTCTTCAATCTATGATTGAATCCAAGTTATAAATATAGTTTCACCAACACACACAATCAATAACCCACGAAATATATATTCAATTAACACGTCGATATCCACTTGCTTTCCATTTTGGTGTACCTAAATGTTTCGTCTTTGATAGCTTTCTCAAAATTCTTGTTACATAGCTGAAACGAAAGGGTCAACAAAGATGATCTCAGTTCGTTGGTGGACATGGTTATTTGGCGTCTGCAACTTGCTTTCCAGATCTCCAATTTCTTCGAGTAATGCCTCCTTCTCACCAGTCACCAGTATCAAAATTTGACTTTTTTGGAGTTGTCATCCTCATCAACTGTTTTATTATATCTATTCTTCGTCAATATCAAATTTTGGCAGCAATAAAGAGTGGTTAAGACTAACTCTTTGTTGATTCAATTTTTTCGTGTATTTGTTGCTCTGAAATAATCAGTTTTAGTTTACTTCCAACATAATGACAAACATCAGTTTCGGCTCTTATAAGCTCTTCCTGCAAAGCATATGGTAAATGATCTTTGAATGATAGCCAACTTGAAAACCGAAAGACAAAAAAAGAAAGAAAATGGGCTGTGGTGGAAGAGAAAACGAATCTGGTCACTCAAATCATTCACATCTCTTCGAATATCTCATTTATCACTCGTTTGTTTCCCATGGATTTAGCCTGTTCACCAAATCTAAGGGTTCTCATTGTTCTTTTTGTGTTTCTGAGTTACAAAAAAAAACTCTATTAGTAAATATAGGCCGAAGAAACTGTTTGATAAGTAACCAACTAAACTTTGTTACCAGTTACCAAGTTCTTCGGACAGAAGTAATCATTGTGTTCAAGTCTGTCGCGATTTTCCGACAATCATCACCAATCTGAACATGCAATCAACGATCAATGTTTAGTGCAATAGCGTTGGGGCCGAGCGCCTCCTGATTAGTGATTACCCCTGCCAAGAGGAATTTACAGCCAAAAATCAAGGTCTTCTCAAAGAAGAAAAAAACTAAGAGATCGACATATGGAATTCACAATATTGAATTGAAACAATAAGAGATAAAATGAATGAGATCCACCAAAGTCAGGCTACGTTACATGTGTTCTCGTGAGACAACCCATAAAAGAAATCACCATTCTCGTGAATGGTTTATTTGAACTTTTTTAAGTCGACTTCTATTCTTAATTAACAAAATCAAAATAACTAATACTGTATACCTAAAAATTCTGAAAACGGAGGCTTGAGGGATTAGATTTGTTAATTGGAAGCTTACATCAAATAGAGTTTATGATGGAATATGGTTGGTGATAAAACGCATATGTACCACTCAGTAATCCCAGCTCCACATATATAGTAACCCTTGAATCCTGCTGTGTGTAAATCACTTGAATCCTTGTTGTAAATAAATAAATAAAAAATCACATAAAGGACATTTAGCTAATGCCTCATCGAACAACAAATCTTGGCTAGCTTCCCAAGGAAAAAAATAACTTTACAATATAATTACCGTTACAGATAAAGAAGTTGTTTGTAACTGATCAATGAGACTGACCAGTGAGCTACTTCCCATCGATCAAGAGATTCTGGCTGATGAACACTCAGTACCTGCTGCACAAAATTCTTCAAAATCTATTTTTCTATATTGAAGAGCACTTAGCTATATAGATAATCCAGAAAAGAAAAAGTCAAATCCTGTGTTTCAAACATTAGTTTGTGAAATTTAAGGTTCTTACTTGTCTAAGAATTCAGGTATATGCCAATCATTCATTGCGTCTGATGCCATTTTCTTCAAAGCCTAACAAAGAAAGTTCCAAACAATTGTTGGAATTAATTGAGTTTAGTCCTAAGTTAGCATATGTGTGTATCAAACGGTGTTAGTAAAGTTGCAACTCTTGGTTAGATTGGTTCACACACAAGAGGAAGAGACACAACTCTTCGATGTGTTTTGTCTTAGTATATAACCATGATGTAACACGTGATGTAACTGTTATCAAGTTTCAGATCAATAAAGAGAGTTCTATTTCGTTACATTCTTCTTCTTCATAAGAGAAGAGACAAACTCTTGTCTCTTGCTCTGTTTTGTCTCTATTCTTCTCTTACTCTGTTTTGTAATCATAATTTCAACAACAATGTCATGATTATCAACCAAAGCCCACAAGAAACTAAATTTTCTTTTTGCTAATAACCAAAAAAACCAGAAACTAAGAAACTAAAACTTAAGTTTTTAACACGATGGAAGATAGAAAACTCACCGATTTGATATTCTACGGTCTTCCTAGGTTCTGGTAAAGCAAACAGCTCCCTCAGATAATACTAAAACTGATCCACTCACCATTAAGCAACTTTGTGAATAGACAATGATTGTAAATAAGCTCTCAAGCTTGAAAACCATAATATCCAACTAAACCTTTGCATCATTTCAATCCTTTAACCATGGATGGCCTCATTGTATGAAATTGAGGAGCTAACATCTTCATAAAGATATCCCAGACTTTGACGGGAATCAAATCAACAATATTCTCACATAAAACCTCAAAGCTTGCAACTCAAGACAACGGAAGCCCCTTGAATGTGACCTAAGTTACAAAATCCGTGAAACAATTTATCAAAAAAAGAGATAAATTCAAGTTTCCAGTGAGGATTACATAGAATTGGAAGCTCTTTCATCAAGAACTGCTCTTCTCGTTTTCTGACTTTGAAAGGCTCTCTCTCTCTCTGTGCACCATAACATATGTCGTCTCTCTCTACAAATATAACGCTAATATGATGGATCTTAAACGAATATTGAAAATCCTTTAAGAGCCGCTTAGTCGAATTAGGGTTTCATGAGATCCAAGTTTTTAAAAAAAAAGTAAAGATGTACATACCCACTATTTCTTGGCTAGAACTGTTTTTAGTTGGTACCATATTTGAGCTTCTTGTTTCCATTAGCTAGCAAACCTTAATATACTGTAAGGAAGGTTGAAGAAAAAGATGTTAGATCGGAATCCTTCAATAAAATTTACAGCAAATAATGAATAATCAGTTAATCATCATAATAGCTAATAACAGTAAGATCAAATTAAAAACAAATAACTTACATGAGAAAAGATGAGATATGGACTCGAAGAAATTATCTCACCTCTAGGTTGAAGAATCGTGGATTGTTTTGATTTTCATTATTGCTATCTATTTATATAAGCGGTTAAGAAATCTAGGTTTTCCTTTTTTTTCCAATTTTTTAATTTTTACATAATTGTGGCGTGCAATATGGTAATTAGGATTATTATTATCGTTAAATATTTTAATTAGAAATATAAATCGTGACATTTAAAAAAAAAAAGGAAATAACGAAAATTTTTAAAAAGGATTTTCATTAAGGGTAGCTGAGTAATCAACCAGCTGAGAGTTAACGTGGTGCCTCGAAACGAAATAATCACTTCGCAAATAATATATTAGATTAGATGGAAAGAAAACTCTCCTATTATGTTTATAATGAAAAAGTATTTCTTTTATTAACTTTGACCCTAGATATTTCATTTATAGATAAAATCCAAGAAAAACATATTAGATGTATATTTTCTTTGAAATCCATTGAACCAGTTCATTTGAAGGCCAAATATTATACATGAACATGCATCGTTATTATCACTTAAACTAGTATAAAATAAAAAATCTCACAGAAAACATTGCATAAAAATATGGGGTATTTTCACTTTTAGACCACAATTTGTGGTCAAATGCAAAAACTAACCTCCTCAATTTTTTATTTTGAGTTTGTTCAGTTTTTCCAATTAATTACGAAAATGCCATTACTTTTTTTATTAGTAAATCACCACTCAGGTCTACGAGATCTGCAGTCAACTACACGAGTAACATCAATTTTATTTTTTTAGTATATTAAGTAGTACCATCAACTTTTATTGCTTAATTGAAAGAAGAATTATCAACTACTTAATTTCTCAATAATCTTGTAGATGAGAAAAACATGAGAAACTGAGGTTAACAAACTTCTTTTCTTAATGTTTATCAATCTAATTCCGAGTAAATACTTAAACAAATTAGACAACATACAATCTCATTAGAGGGATGGCTAGTTACATTCTCCTAGAATCTAATATGATCACAATAAAAAAGAATATTGTTGAGAGAAAACGAGTTCTTAATCTCCATCAAGATTTCACGATTTATATTCTGACATGAACCAAAGGCAGACCTACATGAGAGAGGTAGGTGGTTCGGCTGACACCTCTTAAATAATATATGCTTTCATTTGTTAAACTGTCCAATAAGTAAATTATAGCATATTTGGTTAAAATTTCCTGGTATGACCCCCTTAATCCCGGTTCGAATGCTCCCCATGACATCTATTTTATATTTTTTACTTCATAACTTAATACTACCTCTGTATCACAATAAGTGTTGTTTTAGACTTTTTTTTGTTTTAAAACAACTGTCATTTTAGATTTCCAATATATAATTATCTATAGATCTTCAATTTTAGCCTCATTCATTTAATCAATAAACAAAAGAAATAAATCATTTGGGAGTGTTATTGAATGTTGTATTTGAAATGAACTGAAATAGGTTCATGATGGCCCCGAAAAACAAGTCCAGATGGTCTAGGCATTGCGAAAGGAATCGTGCTAGTAGTAAGCATTTGGACGATCGCTGACATGGTTGGACGATCTTCTGTGTCTTCTTGGACACATAATAAGGCGATATGGATGCATCTACTTATTTTGTTGCTTTGATAATTTTCTTGAAAGGACGGATCCACAAGATCTAATGGAGACTCATTGCTCCATAACCTCCAAGTCTATTAAACATTAGAAGCAATTAGATAACATTTAGCATATTTAAAAAAAGAAAAGTGATTGTAAGTCGTGAATCTTGATGAAGATAAATAATTTCTCCAATAATCTTGTACCGTGTAGTTCAATCCAGCTCGCTCTGCATTCTAGAGTCTGCACATTTATTGTTAGAATGACAAGAACATGGATTGGAAAAATAAAACGTTTCAGTTAAGTACTGGAATTTGGATTTAACTAACCAAACAAAAAATAATCAAGCCTTTTGTTAGGCACAAACTCGTATACAAGTATTTCTCTTCTCTTTCCAACAAAATCCAAGAAGCTTGACAAAAATTTTGTGCTGAAGCTTTGCCACAACAAGAACCTCATTCTTAAACTCTTTTTCACCTTGTCATGATGTTTTTCATAGTCTGTTCACCGCAACTTGTAATCCATTTGGTAACCTGCCCTACAAAGATTATGAAATCTAATAGTAATCATTCCCCTGTTTGGATATGTTATGGAGCTTATTAGTGTATTATGTATATAGAGTCATTGTGAACCGGCATAAGTGAGAGTATATTAGTATAGAATCGTATCACTGATTGCTTAAGTCACGGATCCTTTTATGTATAGTATATATTCTCATTAACTTACTCAATTATACCCTAGATATCTCCTTTCTAGATAAATAGGGATTCTCTGTATTCTAATAAGATCATCTCTTCTACAATCATCTACATGGTATCAAGAGTTAACGATCTATAAACTCTTTCTCTTTTCTTTCTCTTGCTATTTCATCCTCATTACAGCCGATGGTCTCTCGCGCCACCACATCCTCCGAAGTTTGGGAAACGTTGGCACTCACCTATTCCAAACCAAGTAGAGGTCATGTGAAACAGTTGAAAACTCAACTCAAAAATTGGCGCAGAGACACAAAAACCATTGATGCTTACATCCAAGGCATTACCACTCGGCTCGACCAGCTTGCTATTCTTGGTAAAGCGGTAGAGCATGAAGACCAGATCGACCTTATTCTCGATGTTCTGACAGAAGACTACAAATCAGTTATTGATCAAGTGGAGGGCAGAGATACTCCACCTACAATAACAGAGCTCCATGAACGCCTTTTCAACCATGAGGCTAAGCTTCTTTCCGCCGCAGATTCCGCTGTGTCGCCGCACCTACCTATCAATGCAAACGTGGCTCAACAACACCGCAGTCACTCCAACAACTGCAAAAAACAATCGAAACAAAGGCAACTCCTCCAACAATTGGCAGCAGACATCACAGTCCAATTGGCAGCAATCGCAGAACAGGGCAGACTCGCATGGTCCAAGACCATATCTTGGACGGTGTCAGATCTGTGGAGTACAAGGACATGGTGCAAAACAGTGTCCAAGGCTGTCGAGTTTTCAACAAACCATCACTGTCTCTCCACAACAAACCCCATTCACACCATGGCAGCCAAGAGCAAATATTGCCGTCAATTCACCTTACTCAGCCAACAGTTGGCTCCTCAACAGTGGCGCGACACACCACATGACGTCCGACCTACACAATCTATCACTACATCAGCCGTATCATGGTCAAGACGATGTGATCACAGTTGATGGCTCTGCAATACCGATAACTCATACTGGTTTCACATCCTTTTCCACCAACTCTCGTGATTTGCAATTACAAAAAGTTATGTAATACTAACTGTGTTTCGGTGGAAATCTTTCCTTTCTCCTTTCAGGTGAGGGATCTGAGCACGGGAACCACGTTGCTCCACGGCAGACCTAAAAACGAGTTGTATGAGTGGCCAATTACTCAATCTCAGGCCACTGCAATAAGTGTGTCAGCAGGCTCCTCCGTTACTCTATCTTCTTGGCATGCCCATTTGGGTCATCCATTAGCTTCAATTTTAAACACCGTTGTTTCTCGTTATTCTCTTCCATTCTCCAAACAATCTTCACCACTTTTGTCTTGCTCCGATTGTTTGATTAATAAAAGTCATAAAATTCCCTTTTCAAACTCCACCATCACTTCCTCTCGTCCTCTTGAATACTTATACTTTGATGTGTGGAGCTCTCTGATTCTATCCATTGATCACTGCAAATATTACCTCATCTTTGTTGATCATTTCACCCGATATACTTGGCTTTTTCCCCTAAAACAAAAATCTCATGTCAAAGATACATTCATAGCATTCAAAAGCTTGGTGGAAAATCGTTTCCAAACCAAAATTGGAACTCTTTATTCTGATAACGGAGGAGAATATGTGGCGCTAAGAGCATACCTTTCCACTCATGGTATCTCGCATCTCACGTCACCACCATACACTCCTGAGCACAACAGCATTTCAGAAAGAAAACATCGTCATATAGTTGAGATGGGGATGACTTTAATGTCCACAGCCTTGGTTCCGAAACGTTATTGGCCATATATGCATTTGCCGTTGCAGTGTACCTCATCAATCGATTGCCCACGCCGGTTCTAAATCTTGACTCGCCGTACCGGAAGCTGCTCGGGAAACTGCCCAATTACGAGAAGCTCAGGGAATTTGGTTCCTCATGCTATCAATGGCTTAGACCCTATAATCGCCATAAGCTTGACGACATATCTGTACAGTGTGCCTTTCTTGGTTATTCAACCACTCAGAGTGCATACTTACGCTTACACATACCTACAGGCCGGATTTATACTTCACGGCATGTACATTTTGATGAAGCTACTTTCCCATTTGCAAGCCTAAAACCGCCGACGATAACAGTGATGGAAGTTGAACCTCAACGCATCACGAATTGGCCCCCCCCCATACAACTCTCTCCACAGCTCCATCAGTTCTGCCGGCAACAAACCCGAGCTCCGACCTTCACTCCGCCTCTTCCTCGCCGTCTGCTGAAACATCTCAGGTATCGACTCCTCAACCTTCAACTTCTTCTTCCCCATCTAATTCTGAGTCCACTGCTCCAAATATACATGGGCCGCAACCCACGGCCCAGCAACACCTAACACCAACATCTTCTCATAATAGCCCATCTCCTTTACCCACACATTCTCACTCGCCAAACCATCAAATTAATTCCACCCAAACCACAAATACAAACCAAACCGAATCCCCAAATCATAATTCCAATTCGTCGTCACCAACTCATCAATCAGAAAATCAAAATCCACCGGAAAACCCAAATCCACCACCCCAACCAAATCCACCTGAGAATCAACATCAAATGGCAACCCGTGCCAAATCCGGAATCTCCAAACCTAATAGGCACTACCTTCTCTCTGCTATGGTCACATCTCCATGTGAGGTCGAACCACGAACAGCAGCTCAAGCTCTCAAGGATGACAAATGGAGGAATGCAATGAGGGTCTAAATACAATGCTCTAATTCGCCATCATACGTGGGATCTTGTTCCGCCTCCACCACCATCAGTAACGCGTGTTGGTTGTTGCTTGATTTTCACGAGGAAGTTTTACTCTGATGGTTCACTAAATCGTTACAAGGCTCGTTTAGTCGCACTAGGATATAATCATCGACCAGGGTTAGATTATGCTGAAACGTTCAGTCCGGTTGTTAAGTCTACAACTATCCGTGTAATCCTTGGTGTGGTTGTTGATCGCTCTTGGCCGATTCGGCAACTTGACGTTAACAACGCATTTCTCCAAGGTACACTTACTGATGAAGTTTACATGTCCCAACCGCCTGGCTTTGTGGATCGTGATTGGCCACACACTGTGTGTCGTCTTCGGAAAGCAATCTACGACTTGAAACAAGCCCCACGAGCATGGTATGTTGAACTTAGGAACTATCTTGTCTATGTTGGTTTGTAAATTCTATCTCGGATACATCTCTGTTTATTTTGAAGCGAGGGAAATCCATAGTCTATATGTTGGTATATGTTGATGACATTATAGTCACTGGAAACGACAACACTCTTCTTCAATAAACGTTGGATGCTTTGGCTGAGAGATTCTCTATTAAAGATCCAGAAGACTTGCACTATTTTCTGGGCATGGAGACAAGACGTGACTCCTCAGGACTTCATTTGAGTCAACGCAAGTATATTCACGATCTTCTGGCCAGAACAAACATGCTTAATGCAAAACCAGTAACGACACCAATGGCATCTTCTCCTAAGTTGTCTCTTCACTCTGGTACGAGGCTCTTTGATCCGACTGAATTTCGTGCTATCATTGGAAGTCTTCAATACTTGGCTTTCACTAGGCCAAATCTCTCTTATGCCGTAAGTCGTCTTTCACAATATATGCATGCACCAACTACAGAACATTGGCAGGCAGTGAAGATACTTCTCAGATACTTGGTCGGTACTTCTGATCATGGTATTATGCTATGCAAAGGAAACAACTCGACCATCTATGCCTATTCGGATGCAGATTGGGGTGGCGACAAGGACGACTACATATCTATAAATGGGTACATTGTTTATCTTGGATCTCATCCTCTCTCTTGGTCCTCAAAGAAACAAAAGGGAGTGGCTCGCTCATCCATTGAAGCGGAATACATGTATGTCGCTAACACTGCTGCTGAGATTCAATGGATATGTTCGTTGTTTACTGAATTGGGGATACAAGTCCAAATCCCGCGAGTGATATATTGTGATAACGTGGGAGCAACATATCTTTGTGCAAATCCTGTTTTTCATTCAAGAATGAAACATACCATAGATTACCACTTCATCAGAAATCTGGTTCAATCAGGAGCTCTCCGTGTGGTTCATATTTCTACGCACGATCAGTTGGCTGATGTGCTGACAAAGCCTCTCTCACTTTCTGCTTTTCATAATTTTTCGAGCAAAATTGGAGTTACAAGATCACCTCATCTTGAGGGGGCGTATTAATATAAAATCATATCACTAATTGCTTAAGTCACATATCATTTTATGTATCATACTATTATTTGCAAAGTCAGAATTTCGAATGGAGGCACCACGTTAACTCTCAGCCACGAATTACATAACTACCCTTAATGAAAATCTTTATTAAATCTTTCAATTTGCTTATTATCTTATTTAAAAACGAATTTATTTTATTTTTTAAAAAGACGTCAATTTGGTTATTTACATAAATTATTTTTGGATATATACCACATAAAAAACGTCAATTTGGATATTTACATAAATTATTTTTGGATATATACCACATACCTAACATATTTCGCGTCACATTTATGGAAAAAATTAAAAAAAAAGTAAAAGATAAAAAATTGGAAAACCTAGGTTTGTTTTCCGATTCTTTCTTATATATAGGGATAGCTACAACCATAATCAACCCAATTCTCATTACTATTTGCATCTCTTCTTTCTATACGTAATTTTAGTTCTTAGGTCTCATATTTTTCTTCTCATGCATCTTTATGGTTTTACTTTGATTTAAGTTCTATTTACTGTAATAATGATTATCTTCTTCTTCTCTCGCTTTTGTACAGTTAGTTCCAAGCTAATGGAATCTAGAGGATCAGATTTGGTCTCAAGCGCGAAATATTCAACTCCAGCAATAGAAGGTATTAACATCTATTCATGAAACCCTAATACTAATAGCGAATCTATGACGATTTTTTTTTCTTTTTAATATCCATAGTATTTGCTTCCTCAATAATAATAGATCTAGAGTGGTTACGTCAATGAATCAGGCACCTACAAGAAGCTTATTACATATGATAAGGTCTTGAGGAAGAGGTATACAGTTTCACGACTTGGGCCGAGGACTCACGATACTGAAATTTTGGTGAAAGTTTTGCGCTTTTGGCTAAACGATCACCCAACTTCTGCTAAAAGATTAGAGCTCATACTATCTGATGAAGAGGTATCGGATAAAGCCAAAAAAAACTCTGATAGATAATATTGATACGTTAGTGATTTTGTAACTATTGTATTATAAATATTTCAGGGAGAGAAGATTCAAGCAACTGTGCATGTTTCCGTTTATGAGGCTTATGATTGCAAGGTCAACGAGGGAGATTGGATTCTCATTAAGAATTTCGATGTCACTACTCAGACAGGACATTGTAGAGCTACTTGGCATCTAAATCGAATATACTTGATGCCAACAACAATCATCACAAAGATCTATTTCGCTAGCGTAAGACACTTTTTCAATTTCGTTGATTTTGAAAAAATCATAGATGGTTCAGACTGTGATGATTATTTAGTAGGTACGTATATTATATTCAAGAATAGTTAAACTCATATTCGAAAACCGTTTATGTATCTAACCCCTCTTTTATTGTTTTATTTTCTTACAAGATTTGATAGGAGAGGTTGTCAATATAAGTGAATCTACTATTTGGAAAGAGGCTTTGATTGAAAAACCGAGGAGTTATGATGCAGATAGTATCGATCCTAGCATCAAGTTTCAAATCCGTGACCAAAGGTAATTCAAGGTTGTAATTATATTCTTTGATCTTTATAGTGATATCTTATTCTGATAATGATCTAAATGTATATTAAAAAAATAAATAAACATCAATGTTCATTTAGACTGCTTTTTGTAAAGAATGGATGAGAGTGAAACATAATATTGTAATCTGCGTCATTAGGTGGGGACTAATAGAAATTCGAGCAGGTAACAATTTTTAGATTGCCAAATTTTATACTAGGTGTTGTAAACATAAAGTTAAAGTCGTTTATTCTGATTTCAGGCAAGGTTACAATTTATTGCATTGCTCCATCCACGCTCTCCTTGAATCCTTCGATTCCTGAGGTTGATGAGTTCGAGAAGGTATGTTCGAGGGGGAGAGAGGAAGAGACATGAGCATAAGATTAAATAAAGTATGAGAAAGAAAAAGATAAAATGTTGAGAAAAACCAATAAAGCAAAAATATGAAATATGAGAAGATGAGAAAACATAAATAAAAGAAAATAAAGAGGAAGACGAAACTAATAAATAAGATGTTGAAAAAAAAAATTGATAATACAAAATGATGAAGAATGCAATATGAAATAAGAAGAAAAACCTGAACAATAATAAGGAAAAGACGAAAGTTGGAAGACGAAGACGAAAAAACAGAAGAAGAAACGAAATGAAGAATATGTGAACAACAAAGAAGTTGGAAAAATCAATAGAAAAAAAAAGAATAAGAACATAAATCTAAATGAAAAACAAATTGTAAATAAAAGGAAGAAAACGAAAAAAAAAACCAGGAAATAAAAAGATGACGATGAAGAGAGATGAAAATAAAAAGAGAATAGAAAGTTTGATAAGAATAAAAGAAAAAATGTTAGAAAATGAAGGAAAAAAATTATGAAAGAAGTAAAAGAAGAGATAATATGGGGTTGGGGTTTATGATGTACGGTTTATATTGATTGGCGTAAGGTTTAGTTTTTGATGCACTTTAAAAATTCTGAATACAATACATTACCGATTAAAAACAAAAACAAAAATATCTTTTAAGAAAAAAGATAAAAATAAAATTAAAAGCATATCTTGAACCAATGTGGGGTTCAGGTGTGCGGTTTGGGGGGGGTTATAATGTGGGGTTTAGGTTTAGGGTATAGGGGGGTTGTTACACTGTGGGGTTTGGGTTTAGGGTGTAGGGTTGTTTGGGGGGGGGTTTACATTATGGGGCTTGGGTTTAGGATGTAGGGTTTATATTGATGCGTGTAGGGTTTAGTTTTTGGTGCATTTTTAAACATTTGAATGGAAGAATATATCATAATTAAAAATCATTTATTATAAATTTATATTCCCCTTTCTAAATTACATTCACAAATAGAAAAATTAACAATTAAAGCAAATCCAGAATGGAAAGATAACAAAACCAATAGATTTTTAAAAGATCTCAACTATATAAAGATAAAAACTATTTTACAAATCATTGAAAATATAAACTATCGAATAAATTAATAGGTGAGATATAAGACGTAGACAAGAACGAATAAAAACACAAGTAAAAGAAAAGAAGACAGTAAAAAAAAGATGAGAAATTTGGAGAAGAAGAAAAAAACTCGAACATGAGGAAAAAAACATCAAAGAAGAAAAAAACACAAAGAAAAGATAAATAAAAACCGAATATGAATACACCATACTGACATTTCGGTTAGAGAAGACGAAGATGATAAAGATAGAGAGGAGGAATGAGGAAGAAGAAAAACCGAAAAAAAAAGAATGTAAAGAAAATTAGAAAGAAAAAAAAGAATAGTGAGCTGGAAGATATGAAGATAAGAAAAGATTGAATAACAAAACTAACTTGGAAGAAGAAAAGAAAAAGATGATAAGAACGAATATAAAACTGAAAGAAAAAGAAGAAGGTGAGATTATTGGAGAAGAATAAAAGAGAACAAAATAAGAAGTGGGAAATCTTTTGTATCTCTCTAACGAATGGAGAAGAAGAAGAAAACCCGAACATGAGAAGAAAAATCAAAGAAGAAAAAATGAAATGTGAAGAAGAAAAAAGACAAGAAATAGATAGATAAAAACTAGAATAATGTATTGTTAGAGAAGACGAAAATGATAAAGATAGAGAGAGGGGGAATGAGGAAGAAGAAAAATCGAAAAAATGTAAAGAAAATTAGGAAGAAAAAAAAAGAGTAGTGAGTTGGAAGATATGAAGATATAAGAAAAGATTGAAGAACAAAAACTTGGAAGAAGAAAAATAAAAAGGTGATGAGAACGAATATGAAATTGAAAAAGATTATATAGAAGAATAAGAAAGAGAAGACAAAAATAAAACACATCAAAATTATAAAAATAAGAAGTTGGGGAAAAAAATGTATATAATCAAAAATTTACTACTTATATTATTTAAATCTTTAATTAATTTACCTATTTTAAAAATATTGTACCCGTACAAAGTGCGGGACAACCACCTTATAGTATATATTCTTATTAACTTACTTTGTAATACCCTCGATATCTCCTCTTTGTATAAATATGAATTATGTGTATTCTAATAAGAACATCTCTTCTACAATCATCTACAAAGTATTTCACTAATAGAGCTAATCATGAAGCTCAACTCAACGAACTTGCAATACCTTGTAAACTTCTCTGAATCCACCTTGACCAAGTTTATTACATATTGAAAACTTATCTGTCGCAGCTTCAACAACCTTAAAATCAAAATAAAATCAAACTGAAGTGAGCCTGAAGTTGTAATGTCATCTTGGATTTAAAATTTTTTTTTTTCAACTAACAATTCATCAAGCCGAATTCCGAAAGAGAATAATAAAGAAAATGTCATAACTAAATCCTAAAATAAATATAAAATAAAATAAAAGAAAAATAGTGAAGTTGTATCCACTACCACTGCTTGGTTCAATTTAGGGCTTTTAAGCGTCAAATCTGGAACCTCATTTTCGAATTCAATTCCCATCTTCATAATCTGCAACCAATTTCCGTCAGGAGAGGCAAAGCTCGCGGTGCTGCTCTTCTCTCGAATCGAATTTGCTATGATCCTTTGATCTCTAATTCTTGTCGGGTCGCGTATCAATTTCTGGATTCCTCAAGTTCAAGTTATGGATTCTCTCTACCGCAAGCTCTACGAAAAATACACCAAACTCAAGGTTTTCAGCAACATCTTCCGTTTAGTCCTCATGTATAATTTCTGGCTCTGTATTTCGCCTTTCTGGATTCGAATTTGACCGCTCTCGTTTCGATCTCTCTTTCCAGAAGAAGAAATTCTCCGAACTCGACGAGATTAGCATCGGTCAAGAGGAGAAGTTCCTAAACTTTGTTTCAGGTACCAGTTTCGATCTATCGTTTTCGAAAAACAATTGGGTTAGATCGCAGATTTGCATTGCACATTTTGACTTAGACAATAAAGCACTAATGCGATTTTGAATCCAAACCGCCAAAAAACAATTGCAAACACTTGCGAGTTGTTTCAATTTGGAATGATAACAATGGGGTTTCTTCTTCTACTTAGTCCGTATTTCTCTATTTTGCTTTTGCAGCCTCAGAGGAGTTGATACAGCACTTGAGAAGTGAAAATGAGAATTTGCGTGGGATAGTAGGGAATTTGAGGAGTGATATAACTTCAATCAGGTATGTACATTCATTCATATTCACTGTGTTTGTTAAATTTGGAGAAAGTTGGAACCTATAACAATCTTGCTCCGTAGATCTAACAAGGGCGAGGAATCTTTGGAGTATCAAAAGCTTTATATGGAAGAAGAACGAAAGAGTAAGAAGCAGAATTTGACTGATTATGGAGAATTGTTGTTTTCTGCATCAAACTGTTTTCTTCTTTAACTAATTGGATTGAGCTTTTTACAGACAAGGAACTTTCCAAAGAAGTTGACAAGCTAAAAGAGCTGATCAAAGAGGGACATCCTCGCAACTCCAGAGATCAAAGTGGAAAGCAACAAGAGAGAAAGACTCCAGAATCTGCTCAAGTTACAACGAGAAGTATGAGAAAACGTAGCAGACTGTCAGAAGATACGTTAGAAACGGACATGGCACCACCTCCAATTAGCATACATCATAAGGCAACGGTAAAACAAATCGCTTTGGATCCTTTCAGTCCTGAGCTTGATGTTGCGCTACTAATACTTTTTTACTTGCTTATGTTTGAAGGAAAATCTCTTGGTTTCTCAGCCACAATGCTGCAAAACGACGGACGATGGATCAAGTAGTTCTGCGGGCTGTGTATTTCAAGCTCTTGGCGAACACTTGCTAAGAATGAAATTATCAACTGCTTATGAAGGCGATCGTGTCTGTATCACAGCCTTGGATCCATCAAGCGGTAATTTTCTTTCCGCATAAAGTTTTGTTCTTTCGAGTTGATTTCAAGTAAAGCATATATTTTTCTGTCATTTCTTTGGTTCAAAAGATGGACCATCCAACTGTTTTTAGATCATCAGCAACCAGAAAAGCACTGGTTTTGAATCTTTCTCTCTGTTTTTTTTTTTAACCATGACAGGTTTATCGTTCAGCTTGACTTTTGTAAAGAACTCAACTTCTGAAGAATCTGAGCTGCTCTACGAAGTTGTATCGCTAGGGACATTTGAAAGAGTAGCGCCGAAATGGATGAGAGACGTTATAAAGTTCAGCACAAGTATGTGTTCCGTCTTCTTCGAAAGAGTCTCTCGAGTCATTAAGCCCCATTGTTGAGATTCTTAATGTACATCTCCCTCCCTTATTCTCTGTGATGGCTTCTTAATGTGATGTTTCTCAATGGTTAGGGAAGTTTCCATGTGTGTGTCTAAATGTGTCTTTCTTTAACTTCGACTTTTGATGTAAAGATCGTCTTGTGTCCTTTTGATGAATCCAATTGTAACAAGATCTTAACTTGTCATTTGCTCTCGATCAGAGTTGAGACTAGAGTTAAATGATAAAGTATTAGATATTTTGTATGTGTGTTTGGTTTTGGCATTCTCTGATGTAAAAGCTTTATGATGATGGATCATTGATCTTACAAAACATGATAACGTAAATGCAGATCAGTTCAGTTTTCATCAATAAAAAAAATTCCACATAATACAGTAAAGGATAGCAGTTTTCTCTCAGCCGATTTAGATATGATTCACTTGATAGGTTTTGCTTGAACTGGACCATTTGTTATTTCGTTTGTTTTTTTTCTATCCAGTTAGTTTTCATTCTTCAATCTCAATGTACACAACCAGGTTTGTGTTTCTGAGAAAAAGATGGAACATATCTCAACATTGTTGAGATTCTTATGTACATCTCCCTCCCAATTGTAACAAGATCTTAACTTGTCTTTTGCTCTCAATCAGAGTTGAGACTAGAGTTTTATGATAAACTATTAGATAATTTTTTTTATTTGTTTGGTTTTGGCATTCTCCCATGTAAATGCTTTATGATGGCGGATCATTGAACTTACAAAACATGATAACCTAAATGCAGATCAGTTCATATTTCATCAATAAAAATTCCACATGACATTCAAAAACACCAATCCACATAATAACTATACATTTTTCAAATTATATTTCCAGAAATATACCACAAGCAAATAATTCCATTCCTTTTTCATGTTTTTTTGTTAACAATTGGACCAAACCAAAGATCAGCTTTCTTATAGCCGTTAAGTGAAAGTAGGTGGAGGTGAATTTCAAATGCACCCAAAGAGCAGCTTTCTTCTATAAAAGTTTGAAACGTTGTGAAAATATTCATTCCTTTTATTGATTTCGCACCGACGTCGTTTCTTCTGTCGCACACGTTTTATAACCCAGACCCACGTCTCTCTCTCCCTCTCTCTCTCTCTCTCTGTCGAAGAAGAGAAGAAGAAGGCTCTCCCTCTCTGTCTCTTCTCATTCTTCTACTTTCATCATTCGTGAATCTGTTTCCCCTCGATCGAGAGCAATTCAATTTCAGTATTTTCGGGATGGCGGCGGTAAATGGGTATCAAGGAAATACTCCGGCGGAAACTACGCCGGCAGCCACCGGATCAAAGCAACCTGCTCCTCCGATTAAGACCGTCGATAGCCAATCCGTCCTCAAAAGGTTACATTTTTTTCCGATCTTTCGATTATTTCGACTCCAATTAAAAAGGAATTTCTTTTAGTCTTCTTTAGCCTCTTTTTGATTATCATGGGCTTCGAATTACATTTTCTTTGTTTATAGATTTGATTAGACTAGCATTTGATTTGTCTCTCTACACATATCCATTTCTTGAGGTCTACGATGTTCCAGATCATGTTCAGTAAAAACGACGGATCCAAAACTGATCGTGACTTGTCTTGTTCTCTTCTGAATTTATGGTTTCTCGCATTGTTGTCCACCAACTGTTTGCTAGAATTCCTCTGTGAAACCGATGCATTGAATCTGTATACGTATCACAATTTCACAAATCTCACTTCCTTTATGTGCCCTTTAACTGCGCAAATCTTCTAATCTTTTGGTCTTTCTTGAACGCAGGCTGCAATCTGAACTAATGGGCTTGATGGTAAGTTATCTTTCTTCTGTGTAAAGAATCAAAAATTGAACCTGTTGATATATATAGATAAAGTTAAGCGCTTTGGGTTTGATATATATGTATTTTGCAGATGGGAGGTGATCCGGGAATATCTGCATTTCCAGAGGAAGACAACATATTCTGCTGGAAAGGAACAATCACAGGAAGCAAAGATACGGTTTTTGAAGGAACTGAGTACAGACTCTCACTCTCTTTCTCAAACGACTATCCTTTTAAACCTCCCAAAGTCAAGTTTGAGACTTGCTGCTTCCACCCCAATGTTGATCTCTATGGCAACATCTGCTTGGATATTCTTCAGGTATACATAACATAACAATCATTTGCTCGTGTTACTGTTTTATTTTTCATGGAGCTTTAGACATAATCAGTTCTTCACATTCTGTATAGGATAAATGGTCATCCGCTTACGATGTGAGGACATTATTACTCTCAATTCAAAGCCTTCTCGGAGGTAACCTATGTTGGTTAATATAATATTAACCAGTTTGGTTTCTTCTTTCTGTTGGTTTCATTCGAGGTCTCATTTTCCGTGTTTGTTTGTTGGGATTGATCAGAACCGAACATCAGCTCACCATTGAACAATCAAGCAGCGCAGCTTTGGAGCAATCAGGAAGGTAATTTTCAACAATTTAATCAGATTACACATCTCTGGTTTTCTCCATGAACGAATGTTCTTCTTATGGCTGTTTTTGGTTTGCTGTTGTACAGAGTATAGAAAGATGGTTGAGAAGCTCTACAAACCTTTAAACGCATGATTATCTTCAAAACCCTCTCTCTCTCTCTCTCTCTGTAGCTGAGTATGATGATTCTCAAAAGCCTCTCTGTAGCTGAGTATGATGATGCTCAAAAGACTCTCTGTAGCTGATCAAGCCTTTAAGCGCATGATGAATTCTCAAAAGCCTCTCTGTAACTCATAAAATCTCCTCTGACTGGATCAGGATCAGCCATAATTTGATTTTCTAGAAGACTCTTGATGATATCTTTCTTACTTTGTAATCTCAATTTGAGCCAATACTAGCAATCAAAAATCCTCCATTCCTACAATATCGAATCTCACTCCTCGCAAAATCACCACCAATATATTCCAAACAAAGCAGGTCTGAGAAGAAGCTTGTAGGAGCTCTTTCTCTGAAAACGTTGTAAAACTTCTGAACTAATCGAGAAACCCAAGCCCATAAGAGTTTTACATCTCTACCGGCCCAAATATAAACCGATGCCGTTTCGGTTATAACCTGGCCGAACATCTCTAAGAAACCTTGATACTTAATAAAAACCCGCCGGAGTCCTCCTCTCACTGTACCAAATCTGTTGGAGAAGCATTTTCCATTGTTCAGTGTTTTTCGAAAAGGCGATATATTTCCTCTTTCTCGAGCCAGCTCAGATCTACGATCTAGGTCTTCTTTGTTCTCCCTCGTCTGACCAGATATGTCGATCTCCGCTCAAAATCCGGATATTTCCGGGGAGAGGCAATCCGGCCAAGATGTTCGTACTCAGAACGGTACTCTTCCTTCTCTCTCTCTCACTCGCTTAGTTTTATTCGTCTATTTTGCATTTCCCCGTTTCTGCTCATACTAATCTTATTCTCTTTGTTCGCATCCGAGATGTTTGTGTGTTTCGATCTCTAGGGTTTTTGCTCTTCTTTTTTTGACGTTTACTGTTTGATGAATCTATTTGCAGTGATGGCTTGCCAAGCTGTTGCGAATATTGTCAAGACCTCGCTTGGTCCAGTCGGACTCGACAAGGTATATTACTCTGTGACTAATTGAGATTTATTGGTTTCTGATTTGCTCTTTGGACTTGGATATATTCTGCTAGACTTTCTAGTGTAATTATTCTAAATCTGCTGTGCTGTGCTGTGCTGGCTTGTTTTTCCAGATGTTAGTGGATGATATTGGGGATGTAACCATTACAAATGACGGTGCTACTATTCTTAGGATGTTGGAGGTCGAGCACCCTGCTGCTAAGGTAATTTGATTCATGCTTCGTCACTGTAAGCATATGCGTGTTATATGAACTATTAGTCACGCTGGTGTCTGTTGTGACAGGTTCTTGTGGAGTTAGCTGAACTCCAGGATAGAGAAGTTGGTGATGGGACTACATCTGTTGTTATTGTTGCTGCTGAGTTGCTCAAGGTTATTTTCATTACTCTTTGTCTTTGCTTTTGTCTTTTCGTTTTCCGTTTATTGATTTGTGGTCTAATCCATATATTTGCAGAGGGCTAATGATTTGGTCAGGAACAAAATTCACCCAACGTCAATAATTAGTGGATACAGGGTAGGCTGTGACTTTGTTTTCGTATGTAGTGGCTTCGTTTATTCAAGTGTTTCCAGTTTGTTCATAATATTTGTTATTGTTGACAGCTAGCGATGAGAGAAGCTTGCAAATACGTAGACGAGAAGTTGGTGACAAAGGTTAGTCCTCTTGTGATGGTCTTTATTATCGCATCTTGTTTCTGAGTGAGTATACAGCATGTCAGAAAACTTTATTTCTACTATATATCGTTCTCTCTTTATGCATGTTTTATTTTTTTTAGTGAAAGTTCTCCATAGTGGCTGTCTCTGTCGATTCAGTGACTTACTTATTGTTTTTTGCTTTTCGGTAGGTTGAAAAGCTTGGGAAAGTTCCACTGATAAACTGTGCTAAAACCAGCATGTCCTCCAAACTGATATCTGGTGACAGCGACTTCTTTGCCAATTTGGTATGCTTCTCGGTTTTTTCTTCTACTTAACTTCATTCTATCTTTTCCTTTTAAAGTCTGGGATCTGTTGGTATTTTCTTGCAATAACACCTTGATCATTGCATATGGGTTAACTGTTATAATCACATTATTCTTGAAGGTTGTGGATGCCGTTCTATCAGTAAAGATGACAAATCAGCGTGGGGAGGTCAAATACCCTATCAAGGTCTGTTTTTGCTCCTCTCTCAAAGTATCAAACATAATATCTGGAGTGAGGATGGTATGTTTTTTTGCTTAAACATTTCTGCTTACTACATTGTAGGGCATTAATATTCTGAAAGCTCATGGACAAAGTGCAAGAGACAGCTATTTGTTGAACGGATATGCACTCAATACTGGTCGTGCTGCTCAAGGGATGCCACTACGAGTGTCTCCAGCGAAGATTGCTTGCCTTGACTTCAATCTGCAGAAGACAAAAATGCAGCTGGGTGTCCAAGTTGTTGTTAACGATCCACGAGAACTAGAAAAGATCCGTCAAAGGTAATTTTCAAAGTCATTGACTTTAATCTGCTGATGTTATCCATGTTTCCATACAGATTTTCTTTTTGTTTGTTGCTGAATATTTGTTTTAACAGAGAAGCTGACATGACGAAAGAGCGGATAGAGAAACTTCTTAAAGCCGGGGCCAATGTAATTCTGACCACGAAGGGGATTGACGACATGGCACTTAAAGTGAGATTGAAGACCAATAATTCTCTCTCTTACCTTATACACAACTCAGTTTTTGGAGTATTTGAGTAGTAACGAAGTTATTAAATATTTATTTTTTGCTTTTTATTTCAGTACTTTGTAGAAGCAGGAGCCATTGCTGTTAGGCGTGTGCGCAAAGAAGACATGCGCCATGTTGCCAAGGCAACAGCAGCAACCCTGGTGCTTTTTCTGCTCTGCATTTTCAATACTCAAAGGATTAGAACGAACTTATCAAGTGAAACTTGAAATATAAACTAATATCTGTGTTATTTGTTGTAGGTTACAACTTTTGCTGATATGGAGGGCGAAGAAACATTTGACCCGGCACACCTTGGAACTGCAGATGAGGTTGTGGAGGAGAGAATCGCAGATGATGATGTCGTACTGATAAAGGGAACCAAAACTAGCAGTGCGGTATGCTATTTGCACTCAATATAAAATCATACTGAACTGTTGACACTACTGTATATACACAATATTTAATTCATTTAAGCTTGCCCAAAATCAACAATGGAGTTTAGTCTGGCTTTGTTATAACTCTAAAAGCTTTTTTTGTTTGTGTCGGTAAGGTCTCTTTGATCTTAAGAGGTGCAAATGACTACATGCTTGATGAGATGGAGAGAGCGCTACACGACGCTTTATGTATTGTCAAGAGGACCCTTGAGTCCAACACGGTAACATCCTTTTTGCTTACTGTTTGCATTTGGTAATGAACATGACATGTGTTGTTTGGTCCTAACACTCTGCTTCCTCTTGTCACACAGGTGGTTGCGGGTGGAGGTGCAGTTGAATCAGCATTGTCAGTGTATCTGGAGCACCTTGCTACAACTTTGGGGTCTCGCGAACAATTGGCAATTGCTGAATTTGCAGATGCGCTATTGATTATACCAAAAGTGCTTGCAGTAAACGCTGCTAAAGATGCAACCGAGTTGGTAGCTAAACTAAGAGCATACCACCACACGGCACAAACCAAGGCTGATAAGAAGCACTATTCAAGGTAATAATAAGATCAATATTATTGCGGTTTATTATTGTCTTTTTCCCTCTTGAAGTTCGTTTTGTAAATGTTATTTTGTTCTTGGAAATGCAGCATGGGACTTGACCTCGTAAACGGAACCATCCGCAACAATTTGGAAGCTGGAGTGATCGAACCTGCTATGAGCAAAGTCAAAATTATCCAGGTTGACTTACTTACTCTCTTACACGAACTATAATTTTGTTCAGAAATTTAAGTCTGTTAAATATTTAAAGGAGCTTTTGTGTTGTGACCAGTTTGCAACAGAGGCAGCAATAACAATTCTTCGAATCGATGATATGATCAAGCTGGTGAAGGAAGATGGCCAAGGCGATGAGTGAAAAGCTCATGCTTCCTCTTTGTCTGTCTTTACCTTTCCCGTTAGTGTGTGTTTTTGTCGCAGCCACCATCTCTTTTTAGCTTCTCTTTGCGCTGTAACAATATAGCTTTTCCGAAACAGCAGTTTCTGTTTTATCCTATGCTCTCGTACTTTCACTTCAAGAAGTTTTTGTTTTTTTGTTTTCTTCTCGTATTAACTGTGTACTGAAAAACATGTGGACAAAATGTTATCTACCCTCTCCCCTTGAGATTTGATTTCCCTTGCACTTTTTAACTACACTACAGAGTTCATTTTGGTAAACAATCGTATGAGCAGAAGTAACAAAGATTTAGTGTCATTCTATTCTGCTGTGGACATCTACTTAGGTTGTGGACATCTACTTAGGTTTTGCAATAATTTAAAAAGTCATTTTTTAAAAAAGAAAAAAATATCTATGTTTCTATGACCAACAAAATGAAAAGAAATGCAATGTGACGTAACTGGACGAGACGGGATTGGACGGGACATAATGGGACGAGATCAAGGGACGGGACGGAAATTTTCCCTACTCCTAATTATATTCAGAGACGAGACAGAGATAAGACAAAATGGAAATGAACATAATAAGATATGATGGGACTGGATGGGCGGACAAAACGAACAGTATGGAAAAGAACATGACAAGATGAAAATGAACGGAATGAGATAGAATTATGTCTACCCCTAATTATATTTAGGGAGCGAGACAATAATAAACAAAATGAAAAGAATCATAATGTGATATGATAGAACTGAATGGGACGAGACATATAGGACGGGACATACAGGACGAACGGGACGGGAAAGAACGTACATGATAAAAATGTACGAAATGGAACGAGATGGAACAAGATGGTACAAAAAATTTGCCTAACTCTAATATTTTTAAATAATATGTGTAGAATATCTTTGAAACAATATTAGATTTGCGGAAAAAACAATAAAACTAACAAAACCCGAGCGTAACGCGGGTCACCCCTAGTCATATAAAAAGTTGATATCCAATGTCACCATGAGAGAATATGAAAAGAAAACACAACTCGTAAACATTGATCTCATACTTCCAACCTTTCAATTGATCATTCCAATCAATCTTATTATCAAGAAAAGAAACTAAACAATTCATTGAACTTTAACAACATGGGTAGAATTTTAAATCAAACTTATTCTACCGACCACAATTAATATATAGTTATATACTCTTTTGTTCTTTATTATTTGATGTTTTAGGTTATTAAATATACTAGAATTGAACCCGCGCTACGTTGCGGTAGCATTTTTTTTTTATAATTTTAATTTTATTTAGGACATGATTTATACTGATCATAATTAAAATTGAGAGTTGTGAAAGATATGTGAAGAATGAAATTAAATATATCCTTTTTTATTGTAGTGATATTTGAAAACTGTTATTTTATGTTTTAAAATCATTGTTATTATTTTTTTTTTGAACAGAGAACATAACATAGTCGCTACACTGCATGATTATATTTTCACTTTTTTGTTATTTTGAAGTCATATATATTATTTTATTTTTATAAAGTACTATATTTTTTACTTTGTTATAATAAAATCCTACTATATTATGATACTTCTATGTGATTTATATTTAATTTATTATAAAATATCTGTGAGACTAAGAATTATAAACATACCATATCTATTTTTAAAATATTTATTCTATTAAGATTTATGAAAACAAAAAATTAATCTTTTTTTAACAAAACATTATATATCTCCTTTAACAAACGCGATTGTGTTTTGCTTTGATATATCCCAAACGCCATATATTGTTCTTTTCTCTTTCAATCTTTCGTTGTACACCTAATTATTTATACTTGTAACCAGCTTTGTATCATTCATACTAAAAAAGCTTTGTATCTCCATTGATGTGGTCTTTCTGATCTTGTAACTTTGGGTAATAGTAAAACCATAAATTAATAACTCTTTTTTTTGGTAATAAAATTAATAACTCTTTAGATTCGACCAATGTATTAATGCTTAAGACATCTATCGAAGATAAGATCCTCTATTCCAGGAAGAAAGAAATGATTACACAAAAAAAAAAAAAAAAAAAAAAAAAAAAAAAAAAAAATTGTCACGACAAGGGCATTTGATAGCAAGTAGCCAAGTACGACAATCACCAAGTACCCGATGTCCCTGATATGCCAACACATATACAATAAACTCCACATCCACAGTCATCACATTAGCCTCACCATTAGCCTGTAATTTAAGAGCCACATAAGTAAACTAAAAGCAACACACATGACAAAATAGATTAATGCAATAGAAAGAAAGCTGAGCTCATGTTACGAATTCTACCGTTTGAAGTTGGCTATAATGTTTGTGGGGAACCCATCCATCAAGGAAATGAGGCAGAGATCATTCTGAAGGTTTTCATGACTGAAAGAATCAATAAATAAACGGAAAATAAGCACAACAAGATGAGGTTCCATTCTATTAACCAGCAAAGAAGAATTCAAGGCATGGAAGTACTCCAATGATTTCCTGGACTGGAGGCACAACGAAGGAGTCAGCTGAGCTTAATATTACAACGTTATACTACTGAGATTTCAATTTCAACATGCATAGCAGTGGCAAGCTGGTCATAAGAATGATTTCAGGTTCATGAAGATTACTTGTTAACAATTTACATTTCGAATTTTTACATCATATACCAGATCATGTATGGCTCTATTATAAGATGTGGAAAAATTAAGGGATAGACCAAAATAAAAGAGTACCTGACGTCAAGGATGCACTCTGAAACATTTTTCTTTAACTCCTGCAAATAGCAAACTTAGGATTCAATATTTGTTTTTGCTGAGATTCAATTTCTCGAGAGCCTCTACGTGCTTTGCTTTACTGAGCTCATCTAACTTAGCAAGCAACTTTTTTTCTTCTCCACTAAATCCTGTTTCGGTTTTCTTGATGATCATTTTCTCTTTTTTAAGATGAAGCTCTTCTTTCTTTGCAGCTGAACTTTCAGCAAATCTCATTTATAAGTGAATTGAAACTTTCCATCTTTGAATTAAGCTCTCCTCACAAATCAATTCTAAAGAAACATGATTTTCGGAAATAAAAGTTATACATAAGAAAATGATTTGAACATAAGAGACAACGAATCCCAGCAAGCTGATTGAAAAGGATTGGAGAAGCAAATAACACCAAAACCAAACATACGAATTTAGCTGAGTGGCATATCCGAGTTTAAGAAAAGGGATCTCAATAACCTTACCCGTTAACTGATATTGATATGGACATAGCGGACCCCAAATTAAGATTGAGGAACCAAGAGAAGCGAAGAAACCACTGCCTTTTTTAGGATCGTTATGAGCCATCTCCCAGCAGCGGATCCAAATCAGTAAGACAGCAATACGAACTCCGCCAAATGAACAAATCGAGAAAGAGAGAGAAGCTTTGCGTGGAGATTCCAATGAAGGGTCGACTCTGAAGAATGAAACGGAGAATTGTTCGCGAATCAATTTAATTTCATTGTCGAAGAAAAACGAAACTTTCGTGGAAGAAGACTGTTCCTAAACCGGGCGGTTGACAACGAATAAATCAATTAAATCGGACCAAATATGTGGCAAATAAACCAGAAATGCTTACTGGTATTAAATGAAATGTTTCTATTATTGGCTGTAATGTGTCAGGTGCAGAAAGCTTAAAAAATCTTATGTGGCATCATCTAGAGAGGCACAGATTTTTTGTTGTGTTGATTTTTGATTAATTAATACAACAAAAATTCAAACTTCAAGATAATTTTATGATTCTTATTGGCTAATAGTTATTTAAAATGAAAAATTAGTACACTAATAATTGAAAATTAATGTTTCTTAATCTATATGAAAACTACAAAATATCAAATAATAAGAAACGTAGCGAATAGTAAAATACTCTACCCAAAATATGTTTGTGATAGTACGGCTTACATTAATTACTAGATTTCCTAATTCTGTTCAAAGTTATAAAAAGAAAGTTTTGATTTGAACCTATTATCAAATCTATATTATATAAAAGTTGAGGCTATAAGCCTCTGAGAGCGTCCACATAAGATTACAAAACGTGATTTGATTGGTTCACATAAGTATTTCCTAGATTTGATTGGTCCACATCATCACATAAAATTAGCTACTTGTTCAATTAGTTAAATTTCTTTTTATATTTATATATTTTAAGAAAGTTTCATAATTCAAAGGTAAACAATAGAAAAGTTTCCAGAATTTTTAAGTGTAATATTAGTAGAGATATATAATAAATAAGAAAATTATACCAACAATATCATTATATATCAACATCTAAAATTATTTATAGCAGAATTGTAAAAAAGGAGATTTTCCTTTAAGAAAAAAAAGAAAACAAATAATAATACTATTGGAAATTAAATAAGGAAACAAATAAGAAAAATTTCCTTTAGCATAAGCCTCTGAGAGCGTCCACATAGGATTAAAAACGCGATTTGATTGGTCCACATAAGTATTTCCTAGATTTGAATTTTAAACAACCAATAGTATCAGTCCACATCATCACATAAAATTAGCTATTTGTTCAATTAGTTAAATTCCTTTTTATATTTTTATATTTTAAGAAAGTTTCATAATTCAAAGGTAAGCAATAGGAAAGTTTCCAGAATTTATAAGTGTAATATTAGTAGAGATATGTAATAAATAAGAAAATTATACCAACAATATCATTATATATCAACATCTAAAATTATTTATATTTGAATTTTTTTTCATTAATTTACTTTTTATTTTTATCAGCAGAATTGTAAAAAAGGAGATTTTCCTTTAAGAAAAAAGAAAACAAATAATAATACTATTGGAAATTAAATAAGGAAACAAATAAGGAAATTTTCCTTTAGCTAATAAAAATTAAAAACCCTAACACACTTTTGCCATCTATTTCTTATATATACCAAGAGTCATCTCCTCCCTTTTTAACACCTACAAAAGCTACAATTGTATTAACTGGATTTTGATCAAATGTAGCTTACATGAATAAACATATGTTCACGTCAGAGCTTGATATAAGATCAAACAAATCCAACATCGAGAAACCACCTGGAAACAAGATGGAGGGATATATATTGAAGACAAGATACTTTGACATCACATATTGAAAGTTCACATAGATCGATCAATTCTTCTAAAGGATATGTAGTGGATTAATGAAAAATCATGAAGCAAAGGAATGATTGAAACAAAGACAATGGGCATCACACTGAAGGTATACATGTCCTTCTGTGAAATAAATAAATTCGCTTGCTTTATTTCGAATATTATCTGGTCTATGGTGTTCAATTGATTTTCTTTGTATTTTGATAATGGAAGCACATCCAATTAATTAATAAATAAGTTACATTACCACAAAAAATTCAAAGGACTATGAAGAGAACAAGGAATCGAAATTACCAAAGTGTAGATTAAATCAAAAGTGAATTGTTGCTCCTAAATTAGTAAGCTTTCGATGGGGAAAATAATATTGATTATGAAGAAAGAAAAAAAATCAGAATAGTGATTACATGACACAAATTGAAAGGAAAAGGCAAACACAATAGAAGGCTGTATTTTGTTCCTTTTCTATTTTTCTATTTTTGTTTTTTCAATGTTTTGTAATATTTACATATTCATGTGTTTATAAGTAGTACTTTTAAAAGATGCCACTTGAAAGAGAAGGAATATAAACAAAAGTAAATTTATGAAAAACAGAATAAGATAAATTCCTTCTCATTTTAGTATTTACATATGACATTCAAAGGGCCTGTTTTGAATATATTTTGTTCAATAAGTCATTCTAGCTTGATTTTATTTTCAGTTTTTCAGGTAACGAAATTGTGTTTTATTTAATTATAATTTATTCTAAATTTAAGAGGAATAGAGCCATGCAGAATTTTACAAGAGGAATGGAACATGCAGAATTTTAAGGGTCGAGAATAACCTACAGAAATAAGAGAAAAAAAAAAGAAAAAAGTAGACACAAAGAAGAAGAGTACCAAGATAAAACCGAAGAATAGCGAAAAAAAGATATTGAATTGCGAATACAAAATAGAGACCAAAGAAGACAAAGATGAATAAGGAAAAACCATATTAAAAACTTGTGAAGAACAATTTGAAGAGGAATTCGAACAAGAACGAAGGAGAAGAAACCTAACAACAACAAAAAAAACTTGCGAAGACCAATCTAAAGAGGAAATAAAATAAGAACAAAGGAGAAGAAACCAAATCAAAACAAAACAAAAAAGAGAAAAAAAAGAAGAGCGAAGACGAAGAAGAGCAAACGCGAAGATGAGTGAAAATGAAGAAGAAATCAAATAAGACCAAAGACAAAGAAGAAAACAAAACATAAGATACTGAAAAAGAATGAATCAAAGAAAATTAAAAAAAACTTTAAAACAACAACGAAGAAGAAAATGAAGAACAATTATGTGTGTCGACTAGCTTCTCTTCATTTAGGTTTTAGGTTTTATAACCATTGAAAACTTACCAAAATATTAGTTTATCATCTAGCTTAAATTTATTACATACAAATATTGTTATTTATAGCATTTTAAGTTCTAACATAACCAACTGAAGTTATTTTAAATAAACATCATGTTACATACAAATATTGTTGACATCTAATTTTAAGAATTTCACTAAACATATTTAAAAATATATTTCTGTTTTAGAAAATGACTAACACGTCACAATACAGTAGAACCTCTATAAAGTAATACTCGATAAAGTAATAATCACTATAAGATAATAAATTTCTCTCGTCCCAATTCGGGCCAGTGTAAAAATAAGTAAAATGCGATAAGATGATAAGATAATAATATTTTTGAAACTCCTATGTAAAAATATGGTCCCAAAGATAAGTTAAAGTAATAATTATATAAAATTATACATTTCATATGCCTAAGAAAATTATTAAATTATGAATTTATATTTATCTCTAACTTTTTATTATATAAAAAACTTATGATGTAATTTTTCTATACATGTAAAATTGTTAAATATGTTCTAAACATATTATTTTCAACTTCAGCTATATTTTTTTCTAAATAATTAAATTTTTTATCATGTATAAAAGTTTATATAAATATTTATATTAGCTAATAATATATGTTCTATTACGATATCCAAAAGATTGATCATAATTTTAAATTTATTTATGTCATATTAACAAATATATTATTTTAAATTCTTAGTGTATGAATCATATGGATAATAAATTTCGAAGATTATGAATTAAAAAAATATGTTTCTAAATTAATAAATATTGAGTTTATTCATAAAGTAATATCTCTCTAAGATAATAAATTTTCAAGTCCCAACATTATTACTTTATAGAGGTTTTACTGTAGTTCATAAATTAACATTACATTTTACAAGTAAGTTTAGTGATAAAGTAAGTTTGTCCTATTATAATGATTTGAATATCTTCAAGTAAGTTTTGGTCATTAGACATACACAAACATTTTTGTTACCGGGATATGATCTAAACAATATATATTTTTGTATGTCAAGATTTGATCTCAACACGATATTGATATATCTAAAAACTTTTGTTTTACAGAGAATTTTGGTATTGAAATATTGATAAATTTTAATTTTGATTTTTGCAGTTTAAAAAAAAAAAATATATATATATTTTAAACCAATTTAATATACAAACCCGCGCGTGCGCGGGTGAAAGTCCTAGTACATAGACATCGTGAGGCAAAGTAGTAAACTAATCTCCTAGTGGCTATTGTTGTTTAAATATCTTATTAGTGTCAACCAACGTTATCAAGATTGAAAATATAAAACTACCATTACAAAAACAAAGGTAAATTTTTATCATGCAAAAGTTTTTATCACAAAATTCGACATAATTACCAAAACAATCACACATTTAACTTTAAACCTAAATTCATACAAAAAATGGTATTTGCGTTTTTATAAATTTTATGTATAATGCTAGATTTTTCTCTCCATCCAGAATGTCCACACAAGCCAAAATAACATTACATTGTACTTCAGATATTTATTTAATACATAACGTAAGAATCACATAAAACCAGTTTCGTTTCAACAACTAGATTTTCTAGATCACTTTAAAGATTTCTCAGGTTACAAAACAAAAATATTGTCTATCTTAACCTTTCTAAGGATATTGATTGATGCGATGATAAGTCGACAACAGTTGTTGAGGAGGGTTTGAATCAGAGACTCTTAATCTTCTAAAATTAAAGCTTAAACAACCATACCATCTCTAATGATTGCGTCCTTCTAAACATAGTCTAAATTGTGGTATGAAACTTTCGGTTTTTTAATGCTCGAAATAAGTTACATATATTTTTTTTTTTTTGAACAAATCTATATCTAATGAGGGGAGTTTTCTCTCCATCTAAAATGTCCAAATCAACTAAAATAACATTAAATTGTATTTACAATATATATTCAATATATATCTATTCATATTTCTTTATATATATTTAAATTAAAAAGATAAAAAAAAACTAAAAAAATAAACATAATAATTAATTAAACATAGTAAGTATGTGAGAATTTGGAATTAAAAATTAATAAAAAGTGTAGTATAAATTAATAAAAACAATTTATGGGAAGTTTCTGTTATTATGTTAGTGGAACATGGTGCTTGTTTGACATGCATGATGGATTTGGTCTCTTATAAAGAGATCCAAACGGTTAGTGGTTTGTGAAGGCAAAAAATAGTGTTACGAGGGTCCTCGTCGGGTTGGTGGTCCTCAGGGTCAGAGACCAAATTGTGCTATGAAACTTTTAGTTTTTGAATGCTCGTACTAAGTTACATATTTCTTCTAAGCTAAATAGTTCATGTATTTTTTGAACAAATATTGTACAAAAGAATCAATGGTCATCATGCTCAAAAATAATTACAATACATTGTATGTATCTTTGAGAAATAAATAATCCATTAGGGCGTTCTTCAGATGTGGAATATGGATTCCATATTCTTTACCCCCTTTGACTCAGTTTCAATCATATATTTGTTGTTCAAAAACGTAAGAGAATGAGTCCTAGAAATGACCCTAACAAATAGGTGTCAAAATTCTCAGCTTTTCACAAAAAACGTCATTGACTTATTTTATTTCTAGTCAACAAGAAACAAATAAGATAATAATCGAACTATTTACAAAGTTTGAATATATATGTCTAAAAACGTAAAGGAATGAGTGAGTCCTCCCAGAGAAAGAGAAGATTGTTACCAAACTGAAGTCATTTTTGTTATCAATCAAAACACAAGTGATGAAAGATTAAATCAATTACAGTTTTACAAGAAACTACAAGAAGTTAAGAAATGTTGCCTGAAATTTGAATAGTGAGATTAGAAAAAAAAAAATTGTTTAAAGTCTATGCCAAAGCACTTATAAAATCTATGCCAAAAACATTAGAGTTGGTGAGATCAATGTTTACGAGTTTAATAGCTTTTTCGATCACTATTCCACTTCAAGAGATGAATCGCACGAATCTATAGTTTACTTTAAAAAGGATTAAACTTTTTCTTATTTTAAACGATTTTGAGTGGTTCCAAATTTATGGCGTAACAAACTACAACAACAAAAAGTACACAATTCACATGAAGCGAAATTTCTGAAATACAACAACAAAGTACAAAATTCACATGAAACAAAATTTATGAAACATGTGGAGGACGCTGTCACGTGGTGGAACCACTCAAGTCACACAATTGATCAAATAGACCGTGATTTATTTGGATTATTAAGGTGATTTGCATTGAAATAACAAATTATTTTGTTATTCAAACATTAACGGTTAAATTTCTTTTAAAATCCAATGTTATTAAACTTGTGATTTTAGAATATAATTTAAAATCAGCTGCTATTGGAAATAATTAAATAGTGGATTTTAGGAGATTTGTTATGATTTTAAAGTATTTTGTTGGAGTTTTCCTAATTACAAATAAAAACAAAAATTCTAGAGTATTTTAACTAAAATCATAACAACTTCCCTAGTTTACACAAATCATAAACAAATAAAAACTCATTAGAAATCAAATCCTTTCAACTTACTAGATTGAATATACCCCTAATTGTTATTTGTAATTGGTAGAGATAGTGGTCCTGTGAAGCTCATTCATCTCGTTAGGATCAGATTTCACAGAGAGGAAGAAACAGATGGCAGAGACTGTGCATCCTCCCTTTGTGACTTACGCGTCGATGCTGTCGCTTCTTGCACTTTGTCCACATTTCGTCATTCTCCTGTAAGTTCCAAATCTCTTTTCTTGTACGTACGCGGTACGTCCACTTGAAAATTACGTTACATAGACTAAATTAGAGGTAGATTTCTTTCTTTTGGATTCCGATTATAGATATTGAATTTCAAGTATGGAACAAACTGTTTTCTTCTTCAAAAAAATGTAGATGGTACACAATGGTACATGAGGATGGTTCTGTGGCCCAAAGTTGGGACTTGTTGAAGAAGAATGGACTTCATGGACTCATTAACATATGGCCAAGACCTACTGCTATAGCTTGGAAAATCCTTTTTTGCTACGGAGCTTTTGAGGCTGCTCTTCAGCTACTTCTACCTGGTCAAACAGTTCAAGGCCCGGTTTCTCCAACAGGAAACCGTCCTGTTTACAAGGTAAAGATTATTGTTTAGCTGCTAATCTTCACTTTTTAAGTTCGGAAATGATACATATATTAAGTGTTGCATGCCTTTTGTTTCTTATAGGCAAATGGTGTGGCGGCTTATGTTGTAACAATAGCTACCTACATTGGCCTTTGGTGGTAAGAATTGCTCTGATGAATTTATTGTATTTGGATGTACGCCAAAATTAAACTACATTTTGTGTTTGTTACTTTAGGTTTGGAATATTCAACCCTGCTATTGTTTATGATCATTTGGGAGATATATTTTCTGCTCTTATATATGGGAGCTTCATATTTTGTGTTCTCTTATACATAAAAGTAAGTGTTTTTTTATCATGTAGAATGTTTCCCTTTTCTTTCTAGAATTTGACCTTTTTTCAGTTTCCAAGACTTATCTTAAAAACCTTTCTTACGTGTAAGGGTCACGTTGCACCTTCGTCAAGTGATTCTGGTTCATGTGGGAACCTAATAATTGACTTTTATTGGGTGAGTAGGCAACTTTTTTTTATTCTTCAGTAGTTTCCTGGTCAAAGATTTATTTGAGGATCAACGGACAGAGTTCAAGTTGTAATTCTTCGGTATCACCATTTATAGTGACTAAAAACAAGAGAAACAGTTTGTAGTCCTTAATGCTAGAATTTGGAAGTGAATCTTGATAGTCAAGAACATATATAGGAATTAGTGCTTATTATTCTAATCAAGTTGAAATGCTCTGCTCACAATGTAATTTATATGTCACAGGGCATGGAGTTGTACCCACGAATTGGTAAGAACTTTGACATCAAGGTTTTTACCAATTGTAGATTTGGGATGATGTCGTGGGCAGTTCTTGCAGTCACCTATTGCATCAAACAGGTACTTGCTAAATTATGATTTTGTTATAAACTCCATAATTTTTCATTTTGGATTTTGTATTATTAATAATTTCGCGGCCTTACGACTCCATTAATTTGCTTAACCAGTATGAACTAAATGGGAGAGTATCTGATTCAATGCTGGTGAACACCACATTGATGCTGGTGTATGTTACTAAATTTTTCTGGTGGGAAGCTGGTTATTGGAACACCATGGACATTGCTCATGACAGAGGTATATATATATGCATCTGGACCTCGTATCAATAACCAAAAAGACTCCTCCATCGTATATGGTACAGGAAAGACAAAAAAAACTTCAATAATAAACTTTGATCTCATTTGTGATTTACAGCTGGTTTCTATATATGCTGGGGTTGTCTTGTGTGGGTGCCTTCTGTATACACCTCACCAGGCATGTACCTTGTGAACCACCCTGTGGAACTTGGAACTCAGGTACAAAAGTCTCACTTTATATAGCTCAATGCATGCAAGTGGGATTAGAGAAACAAACAAAACAAAAAAAAACAAAAAACTTTTTTCGATGGTTAAGAAAAACCGTGAAGATAACTAGTAGAAAGCTATTCATGAAAATATACATTTTTGCTACAATAATAACAAATTTTCAATACTATACCTCCTTTCAAATCCTCACAGCTGGCAATATATATTCTGGTGGCTGGAGTTATTTGCATTTACATAAACTATGACTGCGACAGACAAAGGCAAGAGTTTCGGAGGACAAATGGGAAATGTTCGGTTTGGGGAAAAGCCCCTTCAAAGGTATAAAAACGAAGCCTCTCATTCATTACCGCAACAAACTCCTTTTTTTGGTGCAACAAACTCCTTTTCAAGAGTCTTATTGTATATGTTCAAACTTTTGCCTTGTGTATTCACAGATTGTAGCAAGCTACACTACATCATCCGGTGAAACCAAAACAAGTCTTCTCCTAACATCTGGATGGTAGGTTAATTAATATATATATATATATATATATATATGTTATACATATGGATCATACGTACGGTAAGCATATTCTAACGCCGGTTTGGTTTCATGCAGGTGGGGACTAGCGCGTCATTTCCATTATGTTCCCGAGATCTTAAGTTCCTTCTTCTGGACTGTCCCGGCTCTCTTCCACAATGTAAATCATTACAACCCCATTTTCTTTAGAAAAAAAGGGAAAAACAGTTTTGATCTTCTCTTTATCTTTTCTTGAAGAAACTAATAGTATCTAACATATTCTTTTTTTGCTTATTGTTTCAAACCAGTTCTTGCCATATTTCTACGTCATATTTCTCACCATTCTTCTCTTCGATCGGGCCAAGAGAGACGATGACCGATGCAGATCCAAGTAACCATTGTTTTTCAGCTTGATTTCTTAATACACATTAAGCGTTAAGTAAATAATCTTATACCATTTTTTTGTGGTTAAATTGGGTTTTCAGGTATGGCAAGTACTGGAAGCTGTATTGCGAGAGAGTCCGGTATAGGGTCATTCCAGGGTTCTATTGAGATAACAAGTGACTTCATTTGTAGCAATTTGCATTTTCTTTTCACTGTAACATTAACATGTGAAATTTCACTCTTTCTTAATAAATGAGCTATAACATTTGAAACAGTTCTTTCTTCTTATCCTTTGTGCAGTAAAGTTTGAACACAAATCAAACCCTTTAATTTGCATGGATGTAAACATAAGTGAGCTAGAACTAATCACCATTTGAAACGGTCTCTTTACCCTAATGGCTTAAGTCAAAAAGTTGTTTTACGAATGTTTTGGTTTGTGTATGTTGTATTCATCTCCTCCACTAGGGTATATAATATTATATCAAATGTTACAAAAAAATGTTGAAAACCGAGTTTATGATATAGGGTTTGGAAATATTTTTCTTCCATTCTTTCTTTTGGTAGAGGATTTTTTTGTTTTTTTACGGCAAACGGTTATTCTATTACTCAAACTCGAGTTGGTGTGGTTACCCACCCCGGAACAGAATAACCAACAAAAGATAAGGACCTAGGGTACAACCTAGCAAGCTTAGCCAGATGATCAGCTTTACTAGTTGAAGCACGAGGGAGATACGAAATAGAGAAGGAGGAGAAAAGTTTTCGTAGACTACTGAACTCCTGCAACTCCGTTGAGAACTTTGGCCAGTCCTCTGGTTTCTCGATCATCTTTAAGACGTCTTGGCAGTCAGTTGCAAAGGCTTGAACGTTGGTATACTGCGCTGCACATTCCATAGCCCACATTAATGCTTCTAATTCTGCATGAAGAGGGGAGATGCGTCGTGGTTGGTTATGGATGCCTAGTAAGCGTTGAGTTCCATCTGGATCTATCCAAATCCATCCAGCTCCGCTGTGGGCTTGTTCTCGGTGCCAAGAGCCATCGACAATACATACATCTCTCAAGCGTATGGCTTGGGTTCCCGTCGTTGAAAGAAGTGGAGCTTTAGAATTGGCTTGGTGCCAAGCTCGACATTCAGCTACTGCATGGCGAACAGTCCCTAATGGGTCTCTGTTGATTCCACGGAAGAGTTTCTCATTGCGGGCTTTCCATATGAACCATATGATCCATGGAAAGGGATCACAATCATCCTCAGCATTATCCATGTTAGGTCTTCTCCAGAATAGATAGTCCATGTTCGTGTATATCCCAGACGAGGGAAATAAGCTTGGTGGCGTAAGAATGGGGGCAAGGGCCCACGTTTGAAGAGCTGGTGGACATTCAAATATGGCGTGGTTAATCGTTTCTTCAGGAGCTCCGCAGCGAGGGCAGTGATTATCACATCTCATCCCTCTGTGATTGAGGTTTTTAGTAACCGCTAAGTAACCTGAAATGATTTGCCATAAGAGGTGCTTAATCTTGTAAGGGGCCTTGCTCTTCCAAGCTTGAACTTGTAAAGGTCGGATACTTGGTTCCGAACATGTTTCTTCTGCTGGATTGAGTAAATTTTTTGCCACCCAATACCCTGATTTTACTGTATAGAGACCGCTCTTAGTATAGCCCCAACTAAAGCTATCCATGTGGAAAGTCTTGTTGATGGCTATACTTCGTATCAGGGGAATGTCCTCTGGCTCCATATATTCTTCTAACATCTCTACATTCCATGCCTTTATCTCTCTGTTTATGAAGTCGCTAACGGTCATTCTAGGATGGACAACTGGGATCCTTGGATTTGCATGTCTAGCTGGGATAGTTGGGATCCAAGGATCCTCCCAAGCTCTAGTATTGAGTCCAGAGTGAACTTTCTGCAGGATTCCCATTGTTAGCAATGGTCTAGCCGCTAGAATACTTCTCCATCCGTACGACGGAGAGTCAGTGTGGCCAGCTCTAAGTGGTGTGCTGTAAGGGAAGTATTTTCCTCGCAAGACTCTTGCCAACAAGGAGTCCGGAAACCGTAAGAGTCTCCATAATTGCTTTGCTAACAGGGCTAGATTAAAGTCATGGATGTCTCTGAAACCTGTTCCACCCTCCTCTTTTGATATGCACATTTTATCCCAAGTTGCCCAATGAATTCCTCTTCTTTCTGCGTCAGAGCTCCACCAGAATCTTGCTATCGCACTTGTGAGCTGATCGCATACCTCCAACGGGAGTAGAAAGCTGGACATGACGTAGGTTGGAAGTGCCAGTGCTACTGATTTTATCAAAATCTCCTTCCCTCCTTTAGAAAGCCATTTTGATCTCCATCCATTTACTCTGTTTTGGAGGCGCTCCTTGATATACGCAAAGAGTTTACATTTTGATCCACTAATGTCTTCTGGGATTCCTAGATAGGTCCCCATTCCCCCTTCGTTTTGGATTCCGGTTATAGATTTGATGTGTGTTTTAGTAGATCCGGGAACCCTCTTGCCAAAGAGCAGTGAGGATTTTTCAAAGTTTATGCGTTGTCCTGAGGCTTTACCATACTTATGTAGGATGGAGAGAACTTCGTTGCATTCACGAGCTGCCTTGCGTGAAGAAGTTCTTTTGGTAGAGGATTAAGGAAGGAGTTCTAAATGATTTGGAAATTTTTACAAACTAAATTTTTTCGGTTATGAACTTTTTTGTTTCTTTGCAATAACTTTACAAATGGGAGCAAAGCACAAAAAGTAAAAGGGCTAAATGTTAAATATATTGAAATAGTTATAGAAAAAACGATTTTAATTAGAAAAAAGGAGGCTCCTTTGGTAGAGTCTACAACAGTCGTCGTCAAGCGTCAGACAAGGTCTCGCTGGTGGTTGTCTGGGTTTAACTGAATATGCAATCTGGCGGCGATTACGGCAACGGTTTCCACGGCGAGCTCGAATGGGAAGAGAAGCAAGTCCCCGGCCTCACCTCTTTCGGCCGAGCTAAGAGGCGCAGCCGCGGCGGAGCTCGCGACCCTAAAGGCGGCCTCGCCAATGTGCTTAGGGTTTCCGACCAGCCTGGCGAGCAAAAGTCACTGGAGACTTCGGAGTCTCCTCCGCCTTGTACGGACTTCGATGTTGCCTATTTTCATTCCTATGCTCACGTCGGGATTCACGAAGAGATGATCAAGGTACTCTCTCTCTCTCTCTCGCTTCTTCTTCTTCTTCTTCTTCTTTCTTCTTTCTTCTCTCACGGGAGCTTGAAATTGATAGTTAGGGTTGAATTCTCTTTGATTTGGGAGAAGTTTTAATCTTGGTTTTTAGAGCATTGGATTATCTATTCCATCTTCGAACTCCATCCAATTGATGATTTGAAATATCATTATTGAGTATATTAGTTTAGCGTATAGAGATTCTTGCTCTGAAACCAAATTGGGTTTTCTCTGTCGCTTAAAAAGAAACGTCAATGTCTGCAGGATTTGGCTGAAAAATTGTTCAAATGTGTCAAATTAGGTTGTTCTGTGTCTTTATCTTTTAAAGCATCTTTTTTCTTCTCCCCAGTCTGCTGTTCCTTGGGTTTTCTGACTTGTGTTTGGTTGATACAGGATCGGGCAAGGACGGAAACTTATAGGGAAGCCATAATGCAGCATCAGAGCTTAATCCAAGGCAAGGTAATACCCTCGTTTCTCTAGTTTCTGAACTTTGCAAGATACAAATTGGGACTGTTGATTAGTTTTGGTTTATCCTGTCTAAAGGATCCGATTCCTTTGTGTCAGGACTTGATTTGAAAAGCTATGTTTATCAAGTGGTAGTTTATTATTTTGTTGGTGCATCTATTGCTTGTAACAGGTTGTGGTGGATGTTGGCTGCGGGACAGGCATTCTTTCAATCTTCTGTGCTCAAGCGGGTGCAAAACGGGTATGAGTCTTGTGTAGACGCAACTGTCATTTTCATGTTCATTCTAAAATGATATTAAGTTTGTTTCATGTGTGTGTTTTCTGTATATGTTCCATAGACCTCAGGGGTGTCTCTTACATAAGATAAATTTCCTTACAGGTATACGCTGTAGATGCAAGTGATATTGCAGTCCAGGTATTATTCCAGATGTTTTCGTTATCCAGTAACTTGGTCTTAGATGATTGCTCTTGATCATTTCGTTCTTAGCTTCTATTTTCTGCTATTGTAGTGATCCTTTTCATAAAATGTTACTGGCTTGGAAAAATTCAAGTTTACCTAGTTTGGGAATTTGTCTTTTGATCAAAACATGTTTCCATGGGTTGCAATTTGAACTTGGAATAGGAAAGGAGTTTCGACATAAAGTGGTATAGTTGCCTTGGCGGGAGTATGTTTAGGTTGTGATGATAGTTTGTATTATTTTCTAAAATGAAGATTACGCTTGAAACTTTTCACAGTTACGTTGACACTGACCCAGACTTCATTTGTATCATCTAATTTAATATAAATCTCGACATTGCTTCATGGTTTGAATCACCCTTGACATCAATCAGATCAAGAAAGAAGTTAAAAATTCTGAAACTTTTGGTCCCGTGAAGCTGATCTAACTAATCTATAATTTATTACGAATCTGGTGTTTTAGCTCTGCCTATGATTTTCATTTGGCTTTTGATTCCTATTTAGATTGAAGTGGTTTTGTGAATCTTACTTTGCACGATGACTTCTGTTCACACCCTTTTCTTTTTCCTAATTACCACCAGGCAAAGGAAGTTGTGAAAGCCAACGGTTTATCTGACAAGGTCATTGTTTTGCATGGGAGAGTGGAGGTAAAATCTTTTCTATGATAAATGCCGAGTTGGTCCTGCATGCTATTTCAGGCATGCTTAAGGTTGATGTCTATATAAGCTGCAAAATGATAAATTGGTGTCCTTATGCAGAAAGGTGTGATGTAAATGAATATAATGGAGAATTTGGGATAGTCTATATCTTTACACCGCTATTGAAAATTTGAGATATATTGGTTGGGTGAAACATCCAACTTTGTATGTAACCCTCCTTCCTTTAGTAATTCTTCTTATGTTGTAATTTTTTCAGGATGTTGAAATCGACGAGGAGGTTGATGTTATTATTTCTGAGTGGATGGGTTACATGCTCTTGTATGAGGTTATTTACTTATCTTGTGTATATAAAAAAAAAATTCTGATGTCCAAATGATAACCTACCGAATTAACAATTCTCCCTGGTCTCTCATTCTCGTATTATGATTGTTGATGTGTTGTAGAGTATGCTTGGAAGTGTTATTACAGCTAGAGATCGCTGGTTGAAGCCTGGAGGTTTAATTCTCCCATCACATGCAACAGTATGATTATGATCCCTTCAAATACTATATCACACAGTATGCTCTAAATGGCTTTTGGAAACAAGGCAACATTTGATATGTTGCTGTTTACTTCCTGGTGACAGTTATACATGGCACCTATTTCCCACCCTGACAGATACAGTCACAGCATTGATTTTTGGCGCAATGTCTATGGAATCGATAGTAAGTATTATATCAACTTGAACTTTGGAACAATCATTACGTTAAATTTGATTGGTATACTAGTTAAAACTGAGTTCGAGTTTCTTCAATTTTATGTGGATGTGATGTTTCTAATAAGCTGGTACGCATTTCAAGATATGAGCTTGCCGTATCCCACATCGTGATAGGCGGGGAGTTTGATCACTTCCTAGATAGATCAGATTAAAATAATTAGGTTAATGTGATAGCATATATCGTTTTGATAGTTCTGGTCCTTAGCTTAAGGGAGTAAACATGTGGCATTATTACTTAATCATAAGGGTCAATTAAAATATATGCTTCTCACTCACCTTCACGTTGGGGAACGTCTACTCAAGAATCTGATAAATAGTCAAGTTGTATAGATTGACAAATAAGCACCTCGTAGTAAGGTTTCAGTAATGAATCATTACTGACGATGTTTGATGTTGTTTGCAGTGTCTGCAATGATGCAATTGGCTAAACAGTGTGCGTTTGAAGAACCTAGCGTAGAGTCCATATCAGGCGAAAACGTTCTAACATGGCCAGAAGTGGTATTTCCTTTTCCTCTGAGTGCTTGTTACCTCCATTCTCCTTATGCTGAGTGAAGAGTTATCCTTTTTGTTACTAAGTAATGATGGAAGACCTTTTCTTTTTAATCGCAGATTAAACATATAGACTGCCAAACAATAAAAATCCAAGAGCTAGACTCCGTTACTGCAAGATATAAATTCAAATCAATGATGAGAGGTATATCACTTTCCCTTAATCAGCTATCACTGTGTTGTGTGCATCTTAGAGAGAAGTTAGTCTTGCTTCTTTTATGTGCTGAGGCTTTTTCCTTTTCTTGGTGTAGCTCCTATGCATGGTTTTGCATTTTGGTTTGACGTTGAATTCAGCGGACCGGCCTCTTCGCCTGCCAAGGACACTAGTGCAGCAAGTGTTGCTAGCGGTTCTTCATCGGTGAGTCCTTCCGGAGAAGGAAATCAGAAGAAGCGGAGTAATCCGAGTGATGCACTCGTGCTGTCCACCTCTCCTGAGGCTCCTCCAACGCATTGGCAGCAAGTAAGACCACGTTTTTGCATATACTTCCCGAGTTTTTCAACTTTCTGTCAACTTTACCTTTCAGTCTAAACTAATCTTATATGGAGAAGATTAATGATGATACTTCTGTCTCTGCTTAAGTTATTAAAAAAGTTAGCTTACACTCCGTGACCATTTGGTACTGAACCACTTTACTTTATTGGACAGACGATTGTATATTTCTATGACCCAATAGACGTAGAGCAAGATCAAGTCATTGAAGGCTCCGTGACACTTTCTCAAAGTAAAGAGAACCGGAGATTCATGAACATCCACCTCGAATACTCGTGAGTAACCACAAAACAAACCCTCTCTTTTACCCTTTTTCGATTTCCACCAATGCTTAATCTTGCGGTTTTGCAGCTCGGCTGGCCGTTCCTTTGTTAAAGAGTCGGTGATGCGTTAAGAAGGCGAATTTCTGACAGTCTGTCTCTCCTTACTTTAGAAGCCTGTCTCTTCTGCTAAAGCAAATTGTTAGTTCAGAAAATTGTGCAGAACCGACACTTGAAGACATTGGCTTCTAGTCTGCGAAACAACAAGTTATTGTAAGGTATTTAGGCTTTAGATCAGATGGAAGCAATTTTAGGAAATTATTCTTGAGGCCATTATTAGCTTGTTACTACTTACTAGTATAACTCAGCAGAGCGCTTCTCTATCAATGCTGCTTATACTCTTCATGCATATTTTATTGATACTTTGTGTAACCTTAATACATGATCAAGGTCGAAATATTGAAATTTGTGTTTACATTATTTTATTCTCGTTGATTATGGAGTTTATAATTATCTTCAAATCTAGTTTGTTTTGTTTGGCTTTTTAATTCTTAGAGTATCGTATACTATATTGTTGTCAAAACTATATTCAGTATTTGATTTTATAATTTAAGAGGGTTTTTTAAATGATTTATCAATTAAAAACATTAAAAAGAACTTATGAAAAATACCGTAAAATTAAGTGTTAGTTCTAATAAATATACTACTACACTTTGAAATTATTCCCACATATACAACAAAATATATATTTATGAAGGGATCCTACAACTTTAATAAAAGTCCCGAAGTTACTAAATCATTTAGAACTCCTCCTTTAATTCTTAAGAACTCTTTCTAAACTCAAAGTTGTTTAGTATTTTTGGAGCTTACTAAATCATTTGGGACAATCTTCTTTGTGAAAGAATACACAAAGTAAGAGATTATTTAGAAGGTTTTCTCTTGTTATGCATCGATTCTAAGATATAATTCTAAACACATGACATGAGCATTTGTTATGTATACACGCAGAAACCAGTCTTATCATATTGTGCACACACGCATTGATGCATATATTATGTGTACATAACCGGATCGGGTGATTATATTCTAGAATTCTAGAATTTATTTTCCCATTCATGTTGTACGTTATATGTATCTATCGTTGGATGATTATAAAATGTGAGCAACTTTAAGGTGTAATAATTGTTCAATTATTAGTAAGTGGTGCATGTCTTATGTAATACCCAACTATTATCTTTTTGTTCATTAGAATGCATGACTGTTTGATTAAAATTTATTATCTATTCGACCGTGTTGTGCATTTAGATATGTATATCTTTCCTTTTCCCAAATTATTTGTAGTTGGTGTTGTCGTACTTGTATTACATACTATAGCAATAGCCATGGAAAATTTATAATTTTTATAATCTCCATATCTTTAAAAACTTTTTGGCACGCCCACAAATGTATGAATCACGTAGCACCATTTCTTTTCGTAATAGGTTTTCTTTCCACGATTAATAATTTATCATTGAATTTGATTTGTATGTTAGCAAACAGATTTGATTTCGTGTTATATACATATAGTGCCTGGATGTTATATATGTAACGGCAAATCTTCTAAAGTAAATGGAGCATCATAAAATTGGACTACGCATTCTTGTGTAATACTTGATTTCGTTTCTGTTTCATCTCCCAAAACTACTCGCAAAGTCATAATTGTCTTCACAAAATTAAGAAATGTTTTAAATTTTTGTTTTTCTTTTTGGCTGAATCCAAGTTTTACAAATAGACCTACTGTATTTCGATGTAATTTCCACAATGACTAAAGAAACTTCTTTATTCAACATACTTTTCAAATACCTCCTTGTGCCAACTTCAAATTACGAGCTAGATATTGTTTTGGTATAATTCAAAAAGATTGGATGATACATCATACATACACGCCAAAAATGATGAGCTAAGAAACCATATAATCTACAGTTGCAACCAACATTTGCTTTCGAACTACTCTTGCACTAAGTCCAATCTAAACATGTTTTATTTGACGTTAATTCTAAAAAACCAAAGATAATATTTTCAATATAATCATGTTTTTGGCTCATACGACGATCTTTGTCCTTGATCACCAAATATGTAGTGGCTCTCATCATATACGAATAGACATTCTTGACATACATATGTAGTTCTTACATATATCTCTTTACATAAATTTCCCACTTTACCATTGTAGATTGAATATATAAATATGAGTTTTCTTTTAATGTTGGATTAAGTGTTCTTGTTTTTAAAACCAAAAATAAGTGTTCTTGTTTTTCAAGAATAGGTGTTTTCACCTTAAAAATGATACCCATGGTTTCTTTTCATAAAATCTTTTTATATAAACCTAGTATGATTTAATCTTGAAAATGGACTAGATTTCCCTTTAGTAATCTACGGAATATTCATCTGTGCTAGCACACTCCTAGCGAAGCAACTTTTGAGTGTAACTCTCAAACAAAGACTCGAGAGAAAGAGTAGTGAAGTAAAGATGTGGACGTGCAAGTTCAAGTTCAACGGAAGAAGCGAGAGGGCCCCACTTTAAACTCCACGTAGGCATAAAAAATAAATAAAAGCAATAAGAGATATCGACCCATCACTTCCAAAAAAAATTATAATCACTCACAAGTCTCAAGTCTCAAGTCTCAAGTCTCAAGTGGATTCAATCAATAAATAAACAAAAATCGGAGAAGACACCAAAAAACTCACTCTGACAAATAAAACCCAAAATCCAAGAACCACTCTCTTGACGATTTTCTTCGCTTCCCACACGGTGTTGTGTTGTGGCGTTGTAAACAATGCTGCTTCCTCTCTTCTTCTTCCTCCTCCTCAATCCCCATCTCTCTTCTTCAATCTCCTTCCCCGATTTCCAGATCATCGACGTTCTACAGCCTCCTCTCTCCCTCACCGGAACTCTTCCCGATTTCAACAACACCCATTTCTCCGATGAGTCTAAATACACTCTACGCCTTCTCCACCGCGATAAATTCCCCTCTGTTACTTACCGGAACCACCACCACCGTCTCCATGCCCGTCTCCGCAGAGATACTGATAGAGTCGCCGCCCTTCTCCGCCGCATTTCTGGGAAAACCGTAGCTCCCGATTCGAAATACGAGGTCGACGATTTTGGGTCCGATGTGGTTTCCGGTATGGACCAAGGGAGCGGAGAGTACTTCGTCAGAATCGGCGTCGGAAGTCCGCCGAAAGATCAGTATATGGTGATTGATTCCGGTAGCGATATGGTTTGGGTTCAGTGTCAGCCTTGCAAGCTCTGCTACAAACAATCCGACCCGGTTTTCGACCCTGCTAGTTCCGGGTCTTACACTGGAGTCTCCTGCGGCTCTTCCGTCTGCGACCGGATCGAAAACTCCGGCTGCCACTCCGGCGGATGCCGCTACGAGGTCATGTACGGAGACGGGTCCTACACGAAAGGGACGTTAGCCCTCGAAACGCTGACGTTTGGTCGGACGGTGGTTCGAAACGTCGCGATGGGATGCGGCCACCGGAACAGAGGAATGTTCATTGGAGCCGCCGGGTTATTGGGTATAGGCGGCGGTTCAATGTCGTTCGTTGGTCAATTGACCGGTCAAACCGGCGGTGCGTTCGGTTATTGTCTAGTGAGTCGCGGCACCGAGTCGACCGGTTCATTGGTTTTCGGGCGGGAAGCTTTGCCCGTCGGAGCCTCGTGGGTCCCGCTGGTCCGTAACCCGCGTGCTCCGAGTTTCTACTACGTTGGGCTCAAGGGCCTCGGAGTCGGCGGCGTCCGGATTCCTTTACCGGACTCCGTTTTCGACATAACCGAAACCGGAGACGGAGGTGTGGTTATGGATACCGGAACGGCCGTCACAAGACTTCCAACGGCGGCTTACGCCGCTTTCCGCGACGGATTCAAATCTCAGACGGCGAATTTGCCGCGAGCTTCCGGGGTATCTATATTCGACACGTGTTACGACCTGTCCGGGTTTGTATCCGTGCGAGTCCCGACCGTGTCGTTCTATTTCACGGAAGGTCCGGTTTTGACATTACCGGCGAGGAATTTCTTAATGCCGGTGGACGATTCGGGGACTTACTGTTTTGCGTTTGCGGCGTCTCCGACGGGTTTGTCGATAATAGGGAACATACAACAAGAAGGGATTCAAGTTTCTTTCGACGGAGCCAATGGCTTTGTTGGGTTTGGTCCCAACGTTTGCTAGCGTTTAAGAAAAAAATTACGATTTTTGTTTTCTAGTAAAGTAAAAACCTTTTGCCTGAAACTATATGTATGACTGTCTTACTTATTAGCTTTGTTTGAGTGAGTAATCAATAAGTATAATTAGTATAGAGAGAGTACTGAAATGTATATGTTTTGACCTAAATTGTCTTTTGTTTTTTTATGGAGGAATCATAATTTTGGGTCACTGTTTGATTGTGATGTAAAATGGAGCAAGCCAACTTTTAGAGTACCAAGTCAAAAAGTAATAAACAGAAGAAAAAAAAGTTAAAAAATTGCAGATTTCTGTTTAACACTTTGTGGTGAAGCGTGAGGACATTGGGGAATGAACCTTTTTCTATTGACCAAAGTTAACGTTACAGTAAATAAGTTTTACTTAGCAATTACCATCGTTGCATGGAAACTCCATCCAAGTCGCGTTTCCCGTTTCGGAAACGTTTCCAAAATGGAAATTCTCGGAAACTTGTCGGAAACTCGTTTTCCCACGTTTCCTAAAATTTGCAGTTTGGAAACTTGTGAGAAACTCGCGTTTCCATTTTGGAAACTTGTGTTTCCCTAATTGAGGGAAATTAACTGCTTATTTTTTGAAAATACAATAATTATATAATTACATAAAAATAATATTAGTAATGGATTGTTTTAATTGTTTAAGACAATTAATTAATTAATTTGATACATTAGATGAAAACTAGTCTTATTATTAAATATTGAGTTTGATTATTTAAAATTTTCCTCTTGATGAAAATAGTTGAAGATAGTTTGATTCATAAAATGCATAATAATAATAATAGAATATATTTTTAATTTTGACATGAAACATTATAATATTTATCTTTAGTTTAACTATTTAATATCTAATATAATATATATAGATAGATATTATTATTTTTTTCCCAAAATAAGCTTTATTAACTTGATAATATAAAATCACAAAGTAAAGCATCATCATATATATAGATGTTATTTATTTATTTATATTTATACACGTTTCCAAAACGTTTACAAATTTATATATTTGAAAATACACGTTTCTCGTTTCGGAAACGTTTTGCTTCCGCGTTTCTGTTTTCGTTTCCATGCAACATAATTACCATCACATGCGCCGACCTCCAAGGTTTTCTTGAAGTTAACAGAAGACCGACTTCTTTTTACTGGTAATGGACATTTTAAACGTATATAATAATTCCACATAAACCGGAAGCAGACCTGATGGGAAAATTTTACCTAATGCCAGTCTTTAAGAAGTTTGTACATATGAGTGAGTACCTGAGCGAGAGAGACCCACAAAAGCTGTAAATTTATTTTTAAAAAGTGAAAAGGAATCATTTAAAGCAACTTAATAATCTCTGGTCACAATCGTGATTCACCTCTTCAATTCATTACTTCCCCGTGATCGTTTCCAAGTTCGTTAGAAAGAAAAGGTGATAGAAAAAAGGACACAAAGAAATTTCAATTTCCACCTTTTGTGTGACATTTTTAAGCAATATCTTTGAAGTGGGTTTCATGATAATTACAACAGACTCAAAAACCCAGGACCCAATCTAGTTGAATCATGGATGAAGAGGCCCAGAAATGTACCTTTAAAATTGTCAGAATAATTTTGCCATATTTCTTATTTTATTCGACTTTTTCTCTCTAATGATACATACTTAGCCGTTGGATAGCTTGAAAAATTTAACCACAGAGTCAATTCGTTTCACACTGTTAACTTGAAAAACAAAAACAAAAACAAAATATGAGATCTGCAGAGAGCACTAGCCGACGAGAAGCACGTGCATTCATACCAATGACCTGAATCATCATTATATCAACCTCACCCTCTGGTGAAAAATTAAACCCCAAATAAAAATAAAACCCCAAATAAAAATAAAACCCCCTGGTGAAAAAATGGACGAGAGAAATTACTAAAGAGCCAAAAGAAGTGTGTGAGAGAGAGAGAGAGAGAGAAAAAGTCATACTTAAAAGAGGTCCCATTGTCTTGTATGTTGTCCCCTTCAAAGGGCATTTAATCAACAAAAAGTTCCACCACTGTATATCACAGTAATGATTCATCATCTTGAAACTTAAAGCTGTTTGTTGCACAACCAAACTTTCACTTTCTTTTGCAGTTTCCACTCATCTTCTGTTTGTATCTCTATATATATAACCTTGTCTTTCACTAATAAGTTCTGTACAAAACCATTCTATGAGACATGAGTTTATCAAACCATAGAAGCACGTAGACACAAACTGAAAAATAGCAGCAAGAAAAGGCGTACATAGACCAGCCTAGTCCATTACTCCAATATGATTAGAAGAAATCATCCTCATTATGTACATACAGAGGATCTCTCACCACATCTACATTGCTGAAAACGTTAACGCAATGCAAACAAAAGGTGTTTCCAAAAACAGACGTGAAGCTGCTAAAGATTGCTAGGAATGGCATAACATAACAGAGACAAGAAAACATAACAATTATCCAGCAATTGATCATTTAGATTTACCGTCAAACTCCTACGTGGTTATATATACCATGAAACGATTTAGTTATTTACATATTGGCCAGTTTCCAATCGATGCACCTCCGAGAACACAAAAGAACCTAGACAGGCTTCAAGCCTCACAAAACCAAAACACGAAACCCTAGGGGAGAACCACAGTATTGAAGTTCAACTACAAATGCAGATAGAGGTTTCTTCCTGATCCAAAACTCTGGGCATAATCTCCCATATATTGTACTACGCAACCTAATTCAAGCAGCGATTGGAAGGCTACGCACAGACCATACAATGAGTAGTCTACACATTAAATAGATAATTGAGATCGTCAACTGTCAGCCGAGTTGCAGAGCTTCCACCATGCTCTTCACCGAACGCAGATGCAGCCATTTTTCTTTTCTCGTCCTGATAAGAAAAACAATTTAAAAAGGGAAAAGATCAATGCTGGGGATTACTATAAACATTAATCTGAAGAGGAAACTAAGGGACATCAAATCCCAAGCCACAAAGAGCTGATAGATTGCTAAGAATACCTGAAGACGCAAAATCTTATCCTCAATGGTATCTTTAATAGTAATGCGAGTTACAGTAACTGGCCGAGTTTGTCCAATACGATGTGCACGATCGATAGCTTGATCTTCGGTTGTTGGATTCCACCAAAGATCCAAAAGAATTACATGACATGCAGCTACCATATTCAACCCAAGGTTTCCAGCTTTTAGAGACATCAGCATCACCTTTACCTGTTGATAAACTTTGCATTGTTCAGAGAGCTTCACCAACAATAGTCCATGAAAAATTCCATGTTTCAGAGAAATGAGTAGTAAAGTTATTCGCATTACTTACATATGGATCATTGCTGAATTCTTTTACAGCCCTGTCTCTTGCTGCTAGGCTCATTGTACCATCTAATCGTCTGAATTCTATACCATTTTCATTAAAACGTAGCTGAACCAAGTCAAGCATACTAGTCCACTGAGAGAATACTATCGTCTTTACTGGCCCCTGGCTAGGTGAAGATGAGTGAAGATTCATTGGCTCTACAATGGTAACATCGTCATCGTCACCGTCATATGGCTGTGCTGAGTTCGGGCTGCCTTGTTTGGAAAGAGACTGCAGGATATCTAGGACAGCTTTGATTTTTGATGATCTAAACTCGCTTCTTTCAAAAACTGATTTATCGAGACCCTTATCATGTGAAGAACTACAGCCAGAATCATTGCTGATGCAATTTCTAAGGGCAGATACAGAGAATACAACATCACGCCCAAGCTGTTCTCTGCATCTCGATCCAGGGCACATGTTATCATACCCATTTATATGTTCTAAAACACACTGATAGCAGAATACATGGCCACACAACGAAACAACAGGATTTTCTGGTGGATCCTGCATAAAAACAGGCAACAGAATATTAAGAGTAAATATTGTAACAAGTAGCCAGCTACAGAATAGTGAGCCTGAGGACATGCTACTCCAAGACTTCAAATACTCTGTACTTACTTCACAGTCACAGCAGATGGCAGATGATGACTCTAAGCGATTGAGCAGGTTGATTCGAGCATCCCTAGGGAGCTTTTTAACTGCTTCTTGTGATAGTTTTCCAACAGGATCTGCATTATGTCCTTTAATAAGTTGTGGGTGATCACAAGCTTGGCGTAGTCGCAAAAGCAACAGAAGAATATTTGCGTAGTTTTGGCTCACAGTTCCTGCATCCTTATAAGCCTGCAGAGAAAATGAATTTTCATCTTATCAGGTATAACTACTAGTTAATGCTGTTTCACTGCCAGAAAAAAAACTCATACACATGATTTTCCCAGAAAACATCGAGTTACTTATAAACGTATCATCTTTTACAACATAAACCGCATCAATTTCAAACCAAGTATGAACTGATAAATTGTGGAGGAAGAAAAAGGAGAACCTTGAATTGTGATCGTGAATCTGCTTGAAGCTTCATGTAAAAAGATCGCTCCTCCACTGAAAAGTCGACCTGGCTCAAGTTAAGTTTCTTTGGAGGTAGATTAATTATGGGTTTCCCGTCAAGCAATGTTCCTAAATAGCAGAACACAAGATAATTAGCAGAAACCATCAACAGCATCACAGCTAGATAGGAAGTTAATAAGAGCAAGTTAAAAATCTACAGCCGAACAGGAAAAGGATCTCATACAAATGAAAAGGAAAAATACACAAATGACAAGACAAAATTAATATTTCATAAACCTCTCGATCAGAGAACTCAACTCAGGTTAATAACATCAATAAAACTATCTGGTACTCTCGTTATAGAGTATGTTATACAGACACCGGCAATAATCAAAAAGTTTCAACATAACAAAGAATAATGGTAACCAGACCATCATAAATCACTCAACCAACCATCTAAGAGAACAGAAGGATGATCAGACTACCTTTGGTTCGGCGCAGCATTATAGCCCTTAGAACAGCTTGAAGCTTCTTGTAACCTTGAAGAGAGTTTCTGGAGATTGGAACCTTGATTGTGTCGTGAAATGACTTGTAGACGGCATATGGATTATACTTAAGAAAACGGAAATAACTGTATAAATCCTTAATTGAGTTTTGAATTGGTGTTCCAGACAAACACCACCTCCTTTTGGCTCGGAGAAAGCAACATGCTCTTGCCACTTGTGTTGTATGATTTTTAATCGTCTGAGCTTCATCTAACACTATCCTGAGCCAACCAACTCTTGCTAGAGTGCCACAATCAGGGTCAAAAGAAGAATCATCATCAATGCTTTCTCTACCTCTTTTCTTGCGCTTCTTACTAGCACCCATTGCAGCTTTACGTTTCCTATTGTTGGGGAAGCCAGAGGCAAGACCACGTTTTTCAGTATTCTTTTCATCGTTCTCTTCCTCATCCACCAAAGGCTTTTTGGGAACTTCATTGGTAACAATGGCGTAAGTTGTCACAACCACATCATATTTTGCTAATTCAACAGGATCTTTGGTCCTATTACCACCATGGTACACTAAAACAGAAAGTTTGCATTCATCAGACACCTTCTCATCCAGTTCTCTTGCCCACTGCCTTACAACACTTGCTGGACAAACAATTAATGTACCAGCAGCTGGTCTCTTCCTGTTAAATGCCCGTGTTGAAGTACTCACTTCTTCGTCTTTGACTTTCTCCATATCTGAACTGCCATTCTCATCACTACCACCAGCAGTCATAACCTTGGTCTCACTGTTGCTTGAAATCTTGAGCTCTGACTTTACTTGACTATTACTTTCGTGCTTAGCATTCTCTGACTCATCATCAGCATCCAGGTCCAATATTTCAGATACTTGCTGGCTTGAATTCTCAGAATTTAGCTGTGACTCAAACTTTTGCTTTAAGATAAGAGCAATTGTCGAGACTGTCTTACCAAGTCCCTGCAAAAATAGACCTTGCATAGTTTGAGAGAGAAAACTACGTCATAGAATCACAACTATTTTGCTGGGCAAGAAATTCAATTATATGTGACCTGATCATCTGCTAATATCCCTCCCGAACAGTTCAAGCTTTTTGTTTCCTTCTGAAACATCCATGCCAATGCAATTTTCTGAAAAGCAATAGTATTTAGTAAACAGACCAATTCCAAAAGCCAGTAAATGGTAAATCAAACCATGATAATACCTGATGCCTCATAAGAGGAACTGACAGAGTACCAGGACGTAGATCGGCTTCAGTCTTGGGTTGATTCAGATCCTGCAGGATAAATGTACTTGGTTATCAAAATTGCAATTACCATGCCATTTCATATCAGGTCGATTATGGATAACACCTAGATCTCAACATATTTACAATGCACCAGAGTAAAATCGAAAATGAATAGCTGCATATAAAGTGAATGATCCAGAATAAGGAAAGGTTGATGAATGATACCTGTAGTGCAGCCTGATAGATGAGCGTCTCATCGTTCTCAGGATTCCTATCTTCACCGAGGGAAGTCCTGTGCATTGGATCACTTGAACCACCATAATGCAAAGGAGTAGCAGATGTTCCATGCGTCATAGATGGAGGCAGGATCCTAACACCATTAATCCCACGGTGAATTCCAATCTCAGTATGAGCTCCACGGTGACGATCACCAAAGGTACTCTTGTTGCCTAGAGCTGGACTAGTATAATCTCCACCAAAGCGACTCACACTGCCACTACTTATACTGTTAGCATTTCTGGAAGGAACAGGAGGCAGACTAATAGATGGTGGAAGGGTTCTTTTAGGAGCTTGTTGAGACCGGTGCTTCTTATATTCTACACCAGAAACACTGGGAATCCTCGAGGTTACACTGTTGCCGTTTCTTGGCCGAGAAGTAGAAGTCGTAGCACTTGTGGATGGAACGGGAGGCAAACTAAAAGATGGTGGAAGGGTTCTTCTTGGAGCTTGTTGAGACGAAGACGACTGCTTCTCATAATCCACACCAGAGACATTGGCAGCCCTCGAGTTAACAATGTTCCCATCCACTGTAGATTGCTTGGAGTCTCCTGGACGAGAAGTAGAAGTCGTAGCACTTGGGGAAGGAACAGGAGGCAAACTAAAAGATGGTGGAAGGGTCCTTCTCGGAGCTTGTTGAGACGAAGACGACTGCTTCTCATCATCTACACCAGAGTTAACAGTGTTCCCGACTGTTGTAGATTGCTTGGAGTCTCCTGGACGAGACGTAGAAGTCGAGGGCACATTGCGAGAAGCTTGGTTTGTTTGTCCAGCTTTAGCTTGATTGTTCGCTGCAGATGCAAGACTTTGATAAAAGCTACTGTTGCCTGCATGGAAACACACACAGAGCCATGGTTTGATTACTCCATTCCATCAAGCTACAAACAAAATTTGACAAAGATAAAGCAAGAAACTAACCACCAAGCCATGAGGGATTCCTCCTGGTTCTAACTTCTTCCTCAATGGGCTCCGGTGATTCGTCTTCACTACATTCACTACTGCTTGAACTAATTTCAATAGCAGAATCCATCATAAGATCTCCTTCGACGACACTCTCCACAGAAGAATCAGCACTCGAGCTTCTCAGAAAACGAATCAGCCTGCCGTGCCAAAAAGAAAAAACAATGGTGTGATTATCTGAGCTTATCCTGTCTAGCATTGTCATTTAACGAAGCAAACACTTTGTTGTATTAAAAAATTTAGGGAATCCTAAGCAAAACAAATTAACAATCAGAATCAGAATCACCAAAACGTTGATTTTTGGGAACGGTATAAAGTTGATGACTTGGCATTGTTCTAGAATGTAGGATCAATCGCATGAATAAAACCCCATTTCCAGTTTAATCGGAAACTATATTAGCAGCTCGGAAAACCAGAGACGCGAAATCCAGCAGAGTAATAAGAAGCAATGGCGGGATATTAGAATCAAAACCCTACCGGATGAGGTCAAAAGGTCAAAAGTGAAAGAAAAAAAGTAGAAGAAAATAGCAAAAGAAAGATGGAAAATCGGGAAAGAAATTTGAAAAACTTACCAAGGAAGGAGAGAGTTGGAGAAGAATGAAGCCACCGTTGATAGTGATAGGGTTTTATTGCTCTCGGTGGACCGAAGAATCTGTCACTCCGGTTGCTGTTTATTTCAACGGGAAAGTGGAAATGTGACGGGGATAATATGGACAACAAACGGTAAATACATTTTCTCGGCCCACAGTAAAGTCTTTCGGCCCATCTTATATTTACTCATTTTACAGTTTTTTCAGTAATATTTTAAAAACACTTATTTGCCACTTGGAATTCACACGCATAGCCAATTTTTATTAGTGTCTTATAATTTTTAACTCCGACTTTTTATTGATTTTGTTGTTTTCTGCAAACGTCAAACGGTAACCAATAAGCAAAACAAAATTTTCAAAAAAAACGAGAGAGAAGGATTCGTTTTTCTTTTTTATGGAAAGGAAATGATATATCTCGGCAAGTTTACCATACCTAAAGCAAGGAAGTAAAAACAAAACCTCATTTTGATGTTTTTTCGGATGTTCTTGGAGACAAAGACTAGACCTCGAATAACACAACACAACATTACCATCTCTTGTTTTAACTTCCCAACTTCACTGACGAAAAAAAGCCTAAACTGAAATCTTGGGAGGAGGGAAAGAGAATAAATTTAACCAAATCTCTCGGTTGCAATCTGCACTGTGTGTAGAGCCAGGCTTATTGCGTGAAGCTTTCCATGGCGCTTCTTTATTAACCAACTGTTAATCCAAACCCAAACTTGTAGTCCTTCTTCTTATGATCCAGCTGGTTGAATACAAAACAAAACGAATCAGAGTTTTGATAGGAGAATCATCAATTCAATCTAGGAATTCGAGCGGAGAATCGTGTACCTCTGCAGATAGAAGAAAATTGAGTCCCATACTCAATCTTTCTTCGAGAAGAGCGGATGCAACACCGTTAGAATCAATCTTCCCTCGCACACGAGACTGAAAACAAAGACTCAGATTATTAGAGACTAATACAGATTTACAAAGCGTTTGTTGCTTGCTTTATCCAGAAATATAGCAATGTTACCTGTCTGAGCATGTAGTCGTACCCAACACTAGCTGTAACATCTCTTGAAAAATAGTTATACATGAAATCCGTGGCCAGTGAAACCTGGTTATGAGAAAATAAACGAACCGTGTCATGATTCATCTACACTCCATTAAGAGTTTTAAAGATTAGATTGCATGACCATAGTATACGTTACCTTGTCTGAAATCTTCTGAACGTAGTTCATAACTATAACACCCGTGCTTGCAACTTGTGCAGAGGAAACCTGTTGATGAAGAAAAAGTTATCAGGTCAAATAAAAGGACAAGTGTTGATCAATATAAGAATCTGATAAATTTCTATGAAGTGAGTTTAGTGAAGAAGTACCATCTTATCAGTCTCGTATCTTGCTGCATAGCCTATACCCGACTTTCGAGGCACACCAGCCCAGAAAACTTCACCACCCAAAGATAGCCGAGGTGTCACACTCTGTACAATAAGTTATGAGAATCCAGTGAATACACAACATTCTCACATATACCATACTAAAACGTTAACTTTTACTATAACCGCAGACACTAAGCATGACCATAATCACAAAGTTGAATAGAACAGCTTATGATTTGTATCTTATCTCCACATTAGAGAGACGCTCGAGATCAGAAAGATATACAAATTTTCAGGTGATATACAAAGATCAAGGGCCAATAGTCCACTTTACCTGGATATAGGTTGCTCCGATTAGGGCACTGTTCCCAAGTTGAAGCTGGGCTCTGTAGTCCGAACCCTACGCATATTTGTAACAAAACAGTTAAGGAAAACTCAGACGAACCAATTGTCAGCAAAAGATGCGTCACAAGAATAGGGAATCTTCAAATACAGAGTTTATCACTCACCATGTAATCAAAGTTGAACATTGCGTGCGAATAGTGCTGCTCGTTTGTCAGCTGTCATACAAAGTAAACAAAGACGATATTATAAACACAAGACATAAGACTACAATTACAAGAAACAAAATAGAACAAACATATTTTCTCAAGCACTTACTTGAGCATTTGCCTTCAAGATCAACCTCTCAGTTAAATCCGCTTTCACTCGAGCATTTAGTTTACCATCAGTCATAACCCTTCCAACAAGCATCAACTGCATAAAGACTACATCATTTTCATATCTCTTGATAGCCATAAGGATATGAAACAAATGATTCCCACAAAATATTACCTGTGGGTCAAAATAATTGGCACCAAACTCATAATGGGCTGTTGGAATCTTGATCGTTTCAGCTGACTGAGAAGGAACTTCCGTTGGCCCCATCATCACACTGTTCATAAACAGGGTTAATGAGATAACACACAAATAGAAGTATCTTTTTTCCCAATAACTGTAAAGGCAATCTTCCTACCTGTGACTGAGAGAAAACTTTTGATTCAACCCCTTGGTAAAGTCGAAGCGTAAACCCTCAAAATTCTCTGCCTTTAAAGACACTGCAAAGAAGAATCAAACCAGCTCAATAACCAAGGGAAACAAAATCAAAATGCTTCACCACACATACCAAAACCTAAACGAAACAGTAAGAAACCAAATGCACTCCATGAGACTAAAAGTCTAAAACATTAAACGAAAGTATTATGATTAAGATTAGTAGCAGCTAAGAATACTTCACAAACTTTCTGTGGTTACAATCTTGAATCCGGATCAATTATACAATTTAAATCATTACTATCTCGGAAGACCTTGAAACGATCCATGGAAACAATTAGAAACGAAACAGTACTCTAAAGACTACGACTCTGCCCAATACAATCAGAAGTGAGCTAAATCTCTAGCACGACGATACAATGCACTGAAGCCACACTCCAATTTTTTTTCCGCTTCGAACACACAGATCAAGTAACCCATAGATTGGGCTATACGAGGATTCAATAAGCTACAATTGAAACTCAATAACGAAGATACTACAAAAAAAACTAGATCGGGAAAAGTGAATATGAGAAACTGAACTGAAAGCTTCGCGGTGGATTTCCTCATAGGGAATAGGGCAAGGGAGATTCGAGTAATCGACTTTCTCATCGGATTTAGACTTCGCATCGACTAGTGGAGTCCCTAGAGGTGATAGAAGATCCGCCATCGCCGCCGCTACCGTGTTTGGAAAATCCTTTACGGCGACAGTAGAAAGAAAAAAATGGAAGAAAATAGAGAGAAGACGGAGAGGTAAGGGTTTTCTTCAGGTTGGTCTTGCAAGGGTTTTGTAATTGTGCCAGTACCGGTTTTCTCCGGTTCGGTTCTAAGACTTCAACCGGTTCAGGATCGTTAGTTCTTCCGTCTCCGGTCTCACACCTAATCGGCTAGGAACAACTAAATTAGCATTAGATTAATATTCACCACCATGACCACTGGAAAGTTAAAAGTTTTTTTTTTTTTTTCGTCTAAAATTATATTAAAAAGGGGAGAAACGGTGTTACACACCAACCAACCAAAGCTTCCAAAAACCTCAAACCCCAATAACTTTCAGCCCACAACAAGGGCCTCTTTAAACCTCCAAAGAGATGATTAAAGGAAGAAAGACAAAAGCTACAAACCTAAACCAATACCCAAAAAACCACACCTCAAGCAGAGGGCAAGACTTTCTCATTGTCGAAGATCAAGTTGAGCCACCGAGGATGACCTCTCACCACATACGACGGAAAGCGACCTTCCTTGATTGCACTTCGAGCTATCAGAAAAGCCCCTCTGTTAGTGCATCTTACTTCCTGCTCTATTCTCCAAGAACACAACTTCGTCAACACATGATATAGATCCGACGTTTGCAACCTGAACGAAGGCCAAGCAATGGGTCTCTTCAACGCTTGCACAAGATCTGAGTCTTCCGATGCAAAAACCACATTCCTCACTCCATGACTGAACAAACTTTCCGCCGCCCACGTCAAACACTCAAAGCTACACTCTGATTTTGACTTTAAACCAACCCCAACTCTTCTACTATGTAACAGGACCTCCCCGACTTCATCTCTCAGTACCCATGCCATACCTCCTCTTTGTTGAGCCTCGGACCAAACACTGCCAACATTACATTTCAACCAAGGCTTTGGAGGTGGTCTCCATTTCTTCGCAAGCTTTGTCAGAGGACCAGATTGACGATCCTCTTCTTCTTTCTCCACTTCCTGCGCAAGATACCATAAGTCCACCTCCTCTATAATCTTTCCCATAATTTGTCTAGCATCAAGGGTTTTGTTTTCAAACAAAAGAAAATTCCTGTTCTTCCAGATAAACCATAAGACCCAAGGAAAACGTTTCTTGATCTCTTTATAGATTCTCTCATTTTGGCACTGGCTCATCAAGTAGTGAATGTTTTCAAAGATCGAATCACCAAAACCTTTTTCAGGAACCGGGAAGTCACTCATCGCCCAAATTTGCCTTGAGATGGAGCATGAAAAGAGAACATGGTTAATCGATTCACCCGGTAATCCACAGGCTTGGCAAATACAGTCGACTATCATCCCTCTCTCCTTGAGCTTATCAGCGACCGCTACTGCTCCACTAAGTACTTTCCACAGGAAATTCTGGATCTGTGGAGTGGTTTTTAGCGTCCAGACCCTCTGTTTGAGACTGTTGATAGAGGGTAAGGCACCTGCCTCTTCCCTCACCGATTTCTTGTTCACCACTGAGGCCAGCCAAAAACCCGACTTTACTGTATAATCACCACTGTGGTTAAAGTTCCAACTCCAAAAATCCTCCCCTCTTGTAACAGGTTGAACTTTGAGGATCCTTTCCACATCTTAAGCCGACAGAAAGGAGATCTTTGGGAAATATCTACTCTTTAACAATCTTGCCACTAAGCTCTGCGGATCTTGCAGGATTTTCCAAGCTTGTTTAGCCACCAAAGCCTGATTAAAGTCAGAGATATCCCGAAAACCTAGTCCTCCCAACTGTTTGGGTAAGCACATCTTCTCCCAACTGACCTAGTGAATCTTCCTTTTGTGTTCCACTGCACTCCACCAGCCATTGCACTTCTCAGATTATCACAAGTTGCTTTGGGAAGCTTAAAACACGACATGGCATATACCGGCATTGCAGTGAACCGATTTCATCAATACTTCTTTGCCACCCTGAGATAAAGTTCTTGTGAACCAACCTGAGACTCTAGACTGCACCCTTTCCTTGATGTAGTCGAAAAGTTTCACCATTGACCCACTAAAGCAAGGATTTTGTAAGAAAAAAACTTTAAACTAAATTCTTTTTGCAAACCAAACTCTCTATTCAAAACTGTGCAAATTAAACTCTGAAACAAAAAAAAATCTGCAATATAGGGACAAAGTTGAAAATGATTATGTGCAAAAAAAACCAACCAAATAAATTGTTTTTGCAAATTTAACCTCCAACTTAAAAATGTACAAACCAAACCTGAAAAATAGAAAGTAAACATTAAAACCATATGAATTTCGGGTTTTGGAACGGGTGTTGACGGATACGAGACATTCGAGAATCAAATTATACCACCCAAAATATTCCCTTATGATGAAAAGTGACGGGAAAGGGAAGCCTGTGAAAAAATTATACAAACAGTCTTATTAACTTGGGAAAATATGAAAAAGTACGAGAAATTTTGGAAAAATGCAAGAAATATAAATGTAGTGTTCTACTTCTTGCCTAAATCACACGTTCAAGTGGACCCAATCACTTAGACAAGTCTTAGTGCCTAAATCACAAGTTCCATTACAAGATAACATATGAAGTTTTAAGTCAAGAGTCAATCTTCATTGTTTTTCATCTTCTTCTTCTGAGCACTGAAAAAAATCTATCCCAAAGTGGTAAGGTCTTTAAGCTCTAACCTATAATGACATAAAAAAAAAAATACATAATCTGTCTAGTTTATATAATTCAATTTCATTAAATACAGAGAAGTAAGGAAGAGAAGCTGGTGGTGGGTTAAGGAGAAGAAGAAGCAGATGGCTTTGGTGTTCATAATTGCAATTGAAAGGATGTGTTGGCTGTGTGGAAACTGAACGGATGGGTTTGCTGCAGCTCAAGTGGTATCTCAGCTCTCTTCGGAGAAGGAAGTATTCTCAAGTCATGGAGTGATGATGATCCTAAAAGTGACTGCTGCAAGTGGGAGAGAGTAACATGCAGTGACGCTATCGGTGGCCACATCGTCAATCTCTAATTTGATGATCTCTTCTTATTCAACTATAAATTCGATCAACATCGGTTTCAGGGGTTAAACCTTTCTTTGCTCCATAGCTTCCCTCAACTCAAAACCCTTAACTTTTCAGGAAATAGGTTCAATCACTTGTTTGATCCCATCCATGGTACCTTCTTACCTCTTTTCAGTTTTCAAGGAAGCCTTAGCCACCTTTATATTGTTTCAGTTTGTCTCCCATTAGTCTTAATAGTTTTTTTACGGTTTCAGGTTATAAGAGTTTCCAGAGACTTGAGAACCTGGAGAACATAGATTTGTCGAGCAATGATTTCAACAACAGTGTTCTCCCGTTCCTAAGTGGAGCAAGGTCGCTCAGGATTCTAAATCTTCAAAGCAATTCACTGGAAGGTGTCTTTTGTCTGAATGGTAATCCTTAATTTCTCACAAGAACCGAAGAGCACTTAGGAAAGCTTTGACTCCCCATATGTGTTTTTTTTTTTTAATTTATCATTTTTTCTGATCTATAGAGAAAGGGGACATGTACTAATTTCTCTTTTACTTAATTATAATTCTTCAAATGTTTGTGGATAATTGTTTAATGTCAACAAAGCTTCCAGGCTTTAGTGTGGCATAACTTGCAATCATGGCCGAATTAAGAGAGCTGAATTTGGACTAGTGGGAGGAGGCTAATATTGGAGACACTGGTGTGCAGGTTTAAACAATTTCAGGGAATTGGAAGAACTGGATCTACAATACAATTATATAACAGACTTTGAAGCTGGTGAAGGTGAGAAGAACAAAAACAAAAGAAAGAAGATATTAATTCTTATTTGCTTGTGATATGAACCAAAGCCTTATCCTTAGCTCTAGTTATAGGACCTTGGCAATCCAAGTGAAGTTCTTTCGAAGTAAAGAAAGACAATATTCAAGTTCTTGAAAAGATTGGGTTTTTGGTTGTAAAGATTAAGCTTTAAGCTAACGATGAACAGTAAAAGATTTAAACTTTGACTATATAAGATAAAGGAGGCGTCTTGGGTGAGATTTAGTTGGGATCGAGCTCAACCTATCCTTTCCACCAAGACTCAAGCTTTGTGCTTAGACTTTGGGTAAATCCGCCACTCTCGTGGTCAGATCGCTTTGCAAGCTCGGATCCAAAGCTAGCTCTCGCTAGTGACTCAAAGTTACAAGCTTTCACAAGATCTAGTCTAAAACAGCACAAGAACATCCCAACAACCAATCTCTTAGGTTGGGAATGTTTCTCTCTATCGCTAGCTCTCTTAGGCATTAACAAACACCTTCTAGGTGTACTAGCCTAGATTCGCGACTTCAAGTGATCAAGAAGAAGCCGAGATATAAAGCTCTAGCTAAAGAAAAGCTGGTCAAGGGAGATTAAGGAAGAGGTTAACAGGAAGCTAAAGCTCTACCTTTCCTATCTCACCCTCGAAACCTCTAAGGAAACTACTCGCTACTCATACTCGAACCGAAAGCAAAGAGGTAAAGAAAGCTAGAAATCATCATTAAGACAAGATTAGCAAACTAAGTACTTCTTAAACTTAAAAGATTCAAAGTAAAAGCTTACAAAAGATCTCCAAGAACAAACTGTTTTTCTTGGAGAGAAACTGGTTACAAGATAAAGATTGCCTAAAAACTTAGGTCTTAAAGGTTTATATAGAGAAGGGAAAAGTGTATCCTTGGTCAACATTTTGCTTTGACTTCACAGCTGCGCGTAGCTTGAGCAACTTCCTCAAGCACTCTGTTTCCTTTGCTCAATGCTCTGTTCCGTCAAGCTTTCGCCATCCGATTGCTCCGATCTCCTTCTGGTCCACTTCCGATCATCACCTCCGGTCTGCTCCTTCGCCATAAGCTCCAGATACCTGATAAATGCACCCCAAATGCAATGGAAATGCAAAATGCTAACCTAAAGGCTAAATGATCCTAAGTAGACTAATTCTACACTAAATGTCATGAAATGAGACTCAAATATACACAGAACTATGCAGAATGCGAAGGCTAAATGTATGCAAATGTTGAGTATATCAGATCCCACGTCTAAATCCTCGCATGGAACTTCCCCTCGGCGACAGTCGCTGGACTCCCCATTTAGAACCGTGAATCTACCTTCGAAGGATGAATACGCCGCTTTCGTCGCCTCAACCGCTTCGCTGACCACCTTGGGATGAGCATTTGTTAAAATAGCATTACACTCATAAGCCGATGTCGATACCGACAAATTACCATCGATTTGCGTCATCGAATCGCAGAAGAGAAGAAGAGAAGAAATAAAATGCAAAAGAAGTCGACCGCAAAGAGATTTAAAACCGAAAGGAGGGAGAGAAGATTACCTTTCTTAAAAGCAATTGAGGAAACTAGCACCACGGAAAAGGAATAAGTAACTAGAGAAAATCCAAGTAGTTTCCTTAACAAGAACTTCGCGATTTCTAAAGAAGAAAACTTCTCTGGGACTTTTCTCTTTTCCCGCCCAAGCAATTTTGGTGAGATTCGGGCCGGTTAAATCAAGCCATGGGCCGACTATGCCCATTACTCAAATCGATGAGGTAGTCGATTGGGTTTGAGTAATGTTCTCGGCAAAGACCATTCGAACCACACTCTTTTTGGAATTAGATGACGTCAACGTACTCTTTTTTCTTCTTAGGGTTTTTGTCCCAATTGGTTTTTTTCTGTATTAAGATTTTCATGAGGCGGCACAAATCTACATTTAGCAAGCATCTAGGCACTAAAATTGGATTGGTGTGGCATAGTTCTACTAATGATTCTTAAGCTCCCTCTTCATTCATGAAGCTCGCCGAGATCAAACTGCATTTGACTTGCCGAGCTAGGGGGGGGGGATTTATTGTTAGAGGAGAAATTAGCACATTTCCTTGAGCCCGTCACCATTAGTAAAATCACAAAGCCCAATCCGACTTTAGGCCTAACCTCCTCAACAAAATGGCAAGACTGGAGGAGAAAGGCACAATCCATGAGAAAATGTAAACAAACTCTCACGCCGACTCGAAGAATGGAAGGAAATCAAGAACAAGAGGAAGTTTTCCATATCACTAAAGAGGAAGTTTTCCATCTCGACAAAAGGAAAAAATTCGCCGAAGAGCCGACTATCAACACTATATATTGAAGACCCCCCATTCGTGAAAAGGCTTCCAAAAAACAATCCAGAAGCACCCAAAAATTCCGAGCAGAATCACTCGAATTCCTTTGATTTTTCCTCTTGTTCACAGTCGTCTCGTCAAGCTTGTTTGCGAGACCACATCTTTGTAATTTCCACGATATTCTTCGAGATTAATCAAGCTTCCAGTTTCCTAAACCCTCATCTTTGATATCCCGTCTTAAGGAGTGTTATCTCAGAATCAACAACTTCTTCTTGTCTTCTTCAATTTTCCATTTCTCTTTCATCTCCACAATTGCATAATCACTTAGTTAACTTCTTCTTGTCTTCTTCAATTTTCCATTTCTCTTCATCTCCACAATTGCATAATCACTGATTTCTTCGATTTATATTTTAACATTTTCTGATTGAATCAAAGCTGATGGTGCGTGAGATCCCAACAACTTTGATGCATGGCGTCATTTTTTTTTTCTGATATTTTAAACATATTTTGATGTATTAAAAATATTTTAATGCAGGATAACAGCTAATTGTCGTTAAAGACAAAAACTCACCTACTTCTTCGAAAGAAAGCTGTGAGATCACGAGCTAGTGTCCGATAAAATTTATTTTTTATTAAGTGGTCATTGGTCATAATACATTTGGACCAATCTATCGGTCAATCAATGATAAGATTAACTTGGAGTCGACTCTTTCATTGCTACTTTTAGTTTTCTTTAAAACTCATCTCTCTTCTTCCAAAGGACATTAAAGCGAGTTGCAGAGCTGATTCAGAGAAGGTAAATCGTGCTATCTGTTTATATTTTCATCTTCGTTCTGTTTTTTTTTTTTATGGTTAACTTTCCCTGATCCGTTTTCTCTATTCTGTTGAGGTGACTCGAATCTGCTTTAGAAAAAATCTTTGGATTATTACAAGAACTTGTTTCACGATTTTAAACGTCAAATCTTATTACACTTTTGTTTGAATCAAGGGTTTAAGTAAAAATAATAATTATCCCGGAGAGGTTCAAGTCTTCATTAGATCGACCAATTATTTCTAGTAAAGGGATTTTGTTTTGTAATAATGTTATCATTGGTGATTGTTGACTTATGTGTTAACGGTGGAACAGGAGAGTAGTTATGGCTGAGGCACTTGTGTCTTTTGGAGTGGAGAAACTTTGGGAGCTCTTGAGTCGAGAATCTGGGCGACTGCAGGAGTTCATGAGCAAGTTGATGATCTAAAATGTCAGATGAGAGCGTTACAGTCATTGTTGAAAGATGCAGATGCCAAGAAATCTGAGAGTGAAAGAGTAAAACTTCTTGGAAGATGTCAAGGACATTGTTGATGACGCTGAGGATATAATCGAATCCTTTTTCTGAAAGGATTAAAAGAAAAGGATCAAGAAGCGTGTGAAAAGACTTTCTTGCTTCTTAGTGGATCGCCGAAAATTTGCTTCAGATATTGAAGGCATAACTAAGAGCCACTGAGGTGATTGCGAATGCAGAGTTTTGGTATCCAACAAATTATTGATGGTGGCCGTTCGCTGTCACTGCAAGAAAGACAAAGGGTGCAAAGAGAGATCCGACAAACATTTCCCGGACAATTCTGAAATGGATCTTGTGGGTGTTGAAGAAGTGTTGAAGAATTGGTTGGTCATTTGGTGGAGATGATAAGGTTCAAATGGTTTCTATATCAGGGATGGGTGGTATTGGTAAAACCACTTTGGCTAGACAAGTTTTCCATCATGACATTATCAGACGTCATTTTGATGGATTTGCATGGGTAAGTGTTTCACAAGAATTTACGCGAAAGGATGTTTGGCAAAGGATCTTGCAAGATCTTAGACCAAATGATGGAGGAATAAAACAAATGGATGAGCATACACTCCAGCGTGAGCTCTTTCAAATGTTGGAAACATGTAGATATTTGATTGTCCTTGATGATGTATGGAAAAAAGAAGATTGGGACGTAATAAAAGCGGTGTTTCCCCAAAGAAGAGGTGAGCTCTCATTGTACAACTTTTTTTTCAATTTCATAAGTGAGCAAGGTGAGACACATTAGTCATAAATGCCTTTTATTCCCTAACATGAAATTTTAATGTAATTTGCAGGTTCGAAGATGATAATAACTTCTCGCAATGAAGGTGTTGGTTCACATGCAGATCCAACATGTTTTGCCTTTAGACCAAGAATCCTTACTCCCGAAGAAAGCTGGAAGCTATGTGAGAGCATAGTATTCCGTAATAGACACGAAACAGGTACTCCTTATATAAAACTAATAAGAAGGGTAATTAATCTTGTGAATTCTATTTTCTTTTATGAATCCTTAAGGAAAAGAACCGTTATATTCTTACTCTTTCATATTTTTATATATATAAGATTTTATGGTTTAATTGATCATAAACAATTACACAACATATTTCAATGATCAAATTTTCAAAATATATGATTATAATTTGCAGAGTTTAGGGTTGATGAAGAACTAGAAGGCATGGGTAAGAAAATGGTCACATACTGTGGAGGACTCCCATTAGCCGTTAGAGTGTTGGGAGGCTTGTTAGCTAATAAATATACAGTTTCAGAGTGGCAAAGAGTATATGAGAATATTCAAACTCAGATGTAGGAAATTCTGTCTTAGATGACAATAATCTCAACTCGGTTTACCGAGTATTGTCTCTGAGCTATGAAGATTTGCCATGCAGTTAAAGCATTGCTTCCTTTACCTAGCCCATTTCCCTGAAGACTATCAGATAAATCTGGAGCAATTGTTCTTTTGTGGGCTGCAGAGGGAATAATAACTTTAGTTGTGATGGAGAAACAATTCAAAAAAAGTGGAGAAGACTACCTAGAAGAGCTAGTGAGAAGAAATATGGTTATTGCTGGAAAAGACTATTCGAGTACTGGTATAGTAGTGATAGTTATTGTCAAATGCATGACATGATGAGAGAAATATGCTTATCTAAAGCCAAAGAAGAGAACTTTCTTCAGGTCATGGAGGTCCCTACTTCCACCTCTACTATCAATGTCAAACGCGATCTCGAAGACTCGTTGTACATAATGGTAATGCACTTCATATGCTGGGACATAAAAACAATAAAAAATGCAGATCTGTTTTGTGTTTGAGTCGAGGGAAACTTGTGGAAGCAGCAGCTCCAGTTTTCCAAAGTTTACCATTACTCAGGGTGCTAGATCTGCATAATGCCAAGTTTAAAGGAGGGAAGTTACCTTCCAGCATTGGAGAGCTCATTCACTTGAGATTCTTGAGCTTAGAGAATTCTACAGTATCTCATCTGCCTTACTCTCTCGGAATCTAAAGCTTCTGATCTACCTCAACTTATTGTAGACGTTGGTGAGGCAGTTCATGTGCCAAATGTTCTGAAAGAGATGCGAGAGTTAAGGTACCTTATCTTACCTTTCTATGGATGATAAAACAAAGTTGGAATTGGGTGATCTCGTGAATTGGAGTTACTTTGGAATTTCTCAACAAAACATAGTAGTGTGACAGACCTCCTCCGTATGACTAGGCTCACGGCCCTTTCTGTGTTATTAACTAGCGAGTGTACTTCTGAAACTCTATCGTCATCTCTCTCTGAATTAAAAATCTAGAGACTTTTGCTTTACTTGATTGGCAATCCCGATGGTTTATCAAGGGGCCGACTTCGTTTGGATTTCATTCATCTAAAGGATTAATCTTGGCCATACATATGCCAAGGTTTCCTGATCAATATCGATTCCCGCCCAACCTTGCATACATACGTCTAGATGATTGCAGGATGGAGGAGGATCCAATGCCGATTCTGGAAAAGTTGCTTCATTTAAATCGGTTGTATTATCATCTAATGGTTTCGTCGGGAGGAAAATGGTGTGCTCAAAAGGTGGATTTCCCAGTTACTTTATCTAGAATATATCAAGCAAGAGTTGGAAGAGTGGATCGTAGAAGAAGGGTCAATGCCATGTCTTCGTTCTTGGTAATAGATGATTGCAAAAATTGAAGGAGCTGCCGGATGGGCTCAAGTATATAACTTCCTTAAAGGAACTGGAAATTCAAAACATGACCAGGGAGTGGACCAAGAAATTGGTACCAGGTGGAGAACATTACTACAAAGTCCAGCACATTCCTAATGTTCAATTTTTCAACTGTGATGACGATGAATAAGGAGAAAAGAAAGTAGCAGGTAATTCTCTATCTTTTTGGTATCATGTCAACTTTGTTCATTTGTTAGTTATGCATCCTCCTTGAAGTTTGATGTGAAAGTAGGTATATGGTCTTCAACTATATTATAAACTGATCTAACTTCTTTTTGTTTTTGATTTTCAGGTGGAATCTTTTCAGAACCATTACCTACTACTGATTGCAATTGCGTGATGTGATAAGTTATTTCTATTGTGTGCATGTGTTAGTTTTCATATCTCATCTGTTGAATACATTGATATGTTGCTTTCTCTCTCCCTCTATCTCTCTATCTTACGTTGTTTGAAATATATTTTGTAACTGCAACCATCTTTTTGCAATATTTTTCCTTTTCTACTTTTTCCTGTGGGCAATCTTACACAGATTGCATATAATTGTGATTGCGTACACAGGCACATTCTATCAGTTACATCATGGTCTTCTTCATCCTCGGAACATAGTTCCCAGCCCCAGTGTATGCTTTTGAAATCAACGCCATTTCTAATAAGTTTTTAGGCAAGTTCCTTTCAAAATTCTAAACATGATCACTTATCTTGATTTTACGGTTTGGTTTACCGGTGAAATTGTGCTATAAATGTAAGCTATGTTATATTCTTTCTCTGGTGTTGAATTTTTAATGATGTTCTTAAAAATAACAAAGATGAGAAAGAAAGAAAAAAACAGTTAACTTAAGTGTAATAACAATCACAATGGTTGGTGTACTAATATTACTAGGGAATGAAGTCCTGCGCAAGTGAGGGGTTGTTACAAAAACAATTATCTTTTTGTGTATTCGTTGTTTTAAGATATGATGGTTTAATATATAATTTTGGTGGTTACGTTTTGAATTAATTCAATTATTCATATTAAGGATGTTCAGTATGACTTTTAAAAAAGTTAACTCTATACTTCATGTCTAATTCTTTTTTCTAAAATTTAACATTTTATATATTTCACTTATTCAGTTTTATTGGACTGTAAATTAACACTAAAATTGAAAAAAAAAAGAAGTTTAAAACATGGTATACTTACACCTTTTGAATTGAAATATGGTAAAATACATATTTGTTTTTTCTATAGATTAGCATTTGATCAAGATAATCATTGATTCTTATATACAATTTTATATTTGTAAATTGTATACTGCTGAAGAATGATGATAATGACTTATCTCTAACATAAATCACAGTTACACAATTCTTGTAAGCCTCCTTGAAACCAGAACATAGGCAAACTAATTTCATGAAACAAACATCATCAGTTGCACTTAAAAAACTAGTTAGTCCCTTTTTATAGATAAATATAGAAACTTGAATCCGATCAAGGTCAGAGCATCACCACAATGGGACTCGTTACATGATGCTTCTTGTCTAACCAAACCAAGTCTCCAAACACATAACCTTTAGCCACTTTCCCCTTGCCCTTCACATGAGATATATATGAGTGTGCCCAAGAGGCTGCGCATGCTCATTGCTAAAACTTTCATCCAAGAACGTTGCCTACCAGATAGATCAAGCTCAGAAGCTATAATGTGATACAAATGATACACAATCCCTCCAATAGGATTTTCAGAAATAAGAACTTTGGCTCTCAACGCATCAGCGTTACGAGGATCAAGCATATACTCTGCAGTTGTATCTCCAGTGAAAGCTATCTCAGGGGACAATATCATGTCTGTAATCTGCAGATTAAGCTCAATATCATTAAAAATTCCCCCTTTCACATCACTTGGCAAATACGGCTTTTATAAGCAACAAACCTCAACGCCAGACTTCTTAATCTTCTCAATCTGCTTCCCATACTGCATCTTCAACTTGTTCCTCACCGAGTAAATGAGATAACAATAACCCTGAGAGATGCCATAAATACAAAACACTAGAACCGTAAGAAACAGACACTCGGACGATATCCAATCAAATCAAATCAGAACGTAGAAAGTAATGTAACCAGCAAAAACCATCTGAATCAAGGGGAACAAGATTCATCCAGAAACCCGAAATTCACTCCAGCAAATTCAGAGAGCAGAAACATTAACGAAATCTGAAAAAGATTATAACGAAATCTTAATTCTTATGCTTTCAAATCAATGAGCAATGCTAATTTACAAAAGTGTATAAAAAGAGAAAGAGAGAGAGAGAGTTGAGAAATAGCCGGAGACTTTGACGGGGCTCACGAAACAGGCACGGTGGCTCTGTATCTGCGCGGCGAGCTGGTGGATCGCAGGAGGGCCATGGTGCTTGAAAAAAAGGGAAAATCGGAGAGATTTTGGAAGGCGAAATTGGAACCGAAAGCTGCATTGTTGTTCTATCGGAAATAAAGGGTTTTAGACTTTTAGTTGCCATTTTAAGCAACTTCCCGTTAAGCGTTTTATCGCTCTCCAACATATTTTGCTAAACATCAAGCAAAGTTGCGCCGTGTTCGTAAACATATTTTGATGTATCAACACGTAATTTTCGTCAGTTCCTTACTCGTTACAGAAATCCGAATAAAAATTTATTTTTATTAAAAGGTAAAACGACAAGTGGCCATTGGTCATTGGATAAGACATCGTGGAGAACTGGAGACACCTTACATCTTAATTTTTGGAAGTTTTTTTCTTATTAATCAATAGAGAGACTCTTATCTAGCTCTTGATACAACTTTAAGCATAACCGTAATGTAAAAAAAGAAAACATGAAAACCTAATTAATTAAAAACACCCTAACGATGCTCTAAACACCCTAACCATAGTCATGTATCAGCTTGCTAACGATTGATTAATAATTTAATATACTGGTGCAGGGTTTCAAACAACGAAGCTGAGAACGTTAGATCTTAGACGCAACAGTTTGTCCCGTGCCCGTTTTAAAGGTCTGTCCGGGTAGCATTGGTTTTGTCTTTTACCATATGATAACAAATTTGCTTTTAGCTAAGTACAGTAGAAACTCTATAAATTAATAATGTCGAGCATAAGATATTTTATTAATTTAACGAAATATTAACTTATCGAGAGATTATTGGATCAAAAACTTAATTTGGGATCATACAATTTTATTGATTTATCGAGTTATTAATTTATAGAATTTCTACTATATGTGTATTATCTAGTCCTAAAACATTTTTTTGGACCACCAGGTTTAGAACATCTTGTAGAGTTAGAAGTTTTGAGCAGAGAGTCTATTCAACAACACTCAATCTATTCAAGGTAAATGAGTAAAATATTCTTGCAAGGAATTGAATATATAGGGCCTAACATGCTGAATTGAAGAATGTGGAATGCAGAATGTGGAATGCATAATGTGGAATTGTGAAACACCTTTGTTTACTTGGACCCACCACGTGTCTCTCTACGTGAGTCTCTCACAACACTTTTGTTTATTTTATGTTTGTAAAACTCAGTTACTTAACATTTTAAAATAATGATTTTAATAACTTTAAATGAGTTGAAAATTATTATAGTTAAAATAAATCAAAGAATTAAAAAAGTACATAGCAAAGATTCTTTAAAGTTTTAATTTAAAAAGTTATAGTATTAGTTATTCTCTAATAAATACTATTTTTTAAAAATATTGTAAATTAATCTGGGTATGATTTTAAATGCAAATTATCCATCATTCAATCCAATCACTTATAAATATTCAGATTTATGTGGAAAACCAATTCTTAATAATAAAATTATGAATCCAAAAAATAAATTTATAGATGTAAATCAACGTAAAAAAATGTGTAGAAAAGAATATTTGGATATGAGTACGATATATTGAATAAAACTTATATTAGTCTAACATAAATTTAATTATAATTAGATCAAATGTGAATTTTTAAATAACTATAACACATAAACTTTGTAAGAAAGAGAATTAAGCAGTAAATATGTGATGGTTTTAATATTACTATAAAATATTACATTTTAAAATTTATCTTTATTTTTTTAGTTTTGATGTTTAATAAATTATAATGAATCAAAATTATTTGAGTTTACTAATATTTAATTATTTTACAAGTAAATTTTTATATTTATTTTATTAATTTAATTGGATAAATATTTTGTTATTTTGTTACACAAATAATTTGTTAGATTTATTCTACATTCAACAACATTTCGCATTCAGCAACATTCAACAGTTACCATTCATAATACTAACTATTCAGTCAGATTCCGCAAAAAGTTACAATTTAATTTCGCCAGATTCCGCAAAAAGTTACAATTTAATTTCGCGAGATTCCGCATTCAACAACATTCCATAGTTACCATTTAGACCCATAGCAAAAAATGATAATTGTGTTAGTGCAGTACTCAAAGATATGTCAAAGTTGCAAGAACTAGATCTAAGGGGCAATGGATTCACCGACTTAGTAAGCCTAGGTAAGATGGTTTCTTTAACTTCTCTTACTAGATTATCTAGATCGGTTAGTAAAATATAATAGTGTGGTTTGCTTAATATATTCGTTATTAGTTATTACTACTCCTGATGCCAGAATTCTGTACTTATCTATTTCTATCGATTCTAATTGCAGGTTTAGTGTTTCCCTCCTCTTTACAAGTATTGAATATTGTCTCCGACCCCCGAAGGTAAATTTATAGAAACCATTTGATCTCTCCTAATCTCTAAATCATCCATTATATTTTTCTCATTGCCTTGCCTCCAAACGTAAAGATTCACAACAGCTTCCTCTCCAACTGAATTTTTCGATATTTTTGTTAAAATGAGACCAATTTTCATTTTGAATAATTTCAGGCTACTCAAAGTTGTGCGGACTGATCTTTCTCCGAGAGTTGGATTTAAGCAACAATGCTCTCACAAGTATGCCTTATTGTTTGGGTAACTTAAGCAGTCTTCGAACTCTTGAATTATCGAACAACCAATTGGATGAAAAACTTGTCTGCCTTTGTGTCTGGTCTACCACCAGAGCTTGAGTACCTGTCGCTTCTTGGTAATAACTTCAATGGTTCATTCTTGTTCAACTCACTGGTCAATCACACAAGGCTCACAGTATTCAAACTATCATCAAAAGTTGGTATCATCCAAGCTCAGGCAGAAAGCCTATGGGTCCCAGTGTTTCAGTTGGAGAGGCTAGTGTTACACAATTTCAATCTAGGCACCACAATTCCTGGCTTTCTAGTTCATCAGCATGCATGCCTTGTACTTTGTTGATCTCTCACATAACAAGTTGACTGGACCATTTCCAACTTGGCTTGTGCAGAATAACACAAGATTGCAGGTCATTTTTCTGGATAACATTATGTTGACAGAGCTTGAGTTACCTAGACTTGTCACTTGTTCATGGCTTACAAGCTCTCGACATCTCGAGTAACATGATATACAATTCAATTCAAGAAGATATAGGGAGCGCGATGGTCTTTCCTAAGTTGTGGTATATGAACTTTTCTTCAAATCAGTTTCATGGAACCATTCCATCTTCTATAGGCGAGATGAAAGGTCTAGACTGGTTAGACATGTCTTCCAACGGTCTATCTGGGCAGCTACCTAACACTTTCTGGAGTGGCTGCTACTCATTGGGACTTCTAAAGCTCTCCAACAATCATTTCCAAGGGAAAATATTTCCACAGCATGCAAATTTCACTAGATTAAATGCGCTATATCTTGATGGAAACAATTTTACTGGCTATATTGGAGAGGGATTGATGAATTCAAGAAACCTATTTGATTCTTGATTTATCAAATAATAGTATTTCCGGCGCGGTTCCACTTTGGATGGGTAGACTTCCACGCATTTTGTACATATTCATGAGAGGAAATCTGCTAAAAGGTCCTTTCCCTCATCATCTACTACAAAACCTACAACTTTCTATCTTGGACATGTCACACAATAGCTTCTCTGGACCGATACCAAGGAATGTGAGTTTTCCGTCTCTCCAGTTGAGATTGGAGATCTGGTGGACATACGATGTTTGAATTTTTCAAGAAACCGCCTCACAGGCTCCATACCATATAACATTTCAAAGCTCCATACTTGGAGAGTTTGGATCTATCCAACAATAAGCTCTATGGAAACATCCCTTCCGTGCTAGCCAACCTCAACAGTTTAGGATACTTCAATGTCTCTTGCAACAATTTCTCTGGTGAAATCCCTTTCAAAGGCCATCTTGTAACCTTTGGCGAAAAGAGTTACATAGGCAATATTCATCTTTGTGGACGTCCTACCAATATCAGTTGCAACGCCACGAGAGTTCTAAAGGAAAATGCATCAACGCAGCCCAAGAGGAAAAGAAGATGAAGTGATAGACATGGAGTGGTTTTATTGGACTTGTGGTGCAGTCTACATCTCCACGTTCTTAGCCTTGTTTGTGTTTCTCTGCATAGACACACGTTGGTCTCAAGAATGGTTTTATCGTGTAGATCTCTTCATTTATTACCTTCAACGCTACAAACGTTCTGCTTTCGGCTGATTATGTGGGTTAAACTAAGTTACAATATCTTGGATAAAATAGTTTTTGTTTTTTATGTTGTGATCATGTTATGTACTGGTTATGTTTGTTTTCTTCTCATTAAACAGTTGATACTATAATGTTTGAAAAACATTTTTACATTTCATTCTCTCTAGTGTGTTCCTTTTTCTTTTTCTTTTGGCCATAGAATTTTGGAAGAATTCTCTTTTTTTTTTCCCCAGCTTTTACGTGAACCAGAGTTGCAAGCGAACACTTGGTGATTTGTGTGTGTGTGTGTGTGTGTTTTATATTTACTTTCCTGAAGATAAATAAACTCATGACTCATTTCTTGAAGTTTCTGGTCTTTCTCATCTTTGTTGTCAACTTCAACCTTCTTATTGGGACCAGCCTCTCCAAGTGGCTTATTCATGAAATTTGTCTCTAAACCTTCCATGGATGTTGCTGCAAATGCTCCTTCTGTCTTCATCAGCAGCAGCTCCTTCAAAGAGATATTTCCAGACAATATCCGGTGGATCTGAATCCTCAGTTGTGTCCTTATTTGCTTCCTCTGTTTCCTCTTCCTACAACATTATGACTATTGTACCAGTCCTTTATCCATTCAGCAAACATAGTTTTCTTCGTAGCTTGACGCCACAAGAACAGCACAGCATGTTGTTTCATCAGGGATCAAAGATTACATCAACCAAGGAATCATATCCTGCAATATCTCTCCGCTTATTCTTCCAAGCATGTGTGCTATGATCTTCTCCGGTTCTTCAATAGTGAACCAGTTTCTGAACAAACCCCAAAGCTCTTTTTCTTCACGGTGGAGATGCTCAGACAACAGCTTATGAATGAGTTTGCATACATCTTTGAGGCTCATACACAACTTCACATTCCTTTTGAGTCCTACCATCTCATTCAAAAGGAATGATACTTTATCTTGGTGTTCGACTTCAAGCTCGTGGTCAATGCTGTCTCTAGAGCTGTAAATGCAATCTCATCCTCTGCATCTGATTTTATCTGATACAAGAACTTTATCAGATGAAACCGCTGGTGAAACTCTTAGTGCCACTGAATGGAGGAGAAAACGGATCATCGTTGTTGGAAAAAAAGAATGTTTGTTGTTCGTGTTCTACAAGCTAAACAATTGCTTTTGTAGCGAAGGTTGTAACTATACATTTCAGATTATTAATTTTCCTTTTTCATTTTGCCTTGATTAAAATTCTGGTGAAGTAGACATGAAGAAACAAACCATTTGCGTGATTTTTTTGGCTTCTATGAGTTTGAATATTTGAATCAAAATTTCTAAAATAAAATAGCTGGATCATCTTTCTACATGTTAAACACAACCTACAATGCTACATTCTCGTACTCTATAAACACTTTTCATCAAACTCTAGGATTTTACAAGCTTCAAGACTTCTCCACTTTGAGAAGCCGTCCTTATTTCCCACGATCCAGGGCATCAAAAGTCTACAAGCTTTTCTCGATCTATGTTGTCAAAAGAATAAACAAAAGCAAAAACATCTATATCGGGTTACAGCCACCTTTAAGCAGCAGTCCAACTTTCTTGCAGGTTGTTCTTCCCATTTGAGCCGCTGCATCTACTTTCCCTCTTTCTCGTGTTCAAGAATATATAAAGATTGGGGCCTGCTCGTTTTAGATGTTCCAGTACCTGACACACGAAAAGAAAAAAAGAAGTTCATGTGGACGACAAAGGCCAATGATTATAGGAAACTGGAGAAACCATGAATTATTACAGTCTGATAATCCAACTACAGTAGTTACTAAAAACCTTATTACTGGAAGACTACTGTTTAGGAAGAATCCTTTCAAATCCACAAGATACAGAGATCTACCTCTTAACAACTCTATTCAGAACTAATACATTCAGATACCATCTTCCTACTTAGGAGGAGACTATTTTCTGGACACGTCCATAAAGTGGAGATGATTAGCAACACTTGACCAGCATATATTATCTTACAATAAGTATTAACAGAGACATCAGAACAAATATTACTTGAGCCAGGATCATTAAATGTACATATACGTATAACCTTATAATCATATCCAATTCACCAAAAACAGCCAATCCGAACTGAAGATGGTATAAAATCTGCAATCCATATTCAATAACTAAACAGGAAATAAAAAACCGGCTCCCTTATCTGAATTAGGTGTACACATGCACTAAAGTAGCTGGAGAACGCAAGAAGAAACCCCACTCAATTAACAAGCATTGAACTAGGACCGCAAACTGTTTAGTCCTAGGACAAGTAGACCCAGGTTTCAATTACTTTTACAATGTGTAATACGATCATTCTGTTTCGAAAAAAAAAAAATAAGGGTTTAAACAGATGATTACCTTTGGTTTTGGTCATTAGAGGCGCAGCGTCAGGTTGGTAATTCTCTTGTGAGGATAGACATGCAAGAAGCATACAGAGCACAATAACAGGTAAGTGATTCTCTTCCTAATTTGCCTTGAGGGTTCATATGAAAGACGCATATTAGAGAGCACAAGTGATGCCTCAATAATAAGTCTTTAATACTCTCTGTTGTATGCAAGAAGCATGTTGAGAATATATGCAAGAAGCATAAGTGTATGTATGCAAGAAGCATAAGAGTATGCAAGTAGCATGTAAGTGTATGCAAGTAGCATATGAAAGAGCAAGGTACTCTTTTTGCGGTTGCAAGCAGCAAATAATACGTATGCAAGAAGCATATGATACAGAATGCAAGCAGCATATTAAAGAGTGAGATACTCTGTGTGTAGTATGCAAGAAGCATATTATACAGAATGCAAGCAGCATATTAAAGAGTGAGATACTCTGTGTGTAGTATGCAAGAAGCATATTATACAGAATGCAAGCAGCATATTAAAGAGTATGCAAGAAGCATAGAAAAGAGTAAGATACTCTTTGTGTGTATGCAAGAAGCATATAAACGAGTACGCAAGAAGCATAGAAAAGAGTAAGATACTCTTTGTGTGGTATGCAAGCAGCATAAGAAAGAAGAGAAGGTTTAGACCTGCCAAGCAAGCGCACCTGTCATGGCAAAGGTCATATATACACATCCCCTCTCTGTTTTCTCTCAGTCTCTCAGTCTCTCAGTTTGAAAGACCAAACAAAACTGTGCAAATCTATAGAAGAGAGACAGATAACGCAATTAGAAAAATACCCAGAGACCAATAACGTTCTTTAGCCATCAGGATCAACGAGAATTGATCCGATATGTTTCTCTCCGCTCGTGCTGCTTTGTCCCTAGAGGAATACGGATCCAAAAAGTATGTCCCCATCAAAGACATCAATTCCAGTAATCCAATTTCGTAAGAAATATAAGTAGCAGATTCATAAACAGAATCAACAAGTTTGGGAAAACCCTAGACGAAGACGAGAACGTACCTCGATGACGACCAATGGCAAAACTCGATGGATTGCACGCAAACCGGCGCTGAAAATCAACGTCAGCCGAATCGACATGAGTCAAAGCCAAACCCTAACAAGCAAATCAATGTCCAAATTCGAAAGGGAATTAAAAGACGGGAACAAAAAAATCTCTCGGAAAACAAATCGGGATTTAGAACAGAAAAAAAAAAAAATGGAGAAGCGATCAGCTGCGGGAGATTTCGGTAAAAGATAACCCCTTTTTATTTAACGCGAGGGCCGAGGAGAAGCCAAAATCATAGTCGGTTTAAGATTTCGGATCTATTATTGCGAGATCCTACGGTTGTTAATTGTCAAAGTATTAATAATCCAACGGTGCCAATGTAACACAACAAGAAAAGTCGTTTCCCGCGTGATAAACTTCGCAATATTCACCAATTTCCCACGTGTTTTTTATTCTCTTAATACACTATTCTAAGAATATTTTCTTCTTTGTCATGTAAGGACCAAACGGTCGAACTTTATGGTGTGACATAAACAAATAAAAATATAAAATGAAAGAGTAGATATGGGGATTCCATTGATCATAGTCAATGGGAACATCTTGGTTTTTGGTTTGTAATTCAACTATATTCAGAATGAAATGACAAATGTGTCACCTTCTCGGGTTTAGATTCAAAAAATGGTAAAAACATCATTTTCCTAATCTCTTTAGCCTATAGTTCTCAAGAGTATGAATAAGAACTCAGGTGGAAATTATCTAAAGATGACATACCAAAGCTGATTTTAAGGTTGTAGTTATTAACACATCACAAAATGTCCTAAACGACTTCAACTTCATAACTTCATAACACATTCACAAATGTTCCTTTCTCAATTCTTTATCTTGGTAACTAAAGCATGTAAAAGTAGTAAACAGTACTCTCTCCGTTTTTTTTTAATAAATTTTCTAGAATTTTCACACATATTAAGGAAAACAAGATTTTCAATCATTAGTGTATTGATTTCTGCAATAAAACAATTTTTTATACTTTTTAACCAATAAAAATCTAACAAATACAATCATTGTTTCTTGAAAACTGAAAAAGTATATCAAAAAGGTATAAAATTTATCTTTGTGAAACAACAACTAATGTCTAGAAAATTCATCTTAAAAAAACGGAGGGAGTATTATTTAGCGAACAAGACCCAAGTTCAAGATACCCCAAGAAACATCAGGCCAAGATTGATCCTGTGACTTCATGAGAAGAACCCTAACCCAAGCAACCCAACCTTCCCAAGACATCCTTTTGTCCCAAGGACTTCCCCATTGCAAAAGCAGAACAAGCCCTCTCTCCGCCTCTCTCTCTGCCTCTTCGAATCTCTTCTTTCCCAAATACACTTGACTCAACAACACATGCGGCTCTCCCACAAATGGGTTCTTCTCGATACACCCCAACAATCTCTCCTCTGCCCTCTCCAAGTACCCTTCTTTGCTCGCGTCGCTGCTCACAGCTTCCCAGTACATGTCCCTTGCTTCTATCTGCTCTTTCGCATCCAACACCTGTTCCATTACATTTGTAGCTATCAACAAACTGAATTCTTGATGACAGCAAAATGAGAATAAGCAAGAAGACGAATCATACCTTGGTGCAGAAGCTGAAGACGGGAGGCACCACGAGCTCTATGTCCTCGTCTCTCTCCTTTCTCACCACGAATCCAGAACCAGAAGCTCTTCTCCTCTGCTCCATCAAAATCTCCTCTTCTCTCACAACCAAACTATAAATCGCTCCCATCCTCGAGTTCGAGTTCAACCACAGCCCAGGTTTCCCACTCCCAGGCCACAACGCGGTCACGTTGTTCCCTCTGAACTCGAGCCGGCCATCGTTGTTACAGAAGAGCTCGTCTTGGAACGCGAATAACTGATCGCTGAAATCCGCCATGGTCATGAGTAGGAAGACACCAACGACTCTCCTCGACACAACGATCTCTTCACCTGTTTTGATGTGCTTCACAACGACGCCGTTTTCAGGCACTAAACCGTTGAGCTTCTTCCTCCACTCTTCCTCTCCGTCGAAATCCCCTTTCTCCTTTGCGTTTCTCAGTGAAACCTCCGAGCAATCGAGATGCTCGACGAGCTCACGATCAGAGTACTTGAAGAGAAGATCGTCGTGGATTAGAGTCTGTCTCGGGATGACGCAGAAGAGATGGATCAACGACTCGGCGGCTTCACCGACATGGTCACGGACGACGTCGCGGCCAGTGGAAGGATCGAAAATGGCTAAATTGACATAGGAATTGGAGTAAGCAGAGTGGAACAGACCGCAGAGGCAGACGGATTCAGGAGCTTTCCACAGCTTGAGGATCTTGTAGATGTCGATCAAGTGATCCAGGAAGCTGCCGTGTTTGTGCCAACACTCGCCGGCGCCGACGCTTTTCAGGACGGCGATCAACGACGGGAGCTTTGGATCGATCTTCTCAAGCTCTCCTCGGAGAAAGGGCCGTGCTGATTCCAGTACGGCGTCGTAGGGAGATGGAGACGATGATGATCCCATTCTATGACTCTCTCTCTCTCTCTCTCTCTCTCTCTCTCTCTCTCTCTCTCGCTATCGCTCTATCTCGTCTTGTTGCGATCTCTTCTCATTAAACATTAGTTATTTTTAGTAAGAAAAACTATAAAGGACCATGTTTTTTGAAACATTAAATCATCGACCATGTTGATATTTTTAACGAATATTTCGATGACTCAGCAACGTTGATATCTCATCAAACACATCAACTTGTCCACTTCTCAATTTTTTTTCTTTTTCTTCTGCACAGGTTTTAGACTTTTAGATTCAAACACATACCCACCCACCCACACACCAAAAGCCAAACGAAAATGAATAAAGCCTACAGCAATAAAGGCAGAGTTTAACCTGATCAATTGTCCGGACATCAGGGGAAAGGCCACCATGAACACATAGAACCTAAACAAAGAAAATTTTATTTTGGTATAGCAGACAACTTACATATGTATGTTATCATCTACAATCCAAGAAATTACTTACGGTGCCATCTATAATAGCTGACAGGGTAAGATAGTCGAAAACATCTGTGCAATATCGCCACGCATTAGCGTTACCATACTTCCTTTGGCATTCGTCATAGAGACTTTGTGACAACATTTAATTTGTAACGATGTTTAATTATTTTGAAACTGATATTATCTTCACAGGCCACAACAACAAGGAGCAGAGGAAACATTGCAAGTGAAGAATGAAAAAGGGAAACATACAGAAGAAAAAGATTGGGGGAAATGAAGAAGAAGAAGAAGAAGAAGCATGAGTTGACTCAAAACTACTAAAACTATTACCAAAGTGTTGGACTTTTGAATTTCACAAGGAAAATAATGTTTACCTAAGGACAAAAATAATGGAAGTAAGTGAAACCCATCAGTAGATAATATATAACCTTTTGAGACTGAACATATTGCCAATGGTAGCAATGGCTTCATCATCATCATCATCATCATCATCATCGTAGCGATGGAAGAGGGCAAATATAATAGTGTGGATCTTTGTTTCATCAAAGGAAATACGGAACTCCAGTCCTTGGCCCTCTCATTTGATTGTTCTCTTCTGTCTCTGTGAAGAACTTCACTTCCCTTTCCTATTTAACACAAGCATTTTTCATCATTTACCCATGGAGGATCCATGATACAATACAACGCAGATTAAATCACTTAGGCAATAGAAATCCCTATTGTTGAGAGAATGGATTATATGCATGAGCAGAGAAGACTAGAATACTGAATTTGGAAACACTGAAGAGAGAGCTCACCATGTTGTCATTGAAACTCAATATAGAAGCGACATTGCCACAGCGGTAGCAGTAATTAGGTGCAGACCATACCTTCACATCAATAAAGAAGAAGAAAGAAACATCATCAACCAGAGTAATATTTCCAAACATCCAGCAAAAGAAGGTCACAAGTCATAAGAGGTAGTACACTCACAGTCACAAGGCCTTTATCTTGGAACATGTACTTAAGACCTTCTTGAACAAGCTGGTGTGCGCGGCATACTAAATCAAGCTTGTTGATATGGTTAAACTGCACAAATCAAATAGCACATCCGTTAAATTCAATTGATTAGTTACAAGTGAACCAACTATTCAAGAAGAAATATATGTACCTCAGTGGTAACCCTCGATCCAAAAAGCCAACCAGCTCCACGTGGACTAACAGCCCATGTTTCAATATCTTCAGGATCGCTCCACATAAGGTCGCAAAAGGGCCCTTCATGAGGAATTTCACAATTTCTCTCGATCAGTCTTATCTAGAAACCACAATAAGATCTTTAGTTAGTAAATAGCTTTAATAGCATGCTAAGCCAGAAAGACCCTTGATGGTTGAAAGCCTACAGCAATAAAGGCAGAGTTTAACCTGATCAATTGTCCGGACATCAGGGGAAAGGCCACCATGAACACATAGAACCTAAACAAAGAAAATTTTATTTTGGTATAGCAGACAACTTACATATGTATGTTATCATCTACAATCCAAGAAATTACTTACGGTGCCATCTATAATAGCTGACAGGGTAAGATAGTCGAAAACATCTGTGCAATATCGCCACGCATTAGCGTTACCATACTTCCTTTGGCATTCGTCATAGAAACCATATACCTGAGAAAAACATAAAGTAGGGATGAGAATCTTAACACTATATATGACAAACTTAAATGTGTCTTCCAGCGCCACAATAGACCTCAGTAAAAGTGTAATCAGAAAGTAAAAGCTAGAATCTTCATTAGAACCCAAGAGCTAGATAAAAGTAAACAATCCCCCCATCAGTAATCTGGTACTACATAAAGCACCTTCTGAAATTAGCTTTCCAAAACTGGATTCACATTAATCTTAGCTAACATCCATGTCTACATCTGACATGGCTTTGCCACAAGTACAAAATCAGAACTTTTCAAAAACCTGCTATAACAACGAGAAGAAATCAATATAACTTACCTCCTAGGAAATATGTTATGAGAACATTAATAATTATTATTGGCACAGAATAATGCATACCTGCGTTAGCTGCCTACTTTCATGATTTCCACGCAAAAGTGTAATATGGGCTGGATGTCTACATAGAAGAACACAGACGAAAGAGTAAGAAAAAGAAAAAAATTCCCCATAAGAAGAAGTTGGTAAGATTTCAATGATGACTCAAGGACATATATGAAACAGCATACCTAGCTTTAAGAAGCAAAAGAATAGTGAAGACTTCAAGGCTGTTGTAACCTCTATCCACGAAGTCCCCCTGCAAATATCCCACAGTAGATCATATGATTGTATTCATATCGAATCGAATTCATCATACGAGACAACAACGTAAAAAGAAAAGGTCTGTACTCTGTACCATAAATATGTAATTAGTCTCTGGAACATGACCTCCGGTTTGAAAAAGCTTCATTAGATCATGAAACTGGCCATGGATGTCACCACAGACGGTGACTGGACTGTTGACAGGTTGTACGTTTGACTCCTCAATCAGAATTTCTTTCACCTGTAACATTTCATACATTTATAATCATAATCATCTTCTGGTGAACCATGAGGCAACTTGAAAAATCAAAAATTCCATCGCTGAGAAAGGAGAAGATTCAATTATTTCGGAATTACAAAAACCCTAAATCGAGTAACCAAAATGGCACTATAAAGAGGAGAGAGACCAGATTCGAAGTCACTTTCCACAAAGATAAACAGATAAACCAAGTAGAGAAGAGTAGAAGAAGTTGTACGCCTCAATCGACACAGAAAAGAAATGGTTTTGATTCATTCAGAAGAGAAAGCAAGTAAGGAGGAATAAGAAGAAGAAGATTGCGTACGTATTCGCAGAGAAGCTGAAGCTCGTCCTCGGAGAGATGCTGACCATCTTTTACCTTGGAAATCCATTGGTCCAAATCCATAACTCTCTCTCTCTCTCTCTCTCTCTCTCTCTCTCTCTCTCTTTCTATGTACCTCTAACTAGCAAAAACCCAACCTCTTTCTTCGATTCCAATGGGACTTTTCACGATCCTTTCTGGGGAAAAAGATTTGAATCAAGATAGATCTAGCAGAGATTCTTCGACTTCGTTAGGGTTACGTAAGAGGGAGAAGATGAAAGAGAGAATGAGAGGTTCGAGTTCTCCACAAAATGAAAAATTAAAAAAGATCTCCACCCAGATCGATCTCCGCCGCGTCAAACGCTAATCACACTTTCGCGTTTGGGATTTTTCATTAAACGCAATCACTGTCAAACCAGCGTCTGATTGTAAAATTCCGGTTTTTGAACCCTCACAATTCTTAAAATAACGAAAAGAGGAAAATACTTTATGATCAACAACCCTCCCTCAGGTCCCTGACCAAATAAATAAACAACAACAAAGACTCAACTTCCAATACAAAGGAGGTCAATTTCATGAATCTTAATTCTCCTAAATGTACAAAATTTACAAAGGAAGAAACAAACTGTTAACTGTGTAATAGATAGTACCAATCCAAACCAAAAGAATCATCAATCATTTGTGGAGTTAAAAAAATGACCCCCAAGAAAGTCAGCAGCAGCAACAACAACATTTTGTGGAAGTCGCTTATGAAGAATGATGGTTCTTGCAGGAAGCAAGAACAAAGTTGTCCATGAAATGGTTGAGCTCAGCTGTATAGAGCTCCGGGTTACTCCTGAAATGGTCTACATGAGGCGATGATATGAAGTTGCAGGCACGGACCTCGTGTCCTGCTTTCCTCTGCTCCACGATGAACGATTCCACTTGTACCGCCGGTATAACTCTATCTGCAGAGCTGTAAATGTACAACTGTGGACATCTTGGTTGTGCTGATGACAAAGTGTCAAGAACATCCGCTAGTCTCCTGTCATATAACAACATGATTTGCAAGAGTTTGTTAATGTTAATTCTCACTGGATTTGGGTGAAAGAGAGAGACTGTTTGTTTACCTGTTTACTTTGGGAAGATTTAGAATCACCGAGAAGAACTTTTCGAGAACCGAAAGCAAAGCTGTTTCTGTTGCGGCGGGTTTAGGCTCTGAGAAGTTGGTTTGTGCTCCTTTAGTGGCTACACTGTTTTTCTTCAAGAACGCAGCTGAGAACCCTGACGCCCATACCTGCTTTTCACAAGCCAAATCAGTATACAGAACCGAACACAAGATCTTAAAATCTATGGAAAGAATAGCACACAGTCATCGTTTAACAGCAGATTAGGTATCCAAAGTCTAATTTGCACAAGTCAAGTCCTGAAACAACTCTATATGAATGCAAGAAGCATCTCTTACCGTAGGATCAGCAGCAGCAACAGGAGCTGAGTCTACTATGCAACCTTTAACTCTTCCCATCAATGACGAATCTTGCTTCTGAAACTTCTCCAGAATGGCTCCATATCTGTATAAGAAACTCGCTGAGTGAAAATGTGAAAAATCTCCATGGAAAAAAAAAAAAGCCAGAGATAGAGAGAACTCACGTTAACCATCCGGTGTTGCTGAAGGTGTGAAAGACGAGATTCTTCTGTTGTTCTTCATCCAACCAATCAGCCAAGTGATTAACCAGCGAGTCAATGTTCTTCTCAGCTTTGCCTCCAACTTGATAACTCATAATCTCATTCATTGGGAGAGTAAACGTAATCACATGATAACCCCTCGAAGTATACCAATCCGCATACTTCTTTAAATGCTTCTGCTTCGATCCAAGCCATCCAAGCAGAACCACAACAGTTCTGTTCTTCTCAGAGGCACAGCTCGAGGAGCCAGACAAATCGACGGCACTAGTCTCAGGCAAATGCCACCTGTAGGAAACGTCAGGAACCACAAGCGAGGCACCGATTGTGAACGCTGCTGGTTTTGACGCCTTGGCCAATTCTGCAGAGTGGTAAACGCTACGGAGAGCAGAGAGAGAAGTAACGGAAGGAGCGAGGTTACAGCTAGGATTAGGAGCTAAGAGATCAACGTTTGGCACAGGGACACGAATCCTTGACACAAAAGATAAGTCAGCGAGCTTTGAGGACGAGATTTGAGGAACCCACAAGGACCTTGCGTCCTGAACTGAAGCAGCAACCTGCTGTGAGTCGGAGACTCGAACTAGTGATTTAAGAGAAGAGAACCTCTCAGAGACATCTGCAGAGACAGAAGCGGCGATGACAGCAGCAGCAGCAACAAGTGGCCGTTGAATGATCCCAGACAAATAACTCATGATGCTCACAATCTAATCCAATATACTCCAATGATCAAACGAGTCCTGCTATATAAGAAGAGATGGTTGTGTAAATAAGTAGACACAGACGAACAAAACACGTTTAAAACGAATGTAAGACAGACTCAAGATTGTTGGGATATGCTGCAAACATTACCTGGAAGCTTCCTTTGGCTCTAACTCGGGCTGTCAAGTTTGACAGCCCGACCCTCAATGGAGTAATTACTTAACAGAGTCAAAAACTCTGTTTACACGCTGCTTCTCTGCAAGAAACCATTTCTTATGAGTCAGAAATATAACAGTTTTGGAAGCTAATTACGAAAAGAAAAGATGTCGTATGATGTTGACACGAGGCAAAAGAAAGAAAGGAGAGAACTTTTCTCTTCTCTTCTGAAATCATGAGGATCCCACCACCTCCAGCAATTAAAAAAAAAAACATAAATTTTTTAGATGAAATTGAGTCTTTTTCTTCTCCCAGAAATTATAAGAAAAACGATGAACAACCCCAAAAATTAACAATTGGAAATGGGGGAAATTGATTTTTCCCAATTTTGAAAAGGACCCACCACGACCACGAGAATCCCCCCAACGAAAAGCAGTCGAAGTTTGAGAAAGAAGATGAAATCCCAAAAAGCTTATAAAAAGCATAGATCTCTCCCGGAAAACGGGAATGCAACACAACGTGGTCATGAGGACCGTCCCATTCGACGGCCGACGGAGACCAAAAACTCATACTTTTGTCCCCGGAAAGAAGTTAAAAGATGATGGGAGGAGGAAGATAATTATGATAGGAATCAGAGAGAAGAGAAGAGAAGAATAACTCACCAGAGAGAGAGACGGAGAGAGGGAAAAAAAGAAGAGATGAAATTGATTTTTGTCTTTGTTAGGGCAAAGAAAGAAGAAAGGCCTGACCAAAAATAAACAAGGAAATTATAATCTCATATATATACAGTTCCTTCAAATAGAATATTTTTATATATATGCTCATTAAAAGTAAAAACCGAACTAGACAAGGAAAACCACTAATAAAATCATTTTAGAATTTGTTTACGAAACAACTTATTTATTTTTATCTTAAGAAAATTAACAACTTATTATTTGTCGGTTAACAAACACCAACGTAATAATAATCTCAAATCTCAATACCGTGTGTGTGATTTCATACGGACTCGTGCGTGGAACATAACGCGTTAAATAGTGTCATGACGCCAAAAAACAGAACAGAAGAGAGTTTTATAAACGAATTATCAACGTGTGGCTGGGAAACACATGCCCTGGACGGGGGCTGGAAAGAATGGCCTAGTTATTGGTATGGGTCATATATATTTTCAAGAATATTCTATTTGGATATCCGATAAGAAAAATATGTGGGAATCTTGGTTTTACATTACGCCAAGTTGTCCCCACCACCATTTTCAAATTTCTTCCATTGTTTATTGGAAGTGTCAAAAATGGCTTTGTTCCTAAACGTACCAAAGTGTTTGGATTCGTCTTAATGCTCTCCAAAGTTGCTTTCTATCTTTTGAAATACATATGGAAGAATCTTCACATTTTACCCCCAAAAAAATCTATATATATAGAGTGAGAGAATTAGCTAAAAAACGATCCTATTGATCCTAGAATAAACACATTTTTAAAGCAATCAATCATTAAAAACTAAAATGCCAAAACCGAACAGCTTTCTCCATTTGCACAAAAGAATCAACATTTAAAGTGATATTCTAATATTCTATTTAGATTTGAAATTATCATTTTCCATCGAGGAGAGAAATTATATATTCTACAAAATTGGTGGAAATAAATAGAACTTGGTGAACGTCTCCGTTTTACAACTTTGAGCCTCTCGCCAATATCATATACTTTAATTTTAATTGTTTCAAATTTCAAGTTTTTGTATCAGCTTATGTCCATTTCGTAACCTAATTTTACTTGCAAGCAACTGTAAAACGAGGAGATGAAAAACCAGAAAAAGTTAAAATTTATTATAATTGCAAAAAGTCAAATATCACATACCTTCAACCAACAAGCAACAACAATACATAATACTAAGAAGAACAAAACCACAGCTTTGAAACAATCTTCCCTTAATGATCAAACACTGAAACACACCATGTCCAAACTATTCCCATAAATATAGATATATCAAACGATCAAGAACTCGAATTCGATTTTAGAAACCGTGGATCTTGATCTGATCTTTGTAAGCAATCCCAGTCTGGACCAAGAACTGAGACACTTTCTTCCTCTGGTCACCTTGAAGCTGAATGATCTTGCCTAGCTCCTTGTGCTCCACAACGTTCCCGTTGCAGCACAAACCTTTCTTCAAATCCTTGAGAGTCCTCTCGTAGCTATGATCTTTATTCAGACCTTGAACAGTCGTCAAGCTCTTCTTCCCATTCCTCTGCTGGATCCTGATGTGAATGTACCCTTTTGTCCCTGGTTCGTCTGAATCTTGAGCGTCTGCGAATGGGTCGAATGCTGATGGAATCTCGATGTCAGGCTCGAGCATCTAAAACTTTGATTACTCTTGGAACGTAAGAACTGGTCTCTTAAGCTGTTTGATTCGCTCTGCATAATAAGAGAAAACAAAGTTTAGACTCCAACCAACAATAAACGATCAAGAAACTACACTCTTATCAACAACAAACAATCAAGAACAGATCAAGAACACACACAAGAACAGAAAATTCATTAGTCTACAGTCTTTATCGATTGGGAACTCGCAAGAAGATCAAACAGAGAACAACACCAACAAAAAGATCAATCAAATGAGAGAAACTAAAAGTAGAAAGTTAAAGTCGAACCTAAAGGTATGAGAGTGGATTTTCTTTTTCAGTTGATGAAGAAAAAGCAGAGGAATGTTGTACTTATATGATGTATTCTATCATCATCCACTTTGGACAGATGGATAAGTGCTAATTGCCTTGGCGACCAAGTTTCGAAGTACTAATATTATATTTAGGTTTGAAATGATCAATTTGCATGAGGAGAGAATTATTCTACAAAATTGGTAGGAAACATGAAGAACATTTCGCAACTCTTCAAATTAAAATGTTTCCGACAAAAATAAAATTCTATACAAATACCGCAATCATCATTAACTCTTTGATATTTTAAAGTAAACGTGTTCTTATGTTTACAGACGAAACGTGGAAGCAACTCTCTTATCCGTTGATTAAGCAAAAACAGCAACAAAATCAACATTATATTATATTAGAGAACTACAAAAGAGGAAATTTACAAACTTAAGTTATAATTTGTCTCAAGAACATGATCTACTTCTTTCTTAAATAGCAAACGAACAAAAGTTTGCCTTGTAAGAATAGTCTTGTCCTCAAATCAATACCTGGTACTATTTCTCCTTCCCCACCACTTCTTCTTCACTTTCTCCAACGAACCACTGCTCTCTTCGCTTCCAAGCTTGCTCAGTATCAGTTTCGTTTCCCGCAACCTCCCTCCATAATCCTTCTTCCACGTCTCAAACATCTGTTTCAGCCTCCTCAGCTCTCTATCTGGATTCAAGTTTGCTTCCACCTGACCAGACTTCACTTCCACCAAGAACTTTGCATCATCACCAAACACTTGAGCTCTCTGCTCGAACTCTTCAGCCAAACGCCCGATCACGCTCAGACCCGCGCTCATAGGCTGTTGTTGTTGTTGTCTGGCCACTCCTCCGTTGCTCGCTTGGCTCCTGAAATGATTACTGCTTGAATCCCAATCCGTTGTTGCATCACTTGCATTGACCGATGCGTCTGAGTTTCTTGCAGAGTCCTCAACCGCTAAGCTTTTCTTTGCTATGGAAAGACTTGACTGCAAAGACCGCATTTGCTTTTGCCATATCTCTTCCATTGACTTCATCTTTGTCTCGTACTCTGACCAACGGTTCTCATACTGTTGAAGCCTCTGCTGAAGAATGTCGTTCTCTTCTTCTTTCTCACGCATAGCAGCTTCTGCTTTAAGCACCCTTCGTTGAAGCTCAGAAAGTACTGATGCCTTCACTAGCACCTCGCCGGACTCATTTATCTGCGCAGTTGGTCAAAGAGATCACATTAATAAGATGCAAGAAATCAAAATTTTGTATCATGTGAATACAGTTAGGTCTTTTACCTTAGTGCCTCCAGATTTTAGCCATCCAATATCCCCTGAGCATCGTCTAACCAACCAACCACGAATTGCTGCAAGAAGATTACAATAGTATGAGATTGAGATTGAGATTGTTCTTCTTGACAAGACCTACAACAAACCCTTTTTACCTGATTGTATCACAACGGACGCATCAGTTATGCCCTTATACTGACGACTAGCAATCTTGCTTTTAACTTGGCTTTGTATAGTAGCAGCAGCTCTATGCCTCCTTCGTAACTCTGCAAACTCCTTTCTTATTTTCTCTCCACGAACAACTGTCGAAAAAGAGGTAGGAAGTAGCCATATCTAAGGTTAAGCTCAAAACGTCTCCATTACAATGAGACTAAAGCTGCAAAACAAAGGACAAAAGGAGAGTGATAATATACATGACTGGAGAGTAGAAATTCCCATTTTAAGCTCCTTCAGGCGACAGCGAGCTTGGTATCCTCTGAAATAGCTTTGGACACGTAAAATGCCATGGAGAGTACGGTTCCTTGTGTCTTCAAGAACCCCAATCTGAAAATGCACATGAGACTCTTATGCCTGCTCCTTTTAAAAGACAGTTTCTGACATCAGACGACTAGCTATTGTACCTGGCCAGTTCTGAAAAACAGTTTTGTGTAGCCAACTTGATACATCTCCGGCAAGATATTAAACTGATGGAGAATTGCAACCGAGACACTTAGAGGATCTTTATCAGCAATGTTCTCCACCAGAAGGAAACCATACCTGCAGTGTGATTATAAGAAATCAAACATGGTTACAATTTATGAAGAAAAATAAAGGCTGTGAGGTCTCTTGCATTGTCACCTTCTAGCAAATTTCTGATGAGACATTCTTGTAGGAAATCCAGACCGTGAAATCCGAACCACTTCTAGGACACCACAACATCTCAGCTGCTGTAACACAAGTCCTTGCTCATACAACCCAGGAGACTGGTTGTTATTTGGCTTGATGCAGCGAATAAAATGTGGTGTAGTGTTCCCTAAACGTTGCATCAATTGAAATAGTTGACCCTGGGAAAAGAGAAAATCCAGGTAAGATCATTAATAATCAAATATCATAGACGATGAGATGTTTGATATTTTTGCATAGTGTAAGCAGAAGCCTTTTGGATAAGAAGTGGTTTGGGCATCACACAAACCAAAACAAGCTTTAAAGATTTAAAAGTGGTTCTCTTGCCATCACATCTATGCAGATTATGAGCTTTAAACTAAAAGCAGGTAACCAAAACAGAAGCAACATCAGATTTGTGTTTGAGGCCAATACAATTTGATACTTTACCTTAAATTTTGTAGCTACACTCAACCGCTGGGAATCAGCACCACCTGCTTTGTATAAAGGGCCGACCACAGGTTTTTCAGACTGGATCAACATGCTAGAAGCAAATGCTTGAGGAAGGTGGCAAGAACAAGAAGACAAAAGTTGGATAGAATCCAGATGCAACAAGTCTCTGTTCTTCTCTAGAAACCCAGTCGTCTCATATGTAACCTGATTTAGAAAAGCAAGTAAGAAAAGTCCGCTGTCAAGAAGCATTCATGACCGAATTCTAGGTTCCTGTTCGCTTTCGAATTTCTATATCTCTAAAAGAGCCCACAAACCCCACTTTAAAATGCCTTATAGTTATTGCATGCCGGAAAAATTGGTGTCCTTGAAGTTTCAAGAGCTATTACCTCTCCAGCATAATGCACAACTGTGAAAAGCTTCCCTCGATCTCCTCTGAAACATGAATTAGAGTCTAGATGCTGTTTAAGCTTGTTTGCAAGTGTCAAATCTGTGCCATTCGGAAATGTAGATTCCTCATCCAAAAGTGAGAGCAGCCCCAACGGTTTCTGCAGAAACATTGCATTGAGACTTAATTGCCTTAAAAAGCATGATTCAGTCTAAAACTAAGCACTTGCACAAATAAACTAGTAGTCTTCTTGTTCGGGTGTCGCTTCATGGTCTATCACAGTATTTTCTTTTTATCTACCTTTTCAAAGAGACTAAGGCAACCTTGGTTGTCCTCAAAGTCAACCCTTGTCCAGTCAATCCCATCTTGGATATATTCCTGTAACAGCAGAACGAAATATTAATATCTTGGATTGGAGAAAACTAAGCTTTTAGAGACTCTAATGTGAATGCACTACGTAGTAGATTCACTGTATGAACTTGTATAGTAGATTTACTTTACCTCTTGCTCCAGCTTGAATAGATGACGGTTAAAGTGTTGCTGCAATCTCTCATTTGCATAATTTATACAAAACTGCTCAAAGCTATTTTTCTGCAGAAGAATGTAAAATTGTTCAGCAAATCATTTACAAAAGATGCATACACTACGCACATACATCACCGCTATTTCAACTACAGTCAGCAATTCATTTGCTAAAAAGGTTATACTAGTTGTCATTATTAAGGGATGTAACTGCAGACTGAAAATTTAATGATGTCGGAAAGCACAGAGAGACAGAACAGAAGCATACATCAAATGATTCAAAGCCGTAGATATCAAGAATGCTGATGGATCTGCCAGTTCGCTTCTTTCCCACTGCAAGAGATTTGTTGATCTGTTCAACCAGCCAATCAAACAGGCACGAGTACATTGATTTTGCTAAAGCATCTCTTGCATCGATGGCCTGAAAGCAAATATTAGCAAAACAAAATATGTCCAGTAAAAGAAACGCAAAAATTGTTGTGATACTAAAACTGAGCATAGAAAATGAATAGTCATTATCTTCGGAGGGATTAAATTCTAATGTGAGACTTAATACTAAACAAGATTGTAAGCACTGTTTCCAGATAACTGTGAAGCATGATACTAATAACGCAAATGCAATATTTCCAGTAAAAGATGCAGACATAAACCAGTGCAGAAAACTTCCAACATGTCATTTTACTAAGTTGCCTCTCTCTGTTGACCCTACAAACCCTATTTCAACTTTGATTATAAACAAAAAATGCAAGCCACTTCTTGTAAAAATATACCTGCGGTAGCGTTAGCTTCTGCACAATGGTATCTTTTCCAACTCTCATATTACGTTTCGATAAACTGAGCTTAAGCTCATTGATGTTGCACCCAATCAATTTAGCAACAGTTGACAAACCTGAAAACAACAAATACAGCACGTAGATAAGTCTCCGTGCCATATAAGTTATTTGAATTAAGTAGCAAACACTCATACGCTCCTAAAGAGATGTCAGAAACATAGAGACGCCTGGTGGGCATGCAGATTCAACATTCATGAACACAAAATAGACAAACATTTTAACTCTGATAATGTAGGCATCATTAGTTAGGGATTATAGAGGCTTACTTTCATCTTCTAAAGGTTCAACATGGTTTTCATTGTCAATAATGGTGAAGGAAACATTCCCCAGCCATAATACTGCAGCAAGCATTGCAAATACACTTTCTTGATCTTCTTTACTAACATGCACAATATCCAGAGCTTCCTGCAACAACAAAGATAGAAAAAAATAAAGATCTGCAAATGAGTAGAGAAGAGGAATAAGAAAAGATCTCAGTGAAAGAGGGAATTACCTTAACAGTATTAAAACGTTCAGCATCATCAACTCCACAGATTGAATAACAGTTACTCTGTCCCAAATATTTATACTCGTGTGCACTTGTCAGATTTAGTTTCTCTGCGTTTAAATGATGAAAGGGGATAAGAAGCACATAAATAAATAACTTTCCACCAGTTACTAAACATATATACATCTAACGATTACAACAATTGACTCAAAAACTAATAGTTGACACAGATATATTTTTACTTCTGGAAGATGAAACTCAACCGAAGATATATCAAGCACACAACGTTAATCATAGTCCATCAAAACTACATAAGACAATTTAAAGTCTTGATGATCACGGCCATCAACAATTTGCTCAAAATGATTCTAAAAAATGATAGTTTTAGCCAATTTGCTGTCAAGAAAAATGTTTATTTTTCTCTTTAATATTTCCTTTATTAGCTTCCTTTTAATATTCCATTTTCCTAACCATACCTCTCAGTGCAGGTGAAGCTCCAGCACAAAGTTGATAAAATATATGATATGACCTTTCCCCTTCAGCACATTGGACCACTCTAGACTGTTAAAATGTGTCAACCCACAAAGAAAAGAAATGTCAATGTTAATGAATCATGTTCAACAAGGAAAGAAACCAAGGAGGGATAATCATCTAAATACCTTTTCTAGTAAAACTGCAGAGATTGAAGAACGGGCAAACAAAAAAAAAAACACTAAGTTAGCTTTGTAAAGGTAAATAAACAAACAATGTGAAGTCACAATTGTAACTTTAACGCTTACAGGTTTGAATTTGAGCACCGGATATCTTTCCGCTTTCGCTAAAATGAATCTCTATCAACTTCCCCTGTAAATTTTAATATCAAAACAACAGTGTAAGACATATGAAGACCTTAAGATAATAAATACAAAAGCACAATGATGAAGGGCTTACGAAGCGACTAGAGTTATCGTTTCTCAATGTTTTTGCATTTCCAAATGCTTCCAAGATGGGATTAGTCTTAAGTATCTCATATTCGATCCCGCTTCCACCTCCAAGAGCAGCCAAGTACTGCATAGCTATCTTAGCTGTCTCAGTTTTTCCTGCTCCACTCTCGCCACTGGATGAGAAATAGAAACTTTGTGATAAGAATACAACACAAGTACACAAAATGGAAGCAATGCTTCATTCAACAGATACACTAGTCCAAGTGTGTCACAACTAATGCATCTGTACAGGTCAAGAATACTAATGCATCTATGGAGAAATTATTTGCCATCATGCTAGTGCCATATGAAATCCAATAGGCGTGAAAATGTGCAAAAACTCAGCATAAAGAAGGACATTTTGACTAACCTGATAATGATGGATTGGTTAACTTCATCTGGATTGGAAAAGATAAAATAATGTGAGAATCAAAATGTTTATTTTGGCTCACGAGATTGCATTGCTAACGTTCAACAATCAACAAAACAATGAAGCATGATCCCACCTCGTATCATTTCACGAATTGCTGTATCTGCAATTGCATACACATGAGGACTCTCATTTGATCTCTTCCTGTATGCTTCAATGTAACGATTCCCGTATAAAGGAACCTCCTTGAAAGGATTCACAGCCACCAAAACTGGCCCTGCTTTTGTCTAGCACCATAAAAGGAAAAACGTTAGAAAACCAATAACAAATGCTGGACATATACGATATCATTTTCAATGTAAAGACTGTTAACCTGATGAACAAATAAAAACAAAAGACTTACATATATCATGTCTTGGTTGTACCTATAGTTGAGATTGTACAACACCGATGGCTCATTCAAGTAACTTAGTTGCATTAGATCGTCAACTCCATCAAGAATATCAGGATTTGCAGGTACTAGAGTCTCTGATATGACTTTTATAACCTGATAATTCAAGTGCACAAGTAGTAGTATCTAATCAAACACTTGAAATATTAACCTATACCTACTTTAGGAATACAAAAAAAAATTACTTACTTTTCCCTCAGGTAAAGATATTAAAGACTCCTCTCCTGAAGTTGACAGTATCTTCCCAAGCTCCCAGTTACCATTTGGAAGTTGAATCCAAGATTGCAGTATCTAAAGTTTTCAAAAAAGTCAGAATTTTCATCCTATATCCCTATACCTTTAGAAGCAATGAGTTTTGTTCTCAGTTTAGCTAGAAATCCACCGTGGCCATGAAATGTGTGAGGGATACCTTCTTCCGAGCATAGGCACTAGTGTCGCTCCACCTGCGTTCATCACTGTGAGGCAAGGGCATTGTAGCAGCACCAAGATCCACATCACCAGTTAAAGACTCCTCTTCAGTGGAAACAATGTGCCCGCTGTATGGTGAATCCTCACTATCTCCAGCAGCAGTTTCAGCTCCATTAACCCCATTACTTAAGCCACCTTTTCTTGGAAGATTCGAACTGTTCAAGTGAACACTTGCACTAGAAGGATCAGAGATAGGTGAACCATCAAATCTATAGTTAGCCGGCAAAGATTTGAGTGACTGCATGGATGGAATAACCTTCTGGGACATTGTTTCCTGCAAGAAAGAAACAAAGCTAATCACCTCAAATGGAAGTGTTCAAGAAAAAAAGAAAAGAAAGACAATCTATTTTTGGTTTCCCCATCAAGCTTTTGGAGAAGAACCCCACTCAAAAGACCTATCTAGTAATGGCGGGGACCATGGTTTAGGACATAGACCGAAATGCTTTTACTCGATCTTCAGTCACTGTTTTTTTCAAGTTCTTCAATCAGAAGAGACATGTAGTGATGAATGTTAGGCCAATCTCTGACTAAACTGGAAAAGTATCCAAAGATCTCATGAATACATTTCACCAAATTTCGACATTTCATTAAAGAGGTTGACGAAATCTTGAGAAGAAGATTATTGTTAAAGAGACCTACATCAGGATAAATTATAAAATTCTGAGGCTTCTTTAGTTGACAATTTAACAGCTTTCTTGCTGAGGAGAAACTACGACCAAACAAATATCAACAATCAAATTGATCTGATTGACAAAAAGCTCAAATCTTGAGATACAAAGACTACTTCTTATGTCACTAGACACACACAAACCAACCAGAAGAAAAATTCGAAATTTCTTCATTTAATTTAGAATACATATATAGTGAGAAGAGAAACTCTCAAAGAAAACGCACAAAAATTTCAAATTCATTCGATTTAAGACCCATTGTAACTCCAAACCCCTTCAAAATTCAAACTACTTTCCAAAATTAGATGCTCAACCAAAAAAAAAACAGTACCGTCTTCAGGAGAAAGCTACGGATTCTCAAAGAAATGATTTTTCTCGGAGATAGATCTCAGACACCACCACGGAAACTTCTGATTCTGTAAACTCCGGAACTGAGAGAGAGATAGAAGGTAAGAACAGGGACAAGAATGCAGTGGAATTGAAAAAGGGTTTAAGAGTTTAAATCCCCAAGTAACAATGGAGACTGGTTTAGAGGTTTCAATTTACTGAAATTTTTGGAGATAAAACTCAAAAAGTGCGAGTGAAGAAGAAGATGTATTGTAGCTTTTTCTCTGCTTCACAAGGAAAAGAGAAAGAAAAAGAAAACTGCTGTTTATTTTCTTTAATTATTTTATTTTTCCCTTTATTTTTCTTTTGTCTCTGGACGCAGGAGAGTTACAGTTTAATTTTGTAATTTTAAAAATCAAAAATTATCCGACCATTTTGAATGTCTTTCGTTTTGCCACCAACTAGATTTTGAAAATATGAATATTCACTTATTCAGCACCTCACGTGTTCTGAAATGACGATTATGCCTTCGTGTGTAACCGATGTTTCTTTCGTTTTCAGTTTTTTTTACAATCACAGCTTTAATTGCTGATATTTTTATTTTTTGTAAATAAATATAATTGTTGATATTTTTCCTCCTTTAATGTTCTTGATACGAATTACAGGTTTAAAATCTTGAGAAACATTCGATATGCTCTTGCTCTTGCTCTTGCTCTTGCTCTTGCACGGAGCGGGCTTGGTCCTCTTGACTGTCCAAATTGTATACTCTAAAACTATCATTTCCAAAATGAAAATGTCATATATTAACAATATGACGTGGTTCAATATATACAAAATACACATCTCAAAGAAACAAAAAAAAGACTAATAAAAGAAAAGTTGTTGGTCTGTACCAATGCCGGTTCAATGAATTTAAATGCCCTACTCAAATCTAAAAAGTATGCCTTTTAATTTTCTTTTTCCAAAATCACAAAACAGTAAAAATATTAAAAAAATCATTAAAATTTCATAAAATAAACAAGTTCTAAATAAACAATTCCCACTTTATAAATAGTTTGCGAAAAATATATAAACTGATTTCTTATGGCTATATTTATGAGCTAAATATAGCTCTCATTGGATTTTGAGCTGCAAAATAATTTATTAAACTCACATAATCGAGTTTTTCAACCATAGTTGTCTCGATCGATAACAAAGCCAATTCATTTAACCTTTCTTGTGACATGGTAGATCGCAGGTATTTGTTAACAAATGCCCTATAAAAATTAAGATCACTAAAAAGGTTTTAAAAATTTGTAAATCATATATAAACCCCTTTAAAAAAAATTAACAAAAATATGTTCTTGTTAAAACTTTATACATAATATATATATATATATCCTTTAAGATATTTAAGTAACTAAAATATGCCCTTGTTAAAACTTTGTAAATGATATTTATACCCTTAAAAAAAATTTAACAAAATTATGCCTCTAATAATTGGATGCCCTACTCGGCCGCTTACCCTGCGTATGCTCAGGGCCGGCCCTGGTGTGTACACAAGTCAAATAATCTTTGGAGTTGAGGGAAGTAGACCTTCATTATCAAAGTTAATGACGATTTAATTTGTGACCACGTTCAGTTTCACTTTATCATCGATGCGTATCTCTTGATATACTAGATTATATTCCAAATTAGTTTATACTTATTTTAGTGAGTTGCTGAGTTCTAGCCTTATAAAAACTTGATCCACATATTTCACTGAATTCCACGAATATTGTTTAATTTTTCGTATACGAAAACATGTTCCGACCATGTGATTAAGTATGCCTTTCGAAATCAATGTCGACCACATTATAGTGTCACTTAAAAAGTAGCTGTGGGGGAAAATCGTGATTGCAAAGTTGTTACTATGTGTAAATTTTAAACTCATTTGCAGTTTCTCACACTCACCCAAAAAAACTAAAATATAGAAGTTTAATTCATATGATGAAAAGTTCAAAAAGAACTTAAAACACATCACAAGGGATCGGATTGTTTATCTGATAATGTCTTCTTTTAGATACGATCAGCTTTGTTTGCCACTTTCTACGTTTCTTCGTGTCCCATCTTTATCGATGTTTAGATTTCATGTCCGAATCAAGATTTGGTTTGGTTGGGGTCAACCCAAAGCTGTTTATCAAGTTAAATAATAATATTACAAATGTAAAAATAATTGATTTATTATTACATTTGGTAGAATGATTCCAAATTAACAACAACTGAAAGAAAAAAAAAAAAAAATCAAGGTTGGGTAACAATGGAATCAAGAAAACTAAAGTTTTGAATCACAACAGAAATTTAGAAACATAGTTTCTTAGCTTTATATGGTATTGTATGATCCTCCAATGCTTTCTCGTGCGGATTATACGCCGATCTAAAAAGAATCTATCATTGTCCAATTAGGCAGTGACCACTACCACTACATTGAAACGTGGAAGGCCAATGCGTCTCTTGAAATTGCGTCTTCCTTACACATATGATATAACTATAAGACTAAAAGATTATACTGTACCTCAAGATCAACTACGCCATTTTTAACAAAAAAAATAAGAAAGTTATTCCATAGTCTAGAGACGGTTCCTTCATCTGTAACTGTTCGATAGGTTGCAATTTGCAACTATTTGCTGAGAAGTGGACGAAGGAGATGTGTTTGGTGATAAACATATGTTAAAATATGATAACATATTAGTACATGTGCAATCTTGTGTGAGTTTAAGGATGCTATATGAGTCATATCTTAATACAAATATCTAATGCGTTCAACACTTCAACTTATACATTAATAAATTCTACAAACTAATCCAACAAACATAATCCTCATATTTTATCTACAAGTTTTGTCGTACATTAGGAACATAATGCACGTATTATAGCGTGCCTTTTGAATTCACATTCCGTTACTCCGTTGCTTCCCGCATTACAAAAGCCATTCAAGAAGAAAATGGGAAAATGGTTACAAACTTGCGACGATGTGTAGTAAGATAAGTTAGAAAACTAAAAGCTGTAAAGTCATATGATGAAAAAGGTCACAAAACACACCACAAGGGACTGTTTATTTGATACATCTTTTTTGTAGGATATTAATCAGTCAACTTTGTCTGCCACTTCGAATATTCAGTCTCTTTCCCAATTTTTTTGCATGTCATATCATACGTTTTACTTTTAGAGAGACTTATTATCTGAATCAAAACTGTGTTTGGGGTCTCGATTTGCACGGTGACCCAATTCATGGAAATATGTTAATGAGATAATGAAAATTTGCAATTTTTAAGAACTCACATCCGTTATATAATCCCAAAATAACAGCCACAAGAAAATACCTTTTTTTTGTTAATGTACAAAATATGGTAAAACCTCAATGTCACTTTTCTTTTTCCCTGATGAAACTGCCTTTCTGTGAGAACTTGTGCACATCCTTCTTCCAATCCAATTACCAAGCAATTACTCAGGCCATACATACTGCAACAAAAAAAAACGAAAGCAAACAAAGCTTAGGACAAGTGGTTTCATTTTCTTCAATGCATTGCAATGTTAAACTTAAACCTCATGGATCCAACAACATGTAATCGAACCCAACCATAAAGGTCTAAACCTGAACTATGTCAAGTATCAACAATTCCACTAATGGTTAACCAAAAAAAAGAATCAACCGTACAAAACCTTAAGACCACCTTTATCCAGCTAATTTCCAGATGGCCTGTAAGTCTGTTCAGTCCAATATATATGCTAACGTTGGACTCAAATCTAACTACATATACAGCTTATGAAACTCTTATGCGTTCTTTACGAGCACTAGGCACTACACACTTGCACCTCTCCAGCATCTTTGCATCGAAAGAAAGAGATGTTATCAGTTTACAAAGCGCGTTTTTTCCCATAGCAAGGCACAGAAAACAGTTCACCAGAAGTGCTAATCCGCAAATTGCTGAGAATATCACTTGCCAAACTTGACAAAAACCGGAGGAAGGTAAAGATTTCAAGATATTAGACAGATACGCAAAATCGAGAAACTCAAATATGCACAGCACTATCTAGATAAGAGTTACCCATTCTATAGTCTATACTGCAACAAGCGTTTTTTTTTTTGTACAAGGCTTCTTTAACTTAATCATATTACTTCAGCACCCTGTTTATTTCTTAGGATAAGGCAGGAGTCAAAAAAGTTTCTTTACATTCTCTAGGCATCCAACGTTAGCGCATATATCTATTAAGCAAGGAATATATTGCCAGCAGCGGGGAGAAGCATATTCCAGTGCTGTAATCTACTACTTTTATGCCTATGGAACTCAATAAGTTACATTTGAGCTCCATATCTATCTATCACTATTGCAGAATAGATGCCTAACTCGCAATTCCAATTTCAAAGCTATAAGATTTGGCATCAATGCAATGTCCTGAATACAACTTTACCGCATACAGCTACAAATTGACAATGTTCTTGCAGTTGCAGCCACATAACCTATTACCTCTTGAGGCTCTCCAAACAATAACTCAAGTAGCTAAACAAACAAAAAAATGAGTTCTTTAAGTACTAACCTCAATCCAAATCCTCCGGCCTGGTCTCAAGGTTAGCTCCATCGCCACTTCCAGGTGCTCCTGACCCTGAACCAGAGCCATCCTGTCTACCGAACGGCCAAGGAAGTTGAATACTAAACCTCCTCGGCGTCTGCTGCCCATCAACAACAGCCAATCCATGTGCATCCCCGCTCGTCTGACCTGCTTGACCTTGAGCCCTGTTCTCGTAATCAGGATCGTCCGTGGGCAACTCGTATCGACAAACCGGACAAGAGTTGTGCAACTCCAGCCATGGAAGCAAGCAATCTTGATGGAAGACGTGCTTGCAAGGCATCTGCTTAGCGTCGCTACCATCTTCAAACTCATCCATACAAACGGCGCACTGGTTCATCTCCGACTTCAACATATCCTTGGTCACCTTCACAGTCGGGAGCGCGTCGATTGCGGATTTCGAGGCCGGAGGAGTTCCGTACCGGTTAGGGTCATTCTCCGCTAGCTGCTGAATCAGCTGCTCAAGACCAGGCCCAAAGAAGTAGTCACCGAGGTTGCCTGGCGCTCGCTGCCCTGGATCCGAAGCATGATCCTCGATCACGAACTGAACGTGCGTGCCGCTGGATCGAAGGTGCTGCAGATGGTTCTGGAGAAACGCAATCGGATCAAAAGCGTCAGTCTGCGGATGCTGATTCTGCTGATTCTGCTGCTGCTGCGGCGTGGGGCGCGACTGCATCGACGGACCAAAGAGGCTCGGGCTCATGAAGTCCATGACGGTGGTGGAAGAGGAACCGGCAGGGCCGAAAATGAGCGGAAGCAAGGAGGAGAAAGGATCGGCCATCGGGAAAAAACCGCCAGGGTTGAGATTGGGGGATGGATTAGGGTTGCGTTCCTCCTCGTATTCCTCAAGAAAACCCCCGTTACAGCGAGGGCAAAAGGGATCAGCAGTTGAGGAAACGGAGATGGTGACTGTGCGATCGCACTGGTAGCAGAAGAACATCTTTTCAACCGCCGTAGCGGCGGAGCCAGTAGAATTTCCGCCGGAAGACATGACCGGAATCTGCGAAATTGCTTCAGAGCGCGAGACGAGACGAGACGAGAGGAAGAAAAGAACCGTCAGAGAGAGGAAAGGAGAATTCTTTTTGGTTTGTGGCCGACTCAAAACTCTTACAATCCACCGATGATTTTGGGTTAAAAGCCCATGAACGGCCCACTCTTAACTTTTACTTTTTTAGGAATGTTATATACTCAGAGTTTTTAGAATCAAATGTATAAGCATTTTGGGTGGATATTTTCGGAAACTTTAATGGATTAGAAATCTGTGTTTAGATTTCATAGAAATTATTAGATACTGAATCTACAAGAATTTTAAAAACGTGCACTTTTTACTTGGTTTATTGGCTAATATGCATTTTCTGGATATCAAACATTTATCTTTTTCGGATTTGATATTCTTTATTTTATTTTATATTATTATATGGATTAGATATGTCAACATATAAAAATTTTAGATACTGTATTTCAACAGACTTTCAATAGTTTTGTTTCACGTAGTTATTCCCTAAAAACAACCCAAAATCAACATATAAGAACCGAACAAATCCCTCTTAAATCGGTTAATCATTATTCTCGTCATGTCCACCAATAGCAGCATCATCAGGGATATACTTTTTCCAGAACCAATGCTGCTTCCAAACTCTTCCCATCTCTTCAATAGGAACACCTTTGGTCTCAGGCAACAAAAAGTAAATGAAAACCGTCATGATCGCAACCATGCTTGCAAAGAAGTAGAAGAGACCAAAATTCATGTGGCAAAGCATTGTCAAGAAGAATTGACCGATGAGAAAAGTGAAAAACATGTTGACCGAGACGTTGATGGCTTGTCCCGCTGGTCTTATTTCCAATGGACAAATCTCACTTGGTACCAACCATCCCAATGGACCCCATGACCATGCAAATCCCGCTACGTACACACATATGAATGCAAGAATCCAATCAGCTGTTGCTGGCGTCAAGGTTCCAAATTTCGCACCGATAAAAGAACCAACAAGAAGCTGAAATGAAAAAGATCATGGATCAATAAACCGTGACTTTTCCAAAAAATTAATACATAGACCCCAAATATTTTTTTCAAAATTATTTTGGTCCTAAATTAATTAATGTCATTTTCATGTTATAAAGTTTAGAATAATATTGTAACATGGAAACGAAAAATGAATTTTAGAAAATATTAAGGCATACGTATAATTGATTTGTTACCTGACATATGAACATTTGAATGCCACCTTCAAGGAAAAGCAACCTTCTTCCATATCTATCAGCAGCATAGATGGAGACAAAGGTCGAGAGCATGTTAACCACACCGGTTATCACAGCCGACATAAGAGCAGCATCATCTCCAAAACCGAGAGTCTTGAAGAGAACAGGTGCGTAGAACATAATGACATTGATTCCAGTGATTTGCTGGAAAAAGGGAATAGCCGAGCAAAAGATCAAAACTGGTCTGTATTTGCTCTTCATGATGTTCTTCCACGGATACTCAACTTTCTTAGCAGCGTCACAAGCATCACAGAGATCTTGAAACTCATGGTCAACGTTTTCAGCTCCTCTTATCTTCTTCAACATTTGTTTTGCTTCCTCGTGTTTGCCTCTCTCGAGCATCGAGTTAGGTGTATCCGGTAAAACGAATGATCCAATCACCATAACAACAGCTGTAACAGCTGCTAAACCTAAAGAAACCCTCCATCCATTTTTAGCCATCTTTGACGTTCCATAGTTGATCAGATTCGCCACAAGGATTCCAACCGTAATAGCCATCTGAAATCCGATGTTTAGGGCTCCTCTTATCTTCGCTGGAGCCATTTCCGAGAGGTAAACCGGAGTAGACTGCAAAAAGATAAGAGAACAAGATTTAGAAGTCAAAGTTAACCAAACACATAAATTCTTGATTAAGCCTTAAAACCACACAAAGAAGAAAATAAATGTATGTCTCACCTGGTTAGCAAATCCAACACCGACACCAAGCAAAAGTCTACCGATGATGAGCATAGCGACATTAATGGCAAAGGCGTTGATAAGTGCACCGATGAGGAAAGCAAGTCCACCGGTAAACATAGAGACTTTACGTCCATATTTCCTAGTGATAACCGAAGCCACAAAGGAAGCTACAAGAGCTGCGAGGTAGAGAGAAGAAGTAAACAGTTGGAGCTTTTGGTCATCAAATTTGCAGTAAGCCGTGTCTAGCTTTCCTTTCTCCACCTTCTGCCTCTCTACCTGAGGGAAGAACTTGGTAAGAAACTCGTCCATTGATGTCACTCCTCCTGAGATTCCAAGGTCATAACCGAAGAGGAGACCTCCCATGGCGGCAACAACACATGTGATGATAACGAAAGGTGTGACTCCTCCTTCATAACTTCTTCCACCACCACCTCCTTCAGATACAAAGGCTCCTCCTGCCATTTTATTATATTTTTTTATGGTTGTAGAAGGAGTCTTTGATCCTCTTGAGGCTTGATTCCAAAATGAGAATCACTTAGTGATCTTTTTAAATAGATAATGTAGTGACCCTATAATTAGAGACTGGATACAGGTGTTGCGTGTTGTGTTTGTGTAATAAATTTGATCTTATCTTTGTCAGGCTTGATGTACTTGCATTTTACATAGTTTTAGCACATCTTTTATGCATCTTTTGCATAGTTTTAGCTTCCATTTGTATCATATCTTGTTCCTTTTCTCTTCTTATGCATTCATGTTAGTTTTAGGTTGCATTTGCATACATATGCATGTTTGGCCCTTTGAAATAGGTCTTTTGGAGCATTCTGGAGCATATTGGACATGAGGAGCATGGAGGGACTTGGCGCATGGAAGCAGCTCAACTGGACACGCAAAGGAAGAAGGAGAAGCCATCTTGAAGACCAGCTCGACCGTCCACTCGACCAACCGGTCGAGTTCCTCAACTCGACCGGCCAAGCTTCAACTCGATCGAGCTGGGGAGTCAAAGTCAAACCCGAAAAATGTTGCTTCCCCCTTGACTTTCCTTTGACCTAAACCTAAAACCTCTTGTATTTAAAGGCTCTAAGCCACGAAAAAACCATTAAGCTTTAGATTATCTTTGTTTTAGCTTTTCTTTATTTTATTGTCTTTACCTTTTAGCAACCCTAATCCCATCTTTGTGTTCTTGAAGCTCTTGCTTCTTGAATCTTAGATCCTGGATTATTTGCTTTGTATTTGCACTTGCTTATTTCAATAAAATAAATATGTGTAGATTCCTTTGATTGCAATATCAAGAGAAGCCCAATATCAAGAGAAGCCTTGATACAAGGAGTTTTAAGAGCTAGATTGATTAAGTGTAGATTCCTTTGATTGCAAAACCCTGTCTTGAACCCTAATTCTCTCTTTATCTTGTTAAAGTCGTCACCTTTACTGCTTTTTCTCAACTCGACCCTAAACTCGATCGAGCTGGTACTCTGTCCCACTCGACTCGAGTCCTTGGTCGAGCTACTTGTTTACTGCTTTGTTTACTTTTATTGCACTGCATTTCATTTCTTAGGTTGTTAGTGTTACTTCAAATCTATAACTGCTTGCTTGACTTTCTGGTTGTTTCATATTCTCATAGAGTGACAAGTTTCCCATTTTGGATTGATAACCTCTTATACTTCAATGACTATGATGGTTAAGAGGAATTGTTGACTGTGTTTGTGTTTGCATCTTACCACCATCATTTACCACTGTTGCATTCCACTCATCTCATTTCATTCTTTTCACATCCACACACAAATCCTATCATCAATTTGGCGCCGTTGCCGATTTGGGAATATTTTTGTTGCATTTGAGTTTCAAACATACTTGGACGATCAAGCTATACCACCCCTGTTCTATTGTACTGCTGGGTTTTTGTCTCTTTTTGCAGGTGTATGCGAACTCGATCGAGTCGGTCTAACTGAAGACTTGGTCGAGCTAGACATTACAACGGGTAGAAAGAGGGTTCAGAGGTCACAGAGGGTACAAGAGGAACCTGAGGTGCTTGTTGCTGATACAATGGATGTACCAGAGGGGAATGGAAACCCTTTGGGACATGGACTCGGTCGAGCTAGGCAAACTCGACCGATTGGTCAAGGAGATGCTCCAAACCGCCACCAACAGAGACAAGGGATTGTTCCACCACCAGTGCAGAACCACAACTTTGAGATCAAGCTGGGAATGATCAACCTTGTCCAGAACAAGATGTTCCATGGATTGCCAAGTGAAGACCCCATTGACCACCTTGATGAGTTTGATAGGCTTTGTGATTTGACAAAGATCAATGGTGTCTCTGAAGATGCCATCAAGCTGAGACTCTTTCCTATGTCTCTAGCTGACAAAGCTCACCAATGGGAGAAGAGCTTGCCCCATGGCACAATCACCACTTGGGATGAATGCAAGAAGGCCTTTCTTGCTAAGTTTTTCTCCACCGGTCGCACAGCCAAGCTTAGAGGAGAGATATCCAGCTTCATCCAGCGAAACAATGAGACATTCGCAGAGGCTTGGGAGAGGTTCAAAGGCTACACAAGTCAGTGCCCACACCATGGATTCAACAATGAATCACTACTCTCCACTCTTTATAGAGGATGCTTGCCTAGGTATAGGGAGATGCTAGACACAGCTAGCAATGGGAACTTCCTCAACCAGGATGTAGATGATGGCTGGCAACTTGTGGAGAACATAGCTAACTCAAATGGAAGCTATGGAGAAGAGTATGATCGCACCAACCGGAGCTCGACCCACCACTCGATCGAGTCAGACGAAAAGTTGAGAAAAGATGTTAAGGCATTGAATGAGAAGTTGGATAAGCTGATCCTAGCTCAGTCCACAATGAAGAAAGTCAACTTTGTGTCTGCTGAGGAGATGGAACCAGTCCAAGAAGGGGAGGATACACAATTTGCTGAGGTATGCTACATGAGCAATGGGCAAGGAGGTTACAACAAAGGATACTATAACTACAAGTCCAACCCTGCCATGTCATACCGCAACACTGATGTTGCTAACCCTCAGGACCAAGTCTATCCTCAACAACAAGCAGCTCGATCGAGTCAAGGACCACAACATGGGTATGGTCAAAAGAACAATTACCAAGGACCACAAGGCACTTTCCCTGGACAACAAATGAATATCCCACCAGGCTTCCCCCACCAACCGCCCCAGCCTGCACCTTCACAAGAGAATGAGCTCAAGGCAATGCTAAAGCAACTACTTCAAGGGCAAGCTGATGGGGTAGTGGACACAAGCAAGAAGCTAGCTGAAATAAACTCTAAGATCGAGAACCTCAACACAAGGGTTTACTCTCTGGAGAATCATGCTTCTTCTGTTGCTGCTGCTACAAAGCAAGGACAACTACCTGGTAAAGCTATTCAGAACCCCAAGGAACAGTGCAAGGTCATCTTCACTCAAGAAGGACTTGTTGAAGAAGAGGATCAAGAAAGGGTCATTGAAGATTTTTGTTTACTGCTGAATGATGAAGAGATTGTTGCTGCTGAGGCTCCTGGAGTCCAGATTGATCAACCAGAAGTGCATGCACCTACTGTGGCCATTCACACTTCACCAGTTGAGCTCGCACGACAAGCTCGATCGGCAGCTCGATCGAGTCCAACTCTAGCTCGATCGAGTCCGACCTCTTCTGTCCGACAGCCTGTTTTGCTTGATCCTTATCAACCGGTTGCCGCTTCCTCGTCTCGCCTACTTAGTCAAGGTCACAAGGAAGTGATTCACAAGTTCAGAAGAGATCTCAGTGGGATTGGAATTGAGTTGCCTCTATGGATAGCATGAGTGAGGCATTTGATCAAATGCAAATGGTCAAGGATGTTCTAGCCAACAGTGATAAAGTTTCAGAGGTCCTACAAGAGTCTACTCATCAGTTCAACCTGCTTACTTCACCCACCTTCCTACCAAAGGTCAAGGATCAAGGGAAATTCACTCTCCCTTGCACACTTGGGCATCTTGAGATTGACAATGCCTTAGTGGATTCTGGAGCAAGCATCAATCTGATCTCTCTCTCCATGGCAGAGAAGCTAGGCATAGCTGGAGCCTTGCAGCGCCCTACTACTTCAATCATGTTTGGAGATGCAACTTCTAAGTCTCCTCTTGGAGTGTTCAAGAACTATCACTTGAAAATTGGAGAATGCATCATCCAAACTGATCTCACTGTGATGGAAATGGAAGAAGAGAAGGATTTGCCTTGTTATTGGGAACCCCTTTCCTTAGTACAGTTGGCGCTTCAATAGACTTTCACAAGCAAGAAGTGATCCTTCACAAGGTGAATAGTTTGGTGTCATATCGCTTGCAGCCTAGAGGTTCAGACTTTTGTGCCACAATTGACAGTACCAATCTCAGTTCTAAGAGTCATGGAGCTACAAAGGTTGTGAAGGAAAGGGTTGACAAGGAACCAAGAGTTGGGAAGGATAAGGATGAGAGAGGACCAAGGATTGAGAAGCCACGTCTTGAGAGGGCTAGAGTTGAGAAACCACGATCTGATAGGCCAAGAGCTGAGCGACTTGTTCAAGCCCCTTGTGTGCTTGATGAAGAGAGCCTTCAAGCTTTGTTTGATGAGCCACTAGGAAGGGCTCTAAAAGAAGGGGAGGATGCAGCCTCTAAGGCAAGACCAGGAGATAAAAGAAAGGATCCACCAGCTCAGGCCCCTTCAGTCAAGCCATCTCAGCTCACAATGACTTTGTTCCCCACCAAGTTTGAAAATGGGAAGATTGAGTACAAGATAAGGTACAAGGGGAGATCAAGGCCATTCTCTAGAGCCAAGGCCTTGGTGACTTCAGAACAGTCCAGGGACCCAACCAAGCTAAAGGAGCTTCTGTCTCAAGTCCTCACTATCACCCTTGATGGTGGGACTAGCTCAACCAATGCCTAAGAAGGTAAAGGTCAAGCTATGGGACCTTAAACAAGCTCACTTGGGAGGAAGTCCCATGTTTATCCTTGTACATACTCTATTTATGCAATTTCTATCTATCTTTATGTTTTTAACCTTTCAATAAGTTAAGTTTAGGTGTCAAGGAGCCAGCTCGACCCACAGCTCGATCGAGCTAGAAACCAGGGCAACTCGATCGAGTTCCTCAACTCGACCAAGGTAAGTTTTTGAATTTCAAATTCATAACCGTTTTCTTGGTCAAGGGAGTGGGTCCCACAAGCTGATTTTGGTCCCCCACTACCCTAATTGATCAGAGAATCCCTAGTTTCTTGTTCCCTCTTTATTTCATCTTTTAATCTCAACCACACATCTCAAACAACTCTCTTCCCCATAACTCGATCGAACCCACTTCCTCTCTCCCACACTCTAAATTTCTGAAACTCATCCATCTCTCTCTTCACCACAAGAAATCGATTTCAATCTTTCTCTCTTAAGTTTTTGCGATTTCATTGTTCTCTCTTGTTTTGCTTAGTTTTGTTTACTGCTCTTCAATTCCATCATTCAAGCAAGGTATGAACCCTAAAACCCTTATTCCTCCATCTCGATTCCTTTTGCTTGTTTCTCTTGATTTTTGATTGCATGTGTCCCTTGTGGACTTGTTATTGAGTAATTGCTTTCATATTTCGCTCTGCCTGTAACTTGTTAGTTTTGCTTCACCTCACCTCTGTTTTGCCTTTAAACTTGTTGCATGTGCTTGAAATTGAATTTGAGTTTGGTAATGGTTAAGGTTGCTATGTTTTCACTAGAATTGCTTATTGTTCCATTTACTAGTTGTTCTTGGTTCAATTTGATTGATTAGCATCCTTTCCAGCTCTTAATACTTGAATTAGGTTTGGTTATACTCTGTTTTCACCTAACTCGATCGAGTTTGTCACTCGAGTTTTTTGACTCGATCGAGCTGAGTGTCGAGTTGACCAAACCGATCATTACAACTCTAATTCTTTGAATTTTGATGCATTTCAGGACCAATCTAAGATGTTGAGAGGTGAAGGAAGCAAGCAGCGTTCACAAGGAGGAGATGATAAGAGGAGCAAGGAGGATACTCAAAACACAAACCAAGGAGGACATAGAAGAGGTTGAGAGGGTGAGGGAAGAAAGGAGAACCAAAAGAAGGAATGATCCTCTCAGCAGTGAGAGCGAAGCAAGGAGAGTTTGAAATTGGAGTGAACATCCCAATGAGGAGAATGATGACTCCCAAGTGAAGAAGAGGGTGAAGAGATCAATCAAGAGATTGAGGAGAGTGAGCATGAGGGCAATGAGAATGTGCCCATGGAAGAGGAGGAGTCAAGGAAGAAGAGGATGAGCTCCCCATGTACCAAGAGCACTATGATGCTCTCTTCTCCATGGACTTCATGGAGACCAAGTACCCACATGTTGACACATGAAGGCCCTTGGAATCTTTGAAGATGTGGAGTTGGTCCTCAAGAACATGCACTTGGCCAAGTCTTCTCTACCACATGGAATCCTACAAGGAGCTCACTTGCGAGTTCTAGCTTCAATGAGGTACCACATGTATGAGAGAAGATAGAGCTGATTTGGACCAAGGATTGGGATGGATCACGTTCTTGGCTAAGGGAGAGAAGAGAATGGTGACCTTTAGGCAGCTGGAGATCTTGTTTGGGTTCAACTATGGAGAGGGAACCAAGTGGAACTTCAAGGAAAAGGAACTCCAAAGGGTTTGGGCTACAATCGCTGATGGAGTGTACTCTTCCTCAAGGTCCAAGGCAGCTCAGATCAGGAGCCCAGTCTTGAGATATGTGCACAAGGCACTTGCCAACACCTTCTTTGCAAGGAAGGCACCGGGACAATCAACGAGGGGGAACTCAAGTTTCTTGACATGGGAATCAAGCCCCTTCTCTCACGCACAAGCGATGGCAAGAGGATCAAGGGGAGATAGGTCTGACACAGGGAACTTGATGCCTTTCCTTGACCACTCCTCACCTACAAGATCACAGCTTACAACACTAGGCACCAAAGAGGAAGAAAGCTTAGTGTTGGAGGGCTCATCACACCTATCTTGTGTGCTGCTGGAGTAAACCCAACTGATAGGAGAGCTACTGAACCAGGTTGGATGGACATCAAGTTTTGCAAGACCAACCTCCTCATTGAGCACAAGGAGTTGGATGGGAGGTTCCAATTCAAGTTCACACATCCATTGGTTGGACCCTCCAAGCTTTCTCCTGCCTAACCCAGAGCTCACCACAGTTGTAAGGGGTGAGAACATTGATTCAGACCCCCTGTGTACACATTAGTTGGGCATGAGGATGATTGCGAGAAGAGGAGCCTGAGCTCGATCGAGCTGAGTCTCGAGCTGATCGAGCTGAGGATCGAGCTGAATATCAGGTCCAGGGAGCGCTGATTGGGTGAGCCTGAGTGCTACTACTTTGAGGAGTATGAGGCTCCAAGGATGAACCCCTCTGTTGTGGCTGCCACAAGAGGATTGGACTTCTCCAAAAGTTCAACAAATGGCAAGGGAAAGCCATGAGAAGATGCAAAAGTCCATGGACAAGATGGTGAGCAAGATCAAAAGTTTGGAGAAGAAGGTTTCTGGTTCTTCAAGCAAGAAGAAGTCCAAGGCCCCCACATTCCCTAGGAGTAGGTCACTCCTCACCACCCAAAGGAGGCTCCCTGCCCAAGAGCCTCACAGAGCCTCTTCTTTCGAGCCAAGAGAAGGAGAGACAACACGCAGAGAAGGAGGAAGAGTTCCAAGGCCAGACGCTCCAGCTCGACCACCGGACTCGATCGAGTCCAAACAGAGGAAACTCAACTCGATCGAGCTGAGGGTCGAGTTGACCTGAGGAGCCCCTGTTTGAGAACCCTGGGATTCGAGTACGATTCAACCCAGTACCAGGACTTCTCTCAGACCGCTGGACTCCCTACAACCGCTTCGAGCGAGCACAACTCCACCAAGGCCAAGGAAGCCACACCCACTTTGAAGATGAAGAAGAAGAGGAGAGGAGCCACAAGCTCGATCGAGTGAGCCGAACCCAGTTGAGTGGAGCGCTCCTGATGGCCGTCTCCCATCTCCAGACCACGACCTAGCCTCCCAGTTCTTTGGGGGGCACTGAGGTATCCAAACACCAACCCTTGTATATACCATTTCATATTTTCTTGCTTTGTTCTTGTTTTTTCTTGGTTTTGCCCTCTTGAATCTTTCACTAAATTTTTCTCACACAAGGGACTGTGTGATTTAAGTTTGGGGGAGGGTTCAAGAGATGATTTAACCTTGTTTTCTTTGTTCTTAGTTTTTCATTTATCTTTTGCATAGAAAAACCAAAAAAATCATAAAATTTTCAAAAAATCCAAAAATATTTTCATCTTTTTGCATTCATATTTGTTAGACTTGTTTAGGATTGCATTTTTCACTTGCATTGTTGATTTGACTTTGAAAACTTGTCCATCTTTTGCGATTTCTTGAGTGCCCTGTTTTTAGATTCTTTTGTGCATTAGGGTGAGATTGATTGAGCAGCAAGAACCATGTTTATCTTGATCATATCACTGCATGCACATCTCATTCAACCATTGCTGTGATTTGATGCATTTCCCTATCTATTTGAACCATAACTTGATCTTTAATTACCAATGCTTGCATTTGATTTCAACTCATGGCTACCACATACATATCTGGACATTCTTTACCATTTTCATATCCCTTTGCTTGTCCAGATAGCTGATCTCTATCTTTGAGACAGTTACCACACCTTAAACCTAAGCCTTTTCATTTCAAACCCCTTATTATCTCTTGTGCGAATGTGAGAACCTTTCTTGGCTTTGCTTAGCATAAGGTGTTGTGTTTAAACCGGCAGGGGCAGTAGTTCTAGTTGTCTAGTTCTCTTGGGATTGTTTTCAGGCTAAGTTTGGGGGTGCCAACTCGAGCTCGATCGAGTTGGGTGTAAAAACCAGAAAAGTGGTAAAAATTGGGAAAAACCCAAAGGAAAAAGAGTTTGGTTAAGTCCAGGGAGTTGGCAGTGTTAAAAAGGGTCTAGTAAAGGTTTGGGAAGTTAAAAAAGGAAAGTAAAAAGGGTTCTAAGTAGAATGAAAAGAAGGCAAAGCCTCAAGTGTCAAAAAGGAAAGAAAAGTTCCCTAAGTGTTTAGAAAATCCCAAACCGCTAGATGTTACCTCAAGAAGCCTCTCCCTAGGAAGTTCTTAAAAGAAAAGTGAGCAAAGCTCCTCAGTTTCAAAGGCGAAATGCCAAAAAGGGTAGTTAGGATTTTGTTCTAAAAAGCTCTAAGTGTTGAACTCGATCGAGTTAGGATTAGGCGGCTCGAGCTGCTGTTCTTGCATCATCTTTGGTTCTAACACTTAGCCTTCTGCCAAAGCAAAGCCACTTTCTTGAGAGATCCCTGTTACTAAACCACCATACAAAAGAGACCCTCTTTGTCTCTTAACCCATAAACCCTTGAAACCAAATGAGTTGATTGATCTTGCATGTTTTTGGTTCACTGTTTTTGCTTAATGAATGTTAAAGGGATTTGCTGATTTGAATGCATTGTTTGAGTGACTGTGAAGTGGGATTGATGTTGATAAGCATGGTTAAATCTTAATGAATATCTCTCACCTTGTTGCATTCTAGAATCTCTAAGTTGGACATTTAGCAAATCGCTTTTGAGGACATGTTTTTAAGTGTTGAATCAGCTATTTTCAAACCTCATCTCTTTCTTGTTCTATTTGTTTGCTTGAGGGCAAGCAAAGTTCAAGTTTGGGGGTGTTGATGTACTTGCATTTTACATAGTTTTAGCACATCTTTTATGCATCTTTTGCATAGTTTTAGCTTCCATTTGCATCATATCTTGTTCCTTTTCTCTTCTTATGCATTCATGTTAGTTTTAGGTTGCATTTGCATACATATGCATGTTTGGTCCTTTGAAATAGGTCTTTTGGAGCATTCTGGAGCATATGGGACATGAGGAGCATGGAGGGACTTGGCACATGGAAGCAGCTCAACTGGATACGCAAAGGAAGAAGGGAGAAGCCATCTTGAAGACCAGCTCGACCGTCCACTCGACCAACCGGTCGAGTTCCTCAACTCGACCGGCCAAGCTTCAACTCGATCGAGCTGGAAGTCAAAGTCAAACCCGAAAAATGTTGCTTCCCCCTTGACTTTCCTTTGACCCTAAACCTAATCCTCTTGTATTTAAAGGCTCTAAGCCACGAAAAAACCACCAAGCTTTAGATTATTTTGTTTTAGTTTCTTTAATTTATTGTCTTTACTTTTTAGAATCTAATCCCATCTTTGTGTTCTTGAAGCTCTTGCTTCTTGAATCCTAGATCCTGGATAATCTCTTTGTATTTGCACTTGCTTATTTCAATAAAAGTTGTTTAATTTCATCTCCTCTTTCTTATGATGTCTTTTATTGCATTTGCTTGTGTTTACATTCATGTGTAGTGAGTAGTTACCCATTAGGGTTTGAGATGGGATAGATTAGAGGTTTCATATGCTTAATCCTTCTAGCTTATGGTCTTAATCTAGATTCTCTCTCTTTTGGATAGATCTTAAGGCTACATGACCACTACCCCTGGCTTGTAAGTCCTTAGGCGATTCCCCACACGGAAGTGATGGCATTCGCTGGAAAAGATCCACTAAGAGCTCCAATATCTCTTGCTCTAGACAATAGAGGTCTAAGGGGTTGGATGGATTAGTTTGGGCAATGATCCTATGGCCTCCAAGGTTTGATTCTCACTGGCTAACCCCCTGTTTCTGAGATCATTCCTTGGTTGATAGCCTCACCTTGGGAAAGGGTTGGCTAGGCATTGAGAAGCCCAATATCAAGAGAAGCCTTGATACAAGGAGTTTTAAGAGCTAGATTGATTAAGTGTAGATTCCTTTGATTGCAAAACCCTGTCTTGAACCCTAATTCTCTCTTTATCTTGTTAAAGTCGTCACCTTTAGCTTTTTGTCTCAACTCGTCCCTAAACTCGATCGAGCTGGTACTCTGTTCCACTCGACTCGAGTCCTTGGTCGAGCTACTTCACTGCTTTGTTTACTTTTATTGCACTGCATTTCATTTTTAGGTTGTTAGTGTTACTTCAAATCTATACTGCTTGCTTGACTTTCTGGTTGTTTCATATTCTCATAGAGTGACAAGTTTCCCATTTTGGATTGATAACCTCTTATACTTCAATGACTATGATGGTTAAGAGGAATTGTTGACTGTGTTTGTGTTTGCATCTTACCACCATCATTACCACTGATTGCATTCCACTCATCTCATTTCATATCTTTTCACATCCACACACAAATCTTATCATCAAGGCTTTAGAATTAGGATTAGTGAAGTAGTTAACCTAGGATTAGACCCTAAGTTTTCATGGAGTTTTTCAGTGTTTGACTGTTTGTTAGACTGTTTCTTTTCATTTTCACATAAAAGATCAAATAAGATTCTTTATCTTTACAGCTTTTTGTTTCTTCTATTTTAGACTAACATACTCAAAAATAGAAATTGTCATGTAGCAAATTCACAATGATCATGACATCAGAATAACTGTTTGTTCTAATGTCGTTATCACGTTATTATCCAGATTCAAACCCATATGATATACGTTTGACCATTTTTTTCTCAGTGAAAAATTTCGATTTTGTGTTGGTGACATTGATTCCATCAAAATGTGAAGGTAGTAATAATTATCACGGTTAGTTTTGGTCTGGAGTTAATTAATTTAACTTGGTTCATTTGAGCACATTAGTGGTTGTATCTTTTCAACTTTCTTTCGGAGATATTAATCGATCCAACACAAATTGTTGTATCGAAGAGGTACTTCAGATGATTGAAATAAAATGGTAACTCTTTTGGATGAAAACTGAAATATCTACTGACGAGTGATGACTATCCATCCTTTTGTCTTGCTTAAAGCATTTAAACTCTTTTTCTCAGATAAAGATTCACAGAAATGTTAAATAAGACACAAAAACATAGAAAAAATGATTTAACTTTTTGATATATATTTTTTATTTGCTTGACTTTCTTTAGGGCCAAATAATAATTACAATTACTTTCTTTGATCCTCTTGAGGCATAATTCCAAAATGGGAATCACTTTGTGATCTTTTTAAATAGATAATGTAGTACTGACCCTATAATTAGAGACTGTATATAGGTGTTGCGTGTTGTGTTCTGTAAATTTGTGGTGACCCTATATCCAGTCTTATCTTTGTTTGGCTTAGGATTAGGATTGGTGAAGTAGTTAGCTTAGGATTAGACCCCAAGTTTCATAGAGTTTTTTCAGTGTTATAACATTCTTTATCTGTACAGCTTTTTGTTTCTTCTATTTTAGACTAACATACCCAAAAATAGAATCTTGTCATGTAGCAAATTTGCAATTATCATGACAAATACAATAACTGTTTGTACTAATGTCGTTATTACGTTCTTATCCATATTCAAACCCATATGATATACGTTTGACCATTTTTATTTCTCAGTGAAAATTTTCGATTTTGTGTTGGTGAAATTGATTTGCCATCAAAATGTGAAGGTAATAATAAGTATCACGGTTAGGCTTGGTTCATTAGTGTTGTATCTTCTTTAACTTTTTTAGGAGATATCACTTTCTCTAGATATATAGTCATATTTAACATCTAAACGATCCAACAAAAATATGTTGTAACGAAGAGGTACTTCAGATGATTGAAATAAAATGGTAACTCTTTTGGATGATAACTGAATTATCTACTGATGATTGATGACTATCCATCCTTTTGTCTTGCATAAAGCATTTAAACTCTTTTTCACATATAAAGATTCACAGAAATGTTAAGTAAGACACAATAAAATGATTTCACTTTTTGAAATTTTTTTATTTTCTTGACTTTCTTTAGGGCCAAATTACAATTGCATCAAAGAAACATTGAATAAGAAAAGAAGAAAGAAGAAACTAAACAAAAAGCTAAATCTCTGCATGAAAAACAGAGCAGCTATCTTTCAGGACTAAACACTTCTTTTTTTTTTGTGTACCATCCAATCTTATTTCATCCTATCAATCATAACCTTTCTCTTTTCAAATTTTCTCACACTATCTTTTTGCCCAAAGAAAAACTTGATCCATCATCATACAGTCTTGTGTGTCATCTCAGCAGCACCAATACCAACAGCTTCATCAGGTATAAACCTTCCCCAGAACCAATGTGCTTTCCACACTCTGTTCATCTCTTCGATCGGCACATTCTTCGTCTCAGGCAACAACATGTAGATGAATATCGTCATTATGAAGACAAACACCGCAAAGAAGAAGAAGAGTCCGAATTTCATATGACAAAGCATAGTGAGGAAGAGCTGAGCCACAAGGAATGTGAAGAACATGTTGACCGCCACGTTTATGGCTTGAGCTGCTGATCGGATCTCTAATGGAGATATCTCACTAGGAACCAGCCATCCCAACGGTCCCCATGACCATGCAAAACCAGCTACATAGATACAAATCAACGCCACGATCAAATTAGCATCTGTTTTCCCTATGTTCCCTGTTCCAGCCACTCCAAATTTGACTCCAATCATGACTCCAATAGCGATCTGCAACACACATCAATGTTTTTAGAGAATCCGTGTTGGTCAAGTTAGTGTGAAGTAGGGTTAGGGCTTTTAGATTTTTGTGTTTACCTGAGAGATAAGCATCTGGATACCTCCCTGGAGGAACAAGACTCTTCTTCCAAACCTATCCACTGTGAAAACAGAGACGAAGGTACACAAGAGCTCGATAATACCCGTAACCATAGCGGACAAGAGCGCGGCTTTGCTACCGAACCCTAGGGTTTGGAACAGAACGGGTGCGTAAAATGTGATGACATTGATTCCGGTAAGCTGCTGGAAGAAAGGAATGAAGCAAGTCATGATCAACTGTGGTCTGTAACGAGGAAGCAAGATGTTCTTCCATGGATGTTTCACTTGCTTGGACTCCTCACTCGCATCAACGAGATCTTGAAACTCTTCGTCGACTTCACTCGTTCCTCGGATCGATTGAAGCATTTCTTTCGCCTCTTCGGTGAAGCCACGTTCGATGAGCGAGTTCGGAGTGTCGGGGAGGATCACAGCTCCGATCATGATCATCACTGCAGGGACACAAGCTAGTCCGAGAGAGATTCTCCATCCGATGTTTCCTTTCATCTGTGCGGTGAAGTAGTTGATGATGGTTGCAACCACAATACCGAATATAATGGCTACTTGAAACCCATTGTTGAACGCTCCTCTCAGATTCGGAGGGGCCATTTCCGAAAGATAAACCGGAACAGACTGAAACCAAAACCAAAATTAGCATTAGCTTAGACTCCATTGTTGCTTCTTCATCAAGTTACTTTTAACCTAGGAGGAAAAAAGAAAACGTTTGAAGAACTTACTTGATTGGCGAATCCGACACCGAAACCGAGAAGAATACGACCGATGAGAAGCATGGCGATGTTTTGGGCGAAGCCGTTGAAAGCAGAGCCGATGAAGAAGGTGAAACCACCGAGGAACATGGACCATTTCCTCCCGAAAACTCGGGTAATGGTGGAGGCGAAGAGGGAAGAGACCAGAGCCGCTACGTAGAGAGAAGAAGTGAAGAGAGTGAGAAGCTGACTATCAAATCGACAGTACTCGTTCTCGTGTGCGCTCTTCATCTTCTTGTGCACGTAAGGGAAAAACTTTTCCAAGAACGGCTCCATTGAGGTTACTCCTCCTGCAAGCAATTGTAAGAAACCACAAATTACTCACTGGATACATTTCTTAGATCAAAGAAGAAGACATGAATCTGAGAAAGAAGAAAAACCTGAGATTCCGAGATCGTATCCGAAGATGAGACCACCAAAAGCACCGATGAAACATGTTACGAACACTTTCGGTGTCAATTTGTAATTGTAGTTCCGAACCCCCGGCGTTTGACTGACGAACCCTCCGGCCATTTCTCTGATCTGAACCCAAAAGGAAATAAAAGTTTATTTTTGCTAAAACGACGTCGTGGGGAGTTTCGGTTTTGACTTCTCTGTTTCAGACAGAGGAACAAAAAGAGCAGATCTTGTTCTTCGTCTTCTTCTTCTTGGTGTTGTGTTTGTTTCTCTCAGATAATTTATTATCTGGATAGATCTGATACCGAGACTAGAGAAAGGGATTAAGAATCGAAAATAAAAGGTAAGAAGAGATTTGATTTGAAAATGGACAATGAGTAGAGTTGAAATTTATAGGATTCAAAGTAACTGTCGGCTGACTTTTTGGTTTTGGGTAAGGAAATAAGAAGAACAGCTGTCTCGTTCCACCACTTGCCTATTCCTCTGGATCTTATCTCCTTCCATAAATCTCGTGTCTTTTTTTAGTTTCTCTCGTCTTAAAACACAAGATGTGCTTTGTCCGAAATATTTTTAATTCAACTTTAGGACAAGTTACGAATTTTACGATGCAAATTATACAAAAAAATTCCTTAATTTAAAATAGTCACTCTCTTCACCTTGTACTAGAACTACAACGATTTTCTCTAATTTGCTTTTCTCTCGTCACTTTTTTCAAAAAGTTTTATCAGATATTTTTAATTTGATTTTGTGGTACTAGAATGAGTAAACGCCCGCAAAACTCGGTCAATAGACAGGAAAGACCGCTACTATTTTTCTATATTTCAGATAAGATTTTATTTCTTTTTATATAACCAATTTCCTTGTGTCATTAATATGAGATAAGATCCGAATTCTTTTCCTTTTGAAAATACATACACAGTTTCCATTTTCCATCTAAGAAAAGTATATTTTAGTTATAAAGGATCATATGAAACTAAAAAGGTAAAAAAGTGATACGGATTTTTCAATCTCTATCCAAAATTTGAGGTCATTTTGATACCTAAATAACCTTTTGAATCCGTGACAGCGTTTCCATTCACATGCATGGATCTAACTGAATGTAAAGTTTTTATATTATCCACTTAATGGGACAAACTTAGTTTTTTAAAAGAAAAATGTATATCGTTGACCAAAAAAGAAAAGAAAAATGTATATTCTTCATTTCTTATAGAGCATATTGTACGTCAAATTGTTAATAAGATAACATTTATGTGTCAGAGGATATTCATACAATCTTATTAAAACAGTTGTACGTACCTGTTGGCTATTGATTACGATGGGGAAGAAAAGTTGACTATCACTCTATATACTAATATGTATACATATATACGTATAAAAGTTGTTTCGTACATTAACGTAGTTTCATACTATTATTCGTCGTCTTCTGTTGCTCTCTATACTTAAGTTGTTTACATTGGAAAAGTCAAAAGTAGCGTTACATTATTTTCATGATGTTCCCACAAATTTCGTCATATTTATGTTCATAATAATGCAATATCGTAGTTATGCACATAAGGCTTAAATTTCTTTTTTTCCTGTAAGGTTATGTTTGCAGTTTGCCAGCATATAGTAAAACTGTAAAAAGTGTATGGACTCAGAACCGGTTTGAACTAATTGAAGCTCTAAACAAATTTTAAACGTTGGAACCCTCTTTCTAGTCCCAAAATTTTATATACTTTGGGAAAGTTGCGGGTTTACTTCTTCTCAAGGCTGTGTTGACGTATATAAAAATCCTTAAAATAATCTGACCTCCAAGAACATACATCAGTCAATTTTAAACATCATCAATAAAGTTTTAGCTAATGCAATAACTTTGATGGATGCAAATATTTGCAATTGCACAAGCAGAATAAGAGAAGCAGATTATATTGACTCTTCGGTTCGCAATTGTCATCACGTACTCGATACTGAATTTGGACCAATCGCAATCTTTTTAGTCATTTATGACCAGCAACTTGATACTCGGTTCCATCTTTGATACTTATTTGATACTATTGTACACTATTGTAAAGCCACTATTGTCTACATGTAGATAGGAAATCTAAACGTTGCTGCAAATTTTGTATAGTTGAACAAGACAACTAGGAGATTCGATCACATGGGTAAAGCCAACTTGGCTTTAAGATTAATTTTGTATTCTTTCTGAAAAGAATCAAACAAAATAGGACAACAAAACATTAAGAGGAAGAACAAATTAGAAAAGGGCAGGACAATTAAACATTCGTTATTCGTACCTGTACACCATATAACGGAAAAAGAATATATAACATGGGGGTTAATTTCTTGTTCTTGTTTTGGTGTTAGTGAATAGTGATCATTAATTATCGGTTACTAACAATAATTCAAACATCCAAGAAACACATACGATCCACCAGTTTATTTATAAGGACCTGTATATCTAGTTTTGAAGATAGCAAACTCGGTTACAAAACACAAACAAGTCCGAATTAATGAACTAAATGGTACATCAATTTTCATATATACAAAATATTAATGTACGACTTAAAAGTGAATTTACTTATTATTTTCAATTATCCGGTTCCAGATTTTTTTAATTAAGCCAGTGGTTTCTTATCCTAGCATGAACGTCATTTTTTCGTTGAAAATACTTTTTTTTTTCCGAATATGTTGATCATATCACATGTGCATAGCAATCGCGCACCAAAAACAACCGACTGTTTTGTGGATTCTCAAATTAACGTCGCTCAAACCATCCCACAGGTAATATTTCTGAATCCTTTTCCTGACCAGTTTCTAAAGTTGACCGTTGACAAGCAAATGCTCCCAAAAACCAACAATACAAATTTCTTCGAAAACATCTCAATCCAGATAAATAGAGAAGCCGAAGTCGGTAAATTCACCCAGAAATCATATATACTCAAACACATCCAATCCTTCCTTCTTTCTTTCTTTCTTAATTTGCCAACAATGTACAGCCATAGCTCAATTAGTTAACATATTATTCACCAAATGATACTTTTTACTCTTTTACGGTTTTACTTAATATTTTAGAAGAAAACGACGACGCATGGACCCCGACAAAGATTCATTTAACCGACAATACATGAAATGCTTACACGACGACGAGAAATACACCCGTGGATCGTAGGCGGTGCATCTCATCATATACTTCGAAAAGAAGAATTATCCAAACCAACCTCTCTCTTCATATATATATATATACACACTGACACACATACCGATCATCGAGCTATCATTTCGTTAACGGAGAACAAAAAAAAAAGGAGAGAACCATGTCGTCGTCTAGGGAGCTACAGTATTTGGAGTACACATACAGGAACAACCGTCCCACGACGGGTCTCCTCAACTCCATCTTCATGACCACCGTCAACACCGCCGCTCGTTCTCTCGTCTCCGTTGCTTCCACCGCCTCCACACCAGAGCTGGCTTCTAGGCGGTGGTCAGCTTCCGACCACCTCAGGTTCATGTCTATGATGATGACGTGGCTCACTCTTTGGGTCCTTAGGGTTTTGTTGGACTATCTTCCTCTTCCTCTCATCTCTTCTTCTTCTTCTTCTTATTCTCCCTTTAGTTTTGCTTCGGGTCTTCTTACGGCAGCGGCAGAGAACGCGTTGGTCCCGAAGGTTTCAGCTTCCTCCTCCTCGACGTCGACGGCGTTAGTGAAGTACTCACCGTCGCCGGATTTGGGTATGATGATTTGTGATGGCGTTGATGAGCCTTCCGTTAACTCTCTCGGCAGAGCACTTTGTCACGTAAGTTTTCTAATTAATCTAATAATATTTCATTATTTTGGGATTTTAGTGTTAATTTACGTTAACGTTTTCAATTATATATACTGGATTTTAACATTTTCACTTATTGGGTTGGGTCGGGTCGTCCAACGAAGACGCGATGATTTGATGTAAAACTTGTGTGTTCTTGCTTTGGTTATTTTTGTATCTCGACCTTAATTGAAATGATATATTTTCTCTATAGATAAGACATATGTTGTGCCTTTCTATTTTTGAACACTCCACGAGGCGCCTAACGTGGACTTTTATCCTCTGTAATTTTCACGTGGACAACATGCGTAGTGCCACGTCATACGTGAAAAAAACAAAACTCGGGTGGTTTGTCTTTGTTTACTTTCTCTAACGTCAAGTGATGTTCGTTACTCATGGTTTTGGTTTGCAAGTTTATACATCTTTAATCAACATGTGTCTACGAGTACAGGTACTAGCGCTCATGAACGAGATTCCAATAACATCAAGAAAATACCAATTTGCCTTGGGAATGGCTGAGAAGATCATGGAAGACAACGCTCAGAGTGGCAACATGGATCTACTCGACGTCAATCGAGCGGCCCTTGCGTCCTCCTTTGCACGAACCACGGCGCGTTTGCAGGAGTCTTTGAAGCGCTGCCAAACCATAGATGAGCCCTGCTCATTGAGCAGTCTGCCGCTGCGTGTGGTCAGCGCCCTCCCGCTAGGAGGCTATGTCGCCTCGTACGTGAAAGGGCTGAGCACTTGCATCAACACCGTTAGGTCCTTGGCGGATATGACTGGTAACTTACTATCGCAGAGTCGGAGGAGGGAGTCTACGGCCGTGAGAGCCGGCGGTCCTCCGGAAAATGAGGTTGAGCTGGCGGTCGAGAAGCTGGCAGAAGAGCTGTTGTGGATGACGGAGAAGCTTAGGCGTTACGATGCCGTGGACGAAGGGATAAAGCGGTGGAGCTATGCTTCAGGTTTAGCTTCCTTGTCACTCACGGCTGCGCCAAGGGTTCAAGGCCTCATGGTTAAGATTTCAGGTAAGTGTATTGGCCTCATGAGGATCAGTTTATATACTCACTGATCAGGTTTCTTCTCACAGTCCCTGTAATGTTTTACAGCGCTCTTGATTGGAGAGTTAGCAAGAGACGGCACACAAGTTCCGGGACAAGTGAAGTTTAGGCTCCTTGCAAACTGGCTACCGCTGTTTAGCCACGCGAGGAACGGGCTAGCGTTTCCGGTGCTGACGGGTTACGAGAGGGTTGAGGTGGAACGAGCCATAGACAAAGCCATCTCGACTCTGCCTGCGTTGGACCAAGAAATCTTACTCACAAACTGGCTCCAAGACTTCTCAGTCTCGGCCTCTGAGTGGCCTAACCTCACCCCAACGTACGATCGTTGGTGCCAATCCACTCGCCAACTTTTCATGTAGACGACCAATACTGTAGTCGTTTGTGTTCATGTTCCAATGAGAACAACAAAACATGGGATGCGTGTCGAATAGCTTGTGTGTCCAAACATTCATCTTAGGAAATAATACTACTAGTCTCGATCTAGATCTGAATCCAAAGTTCTGGCTTAGATGTTCTTTTAATGCATCGTAGTTTTACACATGAACATCAACGAAATGACCACTTACTATATGAGCTTTAGCTATATTCCAAAATCGCAAATACGGAAGCAGATGGATGCAGAAACTGATGTTTAAGATCTTAAGACAAGCTTTGAGAAAGTTCAAATCTGTGAGATTATTCAAAGGATCCAAAGAAATCTGATAATCGTTTTGTTTATAAGAAAGTGTACAAACAGACAAGCTAAGCTGTTTTGGATTGTTCTTTTCTCCTTTGCTCTCTCATTAGGTTCCAGCGGAGGAAGTTGAAACTTCTGCACTGCATACAGGGCAAACCTGCAGAATATTGTGACATTTCCTTCAGTTTCTACAAATGATAAGAGAGAACAACAATCCAATTTCTACAACTCTGCATGTTTGTAAGCTAACAAATAACTATTGACCATAAACTTCCATAACAGATCATCGCAGTGGAACTATCAGGTGCTGTGGCGGTTCTCTAATATAACATTTCTATTATTATCAAAAAGGGTATGCGTCCGCAGAGAAATACAGATTACATACACTCTTCCTATATTATTTCAGAAATACAGAGAAATACAGGTTTGATAAGGCTAACTAGAACAACTATATTATTTTAGATTCTCTAACTGGGGTTCTCTTTATAAGAATACCGTACCTTGTTTATCTTCAACCAGTTATTTATGCACTCCGAGTGGTAAGAATGTTTGCATTGTAGCAGTATCAAATCATCGTCATCCTCATAATCCAAACGACATATAACACACCTGCATCAGGCATCGGAAATGTTAATAACTAAAAGCATAAAATTATCAATGGTTTACTTAATTGGTAACAGAAAGAAAAAGCATTACGACTCATTGGTTCCGTTCTGATTGTCTCCCTCTTTATATCTTTTTGAAGGCAAAGATGCAATTGTATCAGCAGACAATCCTCTACTCTCGGTTCCCACAAATTCGCCCAGAGCAAGCAGCTCCTGCCAACATTAGATAACATGAAGGTATAACATTAGATAGCGCAAGCATACCAAAATATCATACTGAATTTGGATACACATGACGGATCTTTTCACTACATTCCAACATTTTTGACAATTGTATTCACAATCATGAGATCTCGAAAGAGAGAAAGGATCCAAAAAGCATAGAATACCACAAATGTTTTCATACCTCATACGAAAGCTCATCAGGATCCATCTCATCCCAGGCATCCTGCAGAAATAAAGAATACATAACGTGAGTGGAAGCAGATTCAAAACACATCAAAGAAGCCTTACTTTACATGATACTCTACCCTGAAATTCTAATTATTAGTTGATCCTTTTTTTCACAAAATTGACCAGACTATCTAACTTCAGTCCACAAGGTGCGAGCATAACCAGTTAACGCTTAGTATATTACGATTGATTCGACTACACTAATGGTGAATGCATTTTTGACCTCCAAACATATAGTTGTGCAAAATTCTAGTAGCATAAACCAAAGATAATTAGGTACGACCTAGTACCACAATACCATATACCAAAGATAAGAGTAAAACAATATAAAATTATTACAATTTCCAGCAGGTTAACTGGCTCAACTACAAAGAATAACTACCTCATATACAAGTATCTAACTGGGCTTCTGGACTATAAAGACTAAACAAACCAATGCCATGACAAAGGATAGTAGATAAATGGAACAAGTAAGATGTATCACTAAGAAAATGGCAGGTTTTATCTCACGACTTATCCTTTGGCCACCATATAAGTAAATAAAAATAGGTTTGGACACTGCTTCTTTACACTAGTGTTAAGAAGCCTACCTGAGAAGTATGATCCTCATCCTCTAGATCTTCAACCCCTGCAACCCAATAACATTTGTGAGCATAATCCAAAACCCATCCCATTGAAAGAAAAGTTGAGTGAGGTGATAGTTATATAAGTGTACTCACGATCTGCTAACCCAGATAAAGCAGACAATCTAGCTGCCATTTCCCTCTCTTCAGCTTCCTGAAGAGCTCTAGCATAGGCCTCATCATCTGAATAAGCAGCTTCTTCAGTCTCAGAGTTTCCGCCCTCGTCTTCTTGATCATCTTCATGGGCGTGCACATCTGACGCATCTTCCTGAGGATCCAAATCAGTTTCATACTCGTCGTCATCGTCATCCTCATTCTCGGGGTCATCAAACTCATCCTCTTCGTATACGTAGCTCCCAGTTTCCCAGCTCCCATAGTCATTAATTTCACTGTTCATTGTCAGCATCATATACGCCCGCTCCTGGACCCCGAAACATAAACGCACACATACAAATCAACATTATTCAATATAGACAATTCTACATCAATTTCAAATGCAATCAGGAAGAAATGGAGAAAACAATCCCAGACGAAAAGCAGTGAAATTTTTCAAGTATCCAGAAGAATAAGCAACAAGAGAGCCCTAATAGCATCGAATAACCTACAAATGGGGAAGAAAGACGCACCTGTTCCTGGAGCGTGCGAGCGAGAGCGAGATCCGCATCAATCTGGCTTAGATTAGTGAACGGAACTCTACCGGAGGAAGATCGGGGAGGTAGCTCTCCGACCAAATTCGATCCGGTCTCCTCCACCGCCACAGCCACTGCCGCCTCCACCCCTTCCTCTCCTTTATCGCTACCACTTCCGGCTTCTGAGACAACACCGGTCTGGCGATTCTCGGGCAACCTTCCGTCAGTCTCGCTAACCTTGGTGGCTTGCTCGGCGGTGACGACGACGTTGCCAGCGAGGCCATTGTCGTTCTCCATGGGCATGATTGAAAACCTAGGGCTATTCCGAATCCGATTTCGGGAAATGAACTAGGGATCGATCGGCGTGGTGGGCGATTGGGGGATTTGGGGATTTGGGGTATCGAGAGGGAATTATTCAAGGAATCTGAGAAAACGATGACGCGACGCGAGAGACGAGACGAGAAAGGGAAATAGTGCTTCTCTTAGCTCATTTCAAATTTTGAAAAAAATATGCAATTTTCTTCCAAATCAGACCCCTTTATTTTTGTTTCTTTCTAAAGTCACCGACTTTGTTTTGTCAATTTGCACCCCCACCTCTTCGTTTCTGATTACTTTGATTTGACCAAAAAAAACTTGAAGAAACATTCAAATCATTTACCAATAGTAATATTCTTAATCAATGCAATATTGGGATCATTTGGGTTTCCTATCAGTGAAATGATGGTTTAGCTTGAATTATCAGGTGATGTTTTTTGTTTTTCTTGGTTTCCTATCTTATCTATAAGAAAGAAAGAAAAAAAGATTAATGAGTTGATCCAACGGCCAATTAACATTATGTGTCAATGTGTAGTAGACCGTAAAATATTGTTGTTGTACAAACAAATGGGCATCTCAAGATGATTCTCTCTATTCTAGTCCAGACCCAATTAATTAATCTCTCATTTTAAATGTACTAACGCCCTGCGCAAGCGCGGAGTTATTTGCGATAGTTTTTTTTGTTTAGTTTTATTTATACTCGTTGACTTTAATCATCACAATTTTTTTTATTAATTTTCATGTTTTTGTTATGTCTTGAGTTAACCCAAACCCTAACACTAAAAATGTGAACAATTTGTTTTTTTTTTAAATTTTTTTTATTAGGATGTTAAAACCCACTTTATCTCCAGTTTTCTATTTCTAAAATTTTAGTATCTTATATAAGACCGCGCGATGCGCGGGTTGTGACTATTACAAAGTTTTGTTACTTGTATTTTAATTGTCAAAATATAAATGTATATTGCTCCTTATTTCCTTTAAAAATCAAATTTCGTAAAATGTTTGTGATAGGCCTGAAACTTTTAACCGATATTCGAAAACCCGAACCGTATCGACCCAAAATACTCATACCCTATTGATGTTGGGTATATAGTAAATCACATATTAGGGAAATATTTCATACATGTGGATATTAGATAATATCTGAACTGAACAGGTATCCTCAAATTACCCGAATAATGGGTATTGTGGATTATTGTTGATATTCTAAATATAACTTTTTTATGTTTTTTGTTTTTTCCCAGATTTTCAGATATATTTCCAGTATTTTAATTTTACTTTAAAAGGAAAATTGGATTTAAAAAATATTTTCTCAAATTTCCGGGTAATTGTTTTGGTATATTTATGAATTTTTGGGTTATAAATAACCGAAATACCAAAATCCGAGTTATAACCAAAGTATTTTGGATATATTCTGGTATTCTAAAGCTATACCGAACCCGAAAGGATCATACTCGAAAGACCTGGACTCAAATGGAACCTACCAAAACTCGACTTGATAACTTTATGTCGGAGATCTAACATTCATTAAATCATTTAAATATAAATTTTTGAATAAAAGTGGATGAAATTTAATGAAATTTAAAAGTCAGCAAACTAATCTTATATATAAATTTTGGTAAGATTGTCCAAATTCATTTACCAATAAAAACAAATTCTTGAAATTTAAAAATTTCTATAAATTCATCTCTTAATAAATTCCTAAAAAGTGATTACTATAAAAAAGTGTTTTTATAACCGGATTGGACGAACAAACCGAAAAGACCTCTGAATCATAGATCATGCAGTCCAACCAATTCAACTGAGTTCACAGTAGATATTTTATTTTATTAATTCACATGATAATTGGGCTTATTAAAAAATAAGTAAATATTAGGCTTTTTAGCCATTAATGCTATTTTCTACTTCTACGATTTTAAAAAAAATATATATATATATTTAAGACAAACATGAATTAAAAAATAGAAAACCCTAGTTTTTTCACCTTGAAACCTCGGCCGCCATGTCTCGTGACTCTTCTCATTCTTTCTTCTCCATATATATTCTCTTCTTTCTCTTTTCTCTAAGTTTCAAGTTTCTGGAAAAAACATACCGAAGAAGAAAATCAACACCAAATGAAATGATGATATCACCATGATCAACAACAATGGCGGAGCAAAAGAAGGGAAAGTCTAAGACGTCTCCCACTGGGTAAAATCTCATCCCGGAGGCGAAGAAGCGATTATCAACCTCGCTGGTCAAGACGTCACCGGCCGACGCTTTCATCGCTTACCATCCCGGAATCGGAAGCGCATGGTACTTCCCCAGAAGCTTCGACGTGTCACGTGACACGTGATTACCGGCGTTCCGCTGAGTTCTCGAGAATTCAGGCGATGGTCAAAACTCTATCGAGGACACGTCCATGGTTCCTTCGGTAACAGCGTGAAGACTGAAGAGGCATTGGGATGATGAAGCGTGACAATTTTTTTTTTTTTTTTAATAAAAGATGCCACGTGGCATTTTTAAAGTAATAGAAAAAAGCTAAGGTGTCACTATGGAGAGAGTTATCCTCTCATTATATATAATTAGGAGTTGCTCTCTCCATTTGAGAGTGTCCACATCAGCACAAAAACATTAAATTGTATTTAAAATATTTAATAAATATATGACTATTCATATTTCTTTACATTTATTCATATTTAATAAAAATATACAAATAAATTGATTAATTAATAGAAAGTATGTGATAATTTGATGTTAAAAGTTATCAAAAAGTTGGAATATAAAATAGAGATGGAGTAAAGAAATATTCAACTTCAAATAGTATATATTTACTTTATTATTCAAAGGATTTATCCTACTTTAAAAATGTTAGAATGTGTTTACAAGTTAAAAAGTTGAATATAAATTAATTAAGACAATAGAAAGCTAATGAAACATTAGAGTTAGAGTTTGTTTTTCTAAACAAATAGAAATAGAGTTTTATATGTAAATTTAATTGTAGTGAAAAACAAGAATATGTTTACAAATTTTAACCTTCAGTCAAATGCATATACATATTTATAAATTTTAACCTTCAATCAAATACATATACATGTTTACCGTCTAATAGAAGTAAACATAATATTTATAACATGATAAAATTTTAGAAATAGAAAACTCGAGATAAAGCAGAGTGTTAATATCCTAATAAATTAAAATAAAAACAAATTATTCATATTTTTTAGTGTTAGTGGTTGAGTTAACTCAAAACATAACAAAAACATGAAAGTTAACACAAAACCATCATAATTCAAATCAACGAGTATAAATAAAATTAAACAGAAAAACTATCGTAAACAACCCCGCGCTTGCGCGGGGCTTCAAATCTAGTGTTATAAATATTATACTCCATCTGTTTCATAATAAGTGTCATTTTCACTCTTCACTTACCCAATGTATCTAGATAGTTATGGATGTATTAAGAGTCAAAACACATCCAGATACATCATTAAATATTCCAGATTCATTTTGTCAAAACGACATTTATTATGAAACGGAGGGAGTATTTGTTTACTTCTATTAAACTATAAGCATGCATATCCATTTGAGTGAACGTTAAAATTTGTAAACATAATATAAAATCGCATTTACACCCAAAATAAGATGAAAAAATAATATATATACATTTTTTACATATCTACTTTGTTGTGGTAGCATGTGAGCCTGATGACCATTGAAAATTAAAAAAAAAATATATTTTTGAAACAAACATATCACAATCCTTAAAATTTCATGTTTTTTCACTGCAATTAAAATTTCATGTAAAAACTCGACTTCTATTTTTTTTTAAAGAAAAACTCAAACTTTAATTTGTCGTTAGCTTTCTATTATGTTAATTAGTTTATATTTAACTTTTTAACTTGCAAACATATTATAACATTTTTGAATAGGATAAATCTTTTGAATAAAAGGGTAAATATATACTATCTCAAGTTTAATATTTCTTTATTCCATCTCTATTTTATATTCCAACTTTTTGATAAATTTTAACATCAAGTTATCACATACTTTATATTAATTAATTAATTTATTTGTGAATTTTTCTTAATTTTATTTATATTTAAAATATGAATAAATGTAATGAAATATGAATAGTATGTATTTAATAAATATCTTATATATAATAAGAAGTCAACTCTCTCCAGCTGATCGACACCGGCGAGGAGAGTTGGCCACGTGTCAGTCTGAAAATGAAAGTTAAAAAAGAGAAAAAAATTAGCTTGGCGATTGGAGTTCTGGGATTTCTGACTTTCTTTCTATTCTGAAAAGCTTTCTCTTTTCAGCTCCTTCTCTTTGTCCGTTTCAAGGGTTCACTGGCCAAAATAAAATACGCTAAAAAATATCATCTCCTCTATCACAACGTACACGCTCCTCTTCATTTTTTCAGAATCTCTTGCAGACCTTCTCCCGATTCCGGGTTGGAATCACGTTTCTTCTATCCTCCTTCCACTCTATACCGGACCAAGCTCGGGAGTCCGAACGAGACGTGCAACCTCGCTTACGGCTACCGCGGAATCAGATTGCAGTTCGGAGGCCTTTAGAGTGATCAGATAAGGGAAGCAATTTCAAGTATTATTTCTCTCTTGGGAGTCCCCATTGTTGGAGCTTAGCAGCCGGAGGCACAAGGTTCGTCTTTGTCTCCTTTTCAGTCGTGTGTTAGCTTAGCATAAATTTACTATCTATTGTCAATGTCTTTGTGTTTGTTCGGTAATTCCTTCGAGTTATTTCAATGGTTCACTTATGTGTTGGTTTCAGAGATATCTATGTCTTCTGTTGACTTATGTATCTAGAGAGAGTTGTTTTGACCTCTACTAGACGCCCAAAAAGAAAAGAAAAAGGCCCATGACAAAGAGAGAAGAGAATGTCGTCCCTCTTATTATGTCTTACAAGAGTATATATACATGTTACATAAACCCTAGGCAACTCCACAAAAGGAATATTAACATATACTAAGATAGATTTTATGA